AGGTCGATGTCGACTCGAAGGACAATGACGGCCGAACGCCGCTATCGTGGGCTGCCGAGAACGGGTACGAGGCCGTCGTCAAGCTACTGCTCGGGACCGGTCAGGTCGACGTCGACTCGAAGGGAAATGACGGCCGAACGCCGCTATCATGGGTCGCCGTGGGCCGAGAGCCCAAGACTATGACAATTACACATTTCTGAACTTTATCTTTTATACCTATCAAGTAAAATATTCATTTCTGTTCTTGCTGTTACTCTAGAGTGAGCGTACAGCGCCCGGCGTCCTGTCAGACGATCCACGTGTAACGGGGTAAGGTCACGAGACGGTTGTGGGCGTAGAGTGAGATGGTCACGAGTATGTATACTCTATAGCTCCGGATGGAAAGACTTTGGAGGAAATCTGGCCATTGGGGACGACGGGCGGTGGAGGGACAGACCCGAAAGAAGGCCACCCGCCATTCGTCAACCTGCCGTCGTCGCTTTTACGTACTAATTACCACAGTCTACTTACATTTACCATCTGCAGTAGAAGCAAGCAGCCAACACATCTTCAACTTCAATTTGAGCCTCCCTTTCAGTGGGGCATCTTGCTGTAATCTTCGCTTTCATCGCCCATGTGTATAGTGTCTAATATCTCCGCTACGGTTCTGAATTCTCTAATCCATTATCTAGCGCCTTTTAATGGTTGTATTCACAGAGGCCATGAAAAATGGGATGGGGTAGAGCGGGGCTAAGAGAGGAGCGTAGTGAGCTAGTAGTGTCGGTTTTGAAGAGGCTGTGGCGCGCCTGAAATGATTCATGAGGGGAACAACAGCCAGCATCTGTAATACACGATGTTGCAGGATCAGTATTAGCGGCGCTATCTGCGTAAACCGCTCATTAGCTGTCAGTTCCTCGCCACTGCAATTGTGCTGTCCACTATGGTTCCATTCTGGTCACCCAAGCACTCCGAGTTAGCCTACCATCCCTTGGCTGATCGATATGATTGGTTGGTTCCTGGGAGTCCTTCGGATTTGGTTGAAGTTTTGGTGACTCTTCACCATCCAACTCTATACCGAAGATTACCCAGCCGCGACATGGAAAAGGGGTTGCGATGGCAATGATTCCCAAGGATTCGGATCCGTGTCTACCCTCGCCGCAATCTCTGCGTTGTACGTTTGAGATGCAAGCAGGCGCTTGCTATCCACGCGTGCATTATCTGTTTCTGGTATACTCTAGGGGACTGTGGTGTAGCAAGAACGTGGCGTCATAGATCGACCTCAAGGGCTATACTATTAGGAGTATGGACATTGGACAGCCAGCTGGCTCAGTCCACATGCCCCTTCCTCTGGTCCGCGCGCGGGTCTCAGGACTGGGTTGATACCTCAACGTTTCAGTTCCGATTGCTGTGGCCGAATTGACGGTATCGACACCGGCAAGCCCCTGAAACTCGAGTGTAGCACATGTGGAGGGCAGCCTTGAGCGACGTTTATATCAGAAGAAGCCAGTCCATGTTTAGGAAGTTCACTTGACACTGGAACTTACAATACTTCAATACCGGTGTCGTATCCTTGGCACCATGTCTATCCCTAACAGGGAAGAAGCGAATGATCTGATCCGAAAACTAGCAACTGCGGCCGGATGGATTTCACCTAAACGTCGAGAAGAAGCTCAAAAAGATTTCGCCGATCTTGTGGCAATTAATGACGGGCTTAGACAAACTGCCTGTAAATGTGCAGAAGCGTGGGTACATTCCGCTGTTTCGCTGCGTTTTACTGACCCTCGTAGAATCTCTCACAATATGCACTCCAATGCTATCCGGTTCGTGTACGAGTTAGTCCAGAACGCGGAGGACAGTAGCTACACTACTGCCGCTAAAATTGGGGAGTTTCCTCGTCTCTCACTCGCCGTTTCGGCCAGCAGAATTCAGATTGAGTCCAATGAGGATGGATTCACTGACAAGGACATTGAAGCAATCTGCGGGATTGGCCAAAGCACTAAGAAAGGGAAGATTGGTTATGTGGGAGAAAAAGGTATCGGGTTCAAATCAGTCTTTGGAGTTTCCCGCAAGGTCCATATCGAGTCTGGACACCTCTCGTTTTCCTTTGAGTATAACCAGGGGCTTCCGGATGCTGGGCTTGGAATGATAACTCCTCTCCTTGAACCCCCATCTGGATTGCCACCAGGCGTTCGGACCCGCATAATTCTTTATCTGAATGACGAGATTGACAAGGACGCGCTTCTTCGCGAGTTTGATGAGCTTCCGGACACTCTGATTCTGTTTCTAAAGAAGCTGAAGCAGCTTTCAATTTCCATTGATAGGTTGAACGCTCCTGTCAAGAAAACATACAGACTGGTGGCCAAAGAAAACGAGGCCCATATCATCCGAACCATTGGAAAGGAGACCGTTCATCTCAAATTCCTGTTTGCGAGGAAGAAGATCACCGATATGCCAGGAGAAGTAGCAAGACAAGGTATTACTAGTGCAATGATGCGTTTGGCCTTCCCGGTCAGTCAGGATGATATACCAATCGTTGAAGATCAGTATACATTCGCTTTTCTTCCTCTCCAGAAAGAAGGTTTCAAGGTAATATTCCCTATCCTGTGTTGGCGAACATTCTGCTAACATCTGACCGTGCCAGTTTCTCATCCAATCCGATTTTGTCACACAGGCAAGCCGTGAAAACGCGGTTGATTGTCCTTGGAATCAGCGGCTTCTGGATGAAGTTGTCAATGTATTCTTGGACGCAGTTCCCTCTCTCTTCCACAATCGGGGCCCCCTAAAGTATTCCTGGGTTCGCTATCTTGGCTCGAAAGGAGTGTCCGGCAAGTTTTGGGCCCGGCTTCAGAGCCAACTCTTCATCAGGTTTACGAATCGCCCTTGTTTCATTCCGTTGGGGGACAACGGTACCAGATTTGCTAGCTCCTTGAGGCTAGTACCGGCGGCTTTGAAGGACCTTTCAAATCAGCCTCTGTTATCCGAGTGCAACTGCTCTCCAGCTCACGTCGCGAGCCGCTATGTCTCTACAGGTTATGATTACGTTCTTGATATCCCGATTCTTCGAAGGCTCGGCCTCGAAACATTATCCCTCCGCGAGTTCGTTGCTCTCTTGCGTTGTGACTTGGCATCCAAATGCAATTCCCGTCTGCGCACGACGCCAGCGGAATCACAATGGCATAAACTTCTCTCGAGGTCCTTGCTTAAAGCTATAGATACCTCACAGGAACTTAAAAGCGTCCTAAAAGAACTCCCATTGCTACCGACTCTCAGTAGCGAGCGATGGGTTTCACCATCCAAAGGAGCGATATATTTTCCCGATTGTGGTGGCATCGATGTTCCACGGGATCTTCCATTGACTTTGATTAGCCCGCAGACTGTTATCGATGGCGAAAGGCGAAAGCTGTTCCGATGTCTAGGAGTATTGGAATGCTGTCCTGCGGATATTTTCCCACTCCTCGAAGAGGCTTGTAAGAAGGTCCGCTGGACTCTTGACAATGCCGTCGACCACCTCAAGTTCATGTTTTGGCACCACAGAGACCTGCCGCTTTATGAAAAAAAGAAAACGAAGAAAATCGAGGTACTTGTGATGAGTACAGATTTGGCTAAGTCTGGCCTTGATCCCTTGACTGGATGGTGGTATAGCCCGAGCATCGAGGACCCATGCAGTGCGGCGAATGTCATCCGTCATCCTCTCCCGGAAAATTTGACTAGATATGTGCGCTTTTTACATCCCCGATACTATGAAGTATTTGGAGCTTGCGGACGGAGACATGAGAAGACAGGAGTCGAATGGTTGGAAGGATTTCTTCATGTCAAGTCGATACCGCAGCCCAGGGCCCGAGGTCTTGAATCGATGTCTGAGGAGTTCAAATACCTAGCAAACGCGCATCCAAGCCTTCTCCGGGTGCTAGAGCGGCATCAAGCCGATGTTGCCCATGACGATGCTTGGAAAGCAGAGTTCATGAAGATCGCTCGAATTCCGATACCCTATTCGGATGACCTCCCACCTTTGACCTCAACATATCTGCCTCTTCCTGGGTTAAAAGCCATTGTTGAAAGACTCGGACTGCAGAGCCGTTTCAGATTCATTAAAGAGCTTGATGGAAAGGAGGATGAGGACCTGGACCAATGGCGTTTCTTGTCTAATTTCGGTGTGCAACACCAAGAAGATTTTTACTTCTGGTTATTGTTATTGAGGAAAGCTCGCGAAAAGAAGAACCCGGGATACCTTGCAATGGCGGAGATATACTCTCGCCTGCAATATTTCGGCTGTGGAGAGAATTGTCGACTCAGCCTTCAGTTAGTACCCAAACACTCTTCCGAATACGGGCCATGGACTAACTATTATAGAGTAATCTTTGGCACTCGAGGCGAGGTCTTGGATTTGTCAGACAAGGTGAAAGAGACTCTCAGGGATTTATCAGACCGGGATTATATCTTCGTCCGTGAGGGAAAATGGGCCCTCCCAAGTGCCTGCAGATGGACGACTCCAACTTGGTACCGGAATCGACACAACCTCTCCCAACTCCCAGGATATGCCTCCCTCAGGACGTTGTTCGTAGACTATCTTCAAGTTCAGACTGAGCCAGATATCAATGATATCCTGAGTTATATTCGCGCCCTGAAAAGCCGCGGTAGTCTGGAAAGAATCACTCAAATCCTCAAACTTCTATACGACCGGCTCCATCTGCTTAACCGAGAAGGGGACTTTACGGATACCATTAGGTGGGCAAATTGTGCTTCCAGTACCCACGAAAGTCAGCATTAATCCATTTAGATCCCATTTTAAATCCGAGAAACTTGTCTACAACTTCCAAAACCAAGCATGGTATAGTCCATCGTCCTGCATCTGGGCTATCGGCACCATGCGTCTCCCTGAGAAGTTTTCTGTTGCCACAGAGTACTCAAATCAAGAATTTTTTTTCCGGATAGTTCTTGACGTTGAAGAACCTAATCTCGCGCTGTACATTGAAGCCTTGAAGTGGGATGCAGCTGGAGCACCGAATCGCGATTCGATGAAGCAGCTTATGCGGAACGTCTCTCAATTCAGTCCTACCAGTAGCGATTTGGCATCTCTCATTGATAGCAAATGCTTTCCCGTTCGTTATTCGCACGGAGCGCTGGCTTGGGTAAGTTCTAGAACGGACTTCGCCATCATTGATCGAGAAGAATACGAAACACTCTTCCGGAGACACCTTACAACTTTGGATTTTTCAAAAGAAGAAGTTCACGAACTGGAGGCCTTTCTCGTCGGCTTCGGTCTTCGAGTGCGATACCTCTCCACTACCGTCACAACTCAGACAACGGCTTCCAGAGGTTCGTTCGATCCCACAATGACCATAAGGCTGAGTCACAGGGCATACGCTATCTGTCGGTAAGTGATCATTATCGAGGTCGAGTTGCATATCCCCTCTTGTCTCAGTTTATATTAGCCCCCAACGCGGTGGATTGAGGTGTTTGAAGACTTGTGGCGCAGTTCTAGTGAACTGTTTAGACTGATGAGACTAGGTATGCTGCGCATGCACGGTGCGCTGCAGTTCACAACAACCCAGCCGCATGCTTTGAGAAGCTTCGGAATATATCCGTGCTGACTAGTGAGCACTTCTCAAAGACACTCACTACATACCAGGGTGATAATCCAATCACCGTCGATTCTGACAAGGCCTTTTGCCACTTGGAAGATGGAGATGAAAAGGATGCGAGAGCTAAAAACGACTGGGGAACTGGCTTTCGACAATCAATCGGTCTGAGAGTATACATCCCAAGCGATCCTCAGCTTCGGGCACGATGCCTTTTGACTCACCTCCCTCAAGCTATCTTAGGCCACTTCAAGGCACCGAATAGCGCGATTGGAGAATTTGGCAGCATAATCTCCGCTCTTACACTTGCAGATGTTGACGAAATTCTAGACTTCGCCGGAGTCATTTCACTCCCAGGAGTGAACCGGCCTGACGATATTGATTTAGATATCTCCCAATCAGATAACAACGACGTTCCGATGTCCCAGTTGCCCGAACATGCCGAATTCCTGAAGCCAGTTGCGTCCATTCGACCCGACTTCATCTCGACTAACCTAGGCAGCGGACGCTTAGCATCTCAAAGCAATCCTGGAAGCCTCCAAAATCCGACTTTGACCCCTCCGGCGTCAATCTCCAGTCCACCGGCTGCCGAACAAGATTCTCTCCACTACGCGAGTCTTCTTGGTGTAATCGTCGACCTCGCTCGTACCAAGTCGGAATTTCCACGTGTTGGCAACTGTTTGACTGTATCGGATGGGCATTATCTCTCCAAACCGGAGGTAGATGAGGCCGTGAGTGGTACTCAGAGAGATTCCAAAGTTGGAGCGGCTGGAGAACTATTTGTAAGTCCATCGATAGCTTTACAAGCATTGCTAATTCCAGTAGGTGTATGAGTGGCTGATGAGTTTTCCGTTGCTGGGATGTGATCTTGATGATTGGCAGTCAAAAATTCGAGATCTCGTTCAGCCACATGGCGATTACACAGCCATCAAGAAATGGAAACACCTCGAAACCTCGGACATAGTCTACGAAGACCACACTGGGAGCCTTACCTTCTGTTTGATCAAATCTGGCTATCTTCGATCTGATGTATGGTCTGACAAGCGGCCAAGGTACCACATCGAAGTGAAGGCGACGACAAGCAGTCTCACCACACCTCTTTTCGTTAGCCGCAATCAGTACAAACTCATGGCAGACTGCGTACTTCCAGAAAACTCAGCGTCTAGGAAAGTATACGTCCTCGCCCGAGTGTTCAACCTTGGCCAGTTGGACATGGGGATGAAGTTGTATGTTGATCCGACTCGGCTGGAGCGAGAAGGAAAACTGCGATTCAGGGTACATAAATATGAGATGACAGAAACATCCGGAACTTGAAGGGTTCTGTATAGTCTAGTTTAGTCTTTGAGTCTTTTCAGCATCGATAGATGGCCAACATATTTCTCATCAATGTCGGATCGGCCGGAGCGTAAACCAGTTTGTTTCGGGTAACGGCACCATTGTACTTGCAATGATGATCTAATAGTTACGTTCTACCCGTGTCTAACAGCATCTCCAATTCCATATTCGCAGATCTTTGCGCAGGGGATTGCGTACTTCGTTTCAGAACTGCAACGACCCGACTCTCTTAGGGAATTGGCTCCATGGAGTACGTACATCTAGGCGTTTGGAGACAGTGTCTTGGATTTGTGCATGTTGAAGAGAACAGATCGAGCAATCGTCGTGGTAGCCGATGAGCATATCAGGAGCAAGACTATGGACGCGGCCTTATTATACACCATTGACATAGATGGCCTTCAAGTGCTACAAGTGGGACTCCACTACCATGTACCATCGCGGCTCAACCCCACGAAACTTCCAGTGATCCACCTCACAGAAAGTGAGTTTTGTAGAAGTATGAATACGTGATTGATTGATCTATCTAGGAATATGGGAGATCCGGAGGAATAGGAGGTGACTTATACGAGAAGTACTGAGACATTTCCACACTGTATTATTGCCGGAGGCATTAAGGCCAACGGCCCCTGTGACGCTGCTGACTGACAGAGTGATGCATAAATATCACAACATGGATAATGGTTTCCTTTTCTTTTCTTCTTCTATAACTTTGGTTTGCCGTAGATAGGAAATCGAACTCAACTTCTTTCCAGAACGTGTCAGTTACCGAGTTTCTCCGACACCTTTGATGGCAACGCCAAACATAGCTTTGATTCCATTATTCAATGTCGCCTTGCGGTACGAGCTGATTTCAAAGTCTCTGCATTAATAACGAAGTATTACTCATTAGCTGTCGCCACTTGTGCTATACATCAGCATATAAAGACACTATCTGCAACGGCAGTGGGCGGGGAGGAGGCTAGGAAAGGTTCAGAAAGCGAATATCATGATTGTAACTCTTCCAGTTCCGCAGCCGAGAGCAACAACGCTTCCATAGACTGCAACTTTGGCTAATCTATATTCAGGAGGAAGCCAAAGAATACGCTCGGTATCGTGACAAACCCATTCGTCGTTGACAAAGATAAGTGGTGGAACTTGTGGTTGAAATACAGGTCCATCGTCAGAGAGAGATAATGAAATAGGAATTGGCCCTCGGTTTGTTCGGAGAGAGGTGTTATCGTCGGAGAAAGAGAGAGTCTCGACAATATCGCCAACACCCAGAGACTTCAGCACCGCCCCTGACGCTGCGTCCCACAGCTTGACCGTCTTGTCGCGCGAGCCCGACGCCAGCGTCTTGCCGTCCGGCGAGAAGGCCACGGCCGCGACCAAGTCCAAATGGCCCTCAAGCGTCTGCCGCACCATACCTGACGCAACGTCCCACAGTCTGACCGTCTTGTCGTGCGAGCCCGACGCCAGCGTATTGCCGCCCGGAGAGAAGGCCATGGCCGTGACCCCGTCCGAATGGCCCTCGAGCGTCTGCAGCACCGCATCCCATTTCTCTTCGACCTGTGGTAACCTTCGTATCCATCTAGGTATGCAATTTACGAATTGCTTTCTTATTATACTCATTGTCGGTGCGAATACGAGGGCCCTACAGTATGTCCGAGGGGGAGCTAACCCGATAGTGTATTGATTGTAGACCACGAACCACTTCGCCTCATAGATGATATCCGAGAGGTTAGGGCAGTCACTTAACTAGTCGAATGCTTAGCGAGAACATATACTATGCTGGAGGTATACTAACGGAAGCAAACGACTCTAAAGACCCGATGGCATAAACTCCTTCCGATGCTTGCCCCATCCATCCGAGAGCTTCGAGCCAGTGAAGGAAATGCTCTTGTAGGAAACAGTGTACTTAGTCACCATCTTGAAGCTGGGCCTCGCTCCTCTGGAGGTGCTGGATCCAAAATAGACATGCATACCGAACACCAGGAGGGAGGCGCTGCTCTGCGAGACTGGTTTCAATATCAGTCACCAATGCTCCTGGTCGGCCCACACCAAGAACATCTTGCTTAAGAGCACCAGATATGAGCTTGGTGCATCTTGTGGCGAATGATTGATGCGCTTGCCTCTCATCGATCCAGAAACTTGGATCTCCGCATCTCCTTTCATCGAGAAGGAAGTCTCGGAATGAAGGATGATGTAGACGCAATGGGCGGATTGGCTCGTTGGGAATGTCCAAAATGGCGTGCAGAACGTCTAGTGTCCGAACCACTTCATCTTGCGGGGTGCTGAGTAGCTTGCTCAAGGACTGGATAGAAAGGGGAGAGAGTAGTCACAATGCTTCCAAGCAAGGTTTTCAGCATCGACCGTAGCTTCTTGGCCTCTTCATCTGAATACTCTGAAGAAATGCAGTTGCGAAGAACACTGCCATAGATTTCGTTGAGGACCTTCTCTGGGCCGCTGATCGCACTGCTGCTATGCTCCAGGATTATATTCAGTCTCTTTCCTGCAAACAATTTTCCTTCGCTGATAAAGCGACATGCAGTTGCCGCCCAGATGAATAGCCCATTTGCACTGTCAACGAGTTGCTTCACGATCTGCTCGCCAGGCCAACCAGCACCGAGATAGTGCCTACGAGCAATGCGTTCGAGCTCGTGCCGTAAGAAAGTGCGGATATCATGACCGACAATCGACAACGATATTTTACGGAATATAAAATCCTGATACACAACATCTGGGATTTGAACGAAGCCATTTCGTATCGGAACCTCAGATCGGCTCGTCAGGAAGACTCGTAGTCGAACGGTCTTCAACGATCGAGCTTCGGCCAAGAGATGCAGGATGATCCGGATATCGTTATCATTGTCGCACTCATCGAGCGCATCAACGACAAGGACGTATGCGGATTGGCCATTGTTTTCGTCCAGCTTCGACAGCGGGCGTAGGACGAGTTGCTGCCACTAGTCACGAAGAGACTGGCTTATAATATCGCGGCGTTCTGTAAGAGCGTCGCATATATGTTGGCCAAGAGACGGCATACTGCTCGCTAGCTGCCATGCAATGCTTGTAACGAACTTGCCTACATGGCCAATATCTCCACCGCCGCGTGAGAAGTAGAAGATGGCACTTAGGTGATTCTGGTCAGAGTAGGTACGGGCGGCAGTGCGAGCAATCGTCGACTTCCCCGTGCCGGCCAAGCCAGTAACCCAGAAGATGTGGCGCTCGTCTTGACCATCAGCCCAGTTATAGATCTCTTGAAGGAGGTCGACGGGGGTATCGGGAAGGCAGGTCGGGTCATGTTGTCGCTGGTATGCGTTGAACGGCGCGGCTGTAGCGGTAGGGAGTGAGTTAAGCATATCGTTCAGATCTGAGGTACTGGTCACTTTCCTGCTGCTTCGGGCCCATAGCCCGCAGAATGAGACTCACTTTTGCTTTCGCCAATGGACACATCCCCAAATTGGCCAGCTAAAAGGATCAATTGGTTCCCAGGCAAATTGCTGATGGACTGGCCGCTGCGGTTTGACATCACTTTGACTTCAGGTGCTAGTGCCGCTGTCCTATTGAGATACCCTAAATGGGTCTGAGGGTCTACAATATTACATTCGGAAACAGACTATGTATCATTCTCAAGTCGAAGTAGTTATAGTCTATAAGCAAATGCCTTGCTAGGCTCGATATAGTGGCATCGTCAAGACACGCGCGATGATTTGTTGCCACCCCTCAGTTGCAGTGCAGCCCTCTAGCCCTCGAACGCAGCTCGTTGTGTTCTTCGAATGAAGTACATGTACATGCCTTGCCAGAGTGACATTTCCAATGTGCTGCTGGAAACTCACCCCAAGCAATTGGGTATTAAGGCAATAGCAACCGTGATCGAAACCTCATTTGTGCTATTTGTAACGAGTCGAACTGCACGTCTTTGGGATGGATATTTGAGGAGGAGAGATTAGTGACTTTATGGCCTGACGATTGGTAAAGTTGGTTAGTAGTGGCAGTTTCAAGGGCCGACCAACGGTGGATGGATGGTTGAATCTTGGATGACGTTACAGAAATGGTATAGGAAATACGGTAGATTCTGGTACACGAAGTTGAAAATCCCTTGAGGATTCCGATAAACCGTTGATCCACTGTTAGGTACCAACCCATTGAGTGAGTTCTATGAAAGTCTCATTTTATTAGTAAGCCCATTCCACCATCTGTGTCGCCATCATCAAGCGCAGTTTAGAGATTTCTGTAATTCTCTCTGTAATTATCGTAGAAAAATCTCCTTGCCATAGCTGCAGGAAATGTCTACTGGGCAGCAGAACTCAGTCTCAGGGGCGAAGGCTCCTTATATATCATCGTCTTGATTCTGAAGATGAGACTCCTTCTCGTCGGGAAGTGTCACTTCTCCACGTATAAGTTTACCCAAATTTATTCATCGTTGTTTTCAATGCCGGGGTCCTGGCAAGCAGCTTGGGCATTACCTAGTATATAGGAATTTGAGGCTACTGATTACATACATCATTCTGGATAGGAGAATAATGCTTTTCCGCTCTCCATGCTTTTGGGTTCACATTGAACCAACCAATCAGTGAGTAGTCCATATCCATATGGTACTGGTAGTTCCGCTATGCTTCAATGCTGTCCTTCAAGTGCTCTAGGATTATATATCATCAAAAGCTGGAAACAATCGCATAACTTAAAACAGCGGCATTGGATAGCTAGCGGAATATCTGTATCAGGAAACCGAATAGGTACCTATCATGCTAATTATGGAAGCACAAAAATCGAGTCGAATACAGATATGGTACGCTAGCGATGACATCATGTTCCTCCATCGTCCAATAATCTCCGATATCCGGAGTCGACCTCGTGTTCGATATCCCGCCAACCTAGAAAATGTCCTCCAAACGTTCCGGTAGCACGGTTGGATCCCGGAACTTTGACCCTGACGCGTTTTTCGACAGGTGGACGTCGAGCGCGCTTCCCGTCGGGAACGATCTTCGGTCCGCCATCATCAAAGCGTTCGGGCTTCCTGCGGACGATAGCTATGTGTACCACGCGGTCGCGAGCGTCACGCTTGCTCAGGTGCAAAGTGCCATTAATGCGGGGCGTCAGCACGGGTTGCACGCGTGGTATATAGAGAAATCAGGAGACACCACCGAGGTATGCAGCGTAGCCCGATCGCTCTCGACCACCTCTAATCGCTCCAGGAACAATTCCCCGACCCAAAGGACATCGAGGCCTACATCGCCATCTTCTCCCCCGTTACTAGCACCACCAAAGCCCTCGCCGCCTTCGCCTCCAACGCCAAAAAAGGCACCCCCCGCGCCCATTCCGCCCCCCACCTCCACGCCCACCTCCTCCTCCCACCCGACACCAACCTCCGCCTCCCCGCGAAGGCGAAACCCGCATCCCTCTACAACCCCGAGTACCGCAACCCCTACCTCGACCTCTGGTCCTGGTCCGCCCGCACCCTTGACTGGTCCGGCCCCACCCCCGCCACCGCCCACGTGAAACAAAGCCACCACGTTCTCCCCGTCCTCTACCACCACTTCGGCTGCGTCTGCCCCTCGCACGACGCGCTCAGCCTGATCGCGCAGCTGTGCGGTTCGGCGGCGGGGCAACGGAAGGGGGCGACGCGGCCCGTGGTGGAGATCGGGTCAGGGAATGGGTATTGGGCGTTCGTGTTGCGGAGAAGGGGGGTGAGGGTGTGGGCGGTGGATAATGCGGTGTCGGCATGGCGGACGATGTGGATCGGGGATACGATCCGGGCGGATGGGCCAGGGTTCTTGCGGCGGCCGCCGGGGGAGGTTGCAGGTGAGGTGGGGGGTGCCGGGGCGCCCGGGGCGGTGCTGTTGATGGTGTATCCGCAGGTGTCCGGGGATTTTACGGCGCGGGTGGTCGAGGCGTATACAGGGGATACGATAGTGGTGGCCGGGACGCAGAATGAGAATAGGTTCACGGGGTTTGCGGGGGAGACGGTGGAGGAGTGGATGGCGAGAGAGAGGAAGAGATTCGAGAAGATCTGTCAGGTTCCGTTGCCGTCGTTTGCGGGGAAGGATGATGCGTTGTTTATCTTTAAGCGGATTGCGGGGGGATAGTGTGTACGGGGGAGCGTGCGAGAGCGGAGAGCTTGCATGATTTCAGTGTAGGTGCAACTCCTTGTCAATTGCGGGAACGTTGCTAGGTACCAGTAGAAACGTATTTTTCTTGTCCTGCTCTAGATTCATGGTCGATCTGTTTTGTATAGGATGCGTCGCTGTTGATGTGCGTTGAAGAATCACCACAAGGAGCGATTCTCTTCGACTGTTGTACTCATGACCACAGACTCACGAGTAGAAAGTCTCGATAGGATGTTCGGTCGTGCATTTCTAACCAGATAGAGACGGAGGCCATCCGTCCATGTTCCTCGACACGGTATGTCTATCGGCCATCTCTAAGGAATACACGGAAAATATAGTCTCTTGAATTCTGAATGCGGGTGGTACGGAAGAGAGTAGAAACCTCGCCGACCACTTGACCAGTGAGATCGTTAAGCATGCGCGACATGTCTCACGGTCACCTTGGACCCTCTACCGGAGCTCGCAGACGTGGTGCTGGAACCACTCATGCTCTTTCGGCGACCGTCGTCCTTCCCCTGCGCCGTCGAATGGACAGCTGCACCCGCCCGCTCATACGGTAGATACCCAAAATACCCCTCCGGCGACGCCGGATCAGTGACGCTCGGTGTCCGCGCCCGACTCTGCACCGGGCTCATCCTCATCGCTCCCGGGCTCCACGATAACCGCTGGCTCCCAGTCGTCAACGACCGCTGATGCCGCCGCGGCCGGTCGCCCGCGCTCGCGGGCAGCTCGAGCCGCGCGTTCATCCCCACCCACAGCGCCTCGTCCTCCCCGTCGCCGGACACCCGCCAGCCGCCCACGCCTTCGAAATCGCGGTTCGGGGCGCCGGCGAGGAGGGAGGCGGCGCTGTCGCTTTTACGAGGGGGGTGGCGGGGCGGGGGCAGGTCGTGGGGGGGTGCAGTGGTGGTGACGCTGGTGCGGCGGGGTTTACGGGGGGTTCGTTGACCAGGGAAGGGGACGGGATTCGTCGAGCGGTTAGCGAAGAGCCAGGAATGGGCGAGGGCGAGGGCGAGCTCGAGATATATGAAGGACACGCGGATGAACAGCAGCGAGAACGCGAGGGCGGTCGTCAGTAGGGCGAACACCGCGAGAGGGATCGAGATGAGGAGAAGGATCGGCGGACCGAGGAGCTGCGTAATGCCCGTCATGGTGGATGTGAGAATCCCGGGATGGTTTCATTCATTCTAGCGAGGAAGGTTCATGAAGAGAAACGCTGCAATGCGTTGTTCATCAGCTGTGGACATCTCACTGCGAGGGGAGTACAAGGTGCAGTCACCGAGAGTGGAGGGACGCTGGGTGTGTTGCTCAGCGAGAAAGTTTGTTGAGCTTCTTTGTATACGGCAGCTGCTTTGTGTGGCAAATACTTAAGTTAGTCCGTGAAGTACCTCAATACTAGAAACGCCTCATGGGTCTGCTGATCGCCGATGGCCATGGTTCCTCGGTCGGCAGGCGAACTGCTGGTCATTTCGCAGTCCGTCCTGTCGGAGTTCTTCCACTTGCGCCTGGTGGTAGGCGTTGTGATCCCTATCCATTTGGGTACAGCACTTTGCATTCTCATGTCTTTGTACCAATCCGACGTCAGTACCTCTGCCATGACAATCACATGGAAAACCACTAGGAAACACAGAAGCGCTAGGCATCGGTGATCGGAATGATTGGAACTCGCATAGTGGAGTCTTAGAATTCGGTGCTAACTGCTCTCAGCTCTGGTACAAGCAGCACCCGCTGGCTGGGAGAGACGTGGCTGGTGGGACCGATGGTGGGCGCCAAAACGGGGATCAGCAACTGTGGCTTGAACGTAGGTGTTCGCAATTTGGTCCGGCGGTTACTCTAATATGACCTCAGCTCAGTCGTAGAAGTGATCAAGTAGTGTAGAAATCATTTCCCCAGTCGTAACTATGCATCTCAGTAGTTCTTCAATGTACTTCGCATCCGTGCCATCGCATTTGACTGGTTCTTGAGCGCCTCTTCTGCAATCCTTTCCGTCAACGCATCATAGCGCATCATGTCTGAATTCCCGTGGCATCTCGGGGTGTATGACGCCCATTGTCATCCAACCGACACCATGTCTTCCATCCCCGACATTCCCAATATGAAGGCGAAGGCGTTGACCATCATGGCAACGCGCGGGGACGATCAGCGCCTTGTGTCCGAGGTGACCGAGAAGTTTGGGGGAGAAGGACGCGTCGACGATGGTAATTTGCGCTCGAATTGTCGCGTCGTGCCTTCGTACGGCTGGCATCCATGGTTCTCCCATCAGATATATGATGACGCGGAATATGAAGGCTCCACGTGTTTGAACACCCAGCAAAAGGTCCAACACTATCAATCGGTGCTGAATCCCAAGCCGGAAGATGAGGCGTTCGTTACCGCGCTGCCAGATCCGGAGCCCCTGTCGCAATTGCTTGATAGGACTCGGGCATATCTGGAGAGGGATCCTTCCGCTCTGCTCGGAGAAGTTGGGCTCGACAAATCATTCCGTCTGCCTGAAGCATGGTTCCCGGATGATCACCAACGGGATGGATCGTTGACACCTGGAGGCAGGGAAGGGAGGAAATTGTCTCTTTACCGAGTAAGCATGGAGCACCAGCGTAGACTCCTGAAAGCGCAACTTGGACTTGCCGGTAGACTTGGTCGGGCGGCCTCAGTGCATGGGGTTCAAGCGCATGGTGTTTTGTATGAAACGTTCAAAGAGACATGGAAAGGTCACGAACGGAAGCACATCAGCAAGCGGGAAAAGAAGAGGCAAACACGAGATCAAATCGTCCTTGATACTGTTGGCGACGATGACAGGAATCTATCTGAAGATGCGCGCGGAAGTCCCTCAGATGTTCCAGCTGGGAAGCCGTTTCCTCCTCGCGTCTGTCTGCATTCCTATTCCGGCAATCCACAGTCCATTTCTCCCTATCTCCATCCGTCCGTTCCCATTGATTTCTTCTTCTCTTTCTCTGCCGCCATCAACTTTTCTATGCGCGAGTCAAGCAAAACGGAAGACGCCATCCGCGCGGTGCCAGACGGCAGACTCCTCGTGGAGAGCGACCTCCACACCGCCGGCAACCGCATGGACGATCACCTCGAGCAGATCGTGAGGATCGTGTGCAAGTGCAAGGGCTGGGAGCTGGAGCAAGGGATCGAACGGCTTGGGCGAAACTGGCAGCAATTCGTGTTTGGCTCGGATGAGAGCGAACCATGATAGGCTGCTCTCTACCACGAATGCATTTGAAAACACCATCTCGTCCTTGGTATCTTCCTGTCGTGTGATTCATTCGAACCAGGACAACCATTGTTTATCCTTCGAGCTCTACCGATCTATGTCTCGTCAGGTCTTTGGTGTGGTTGAGTTATGGTTTGTTGTGGTTCAATCGTGGTCAGTTGCGGTATGGTGTGGTCTGGGTGGTTCGTTGCTATGCGTACCATCGGTACTGCTCGCTGCTAAGCGTGATATGATATACCAACTCCTGCTACTACCGGTACTGCTCTACTGCTAAGCCTGATACAATATATCAACTACTACTACCATTGGTACTGATCGCTACTAAGCCTATTATGAATTCACTCACGTCTCCGACTACTGGTTACTGCTGCACCGCTAACCCACATGTGAATCGACCAGTCTCTTTTTGTCAGTCGAGTGCCAGACTTTCACTCTCGAGTTGTTGTTGACATGGCGACACTTGTGTTGCGTTTCTGTTTATCCCTCTGGCTCGACCCGAATAATCTGGCCCATAAATACTTCTCTTCTCCTTTTCCTTCTCCCTTTCTCTTTTTCTTTTTCTTCCCTCTCTCAGCTTTTGTTCAGTGACAGTAAGTTTTTCCTTCATCCCTTCCTGCCTTGATCTGCCTTGCCTTTGCCCTTCATGTACTGCAGCTAGATGTCCTTCATTTGGACTGTCCATTCCATGCTCACTGTCCTGATTTCGTTTCGATTTCAGTTGGCGGTTGCTTAGTTTACCATCACATCCACTATTGACATTGCCTCAAACTGACCGTCTCACAGGCTTTCAACATGATTGAAAATCTTTCTCCGGTCTTCAAGACTGCACTTCCCTGCGCCCTGCGCAGCTCGCCTCGGAAGTCCTTGTCACCGCAAGGGGGACGAAATACATTACTTGCGGTCGCCCTCTCCTCTCCTGCTCGTGTGATGACCGATTACTTCGGCAGATCGATTGCGGACACCGAGTCCCAAGAACGCCGAATCCAGCTCAACGCCTACCTGAAGGATCAGCTGTCCCAGCTGAAACGCCCCGATGTTCGAGCGCTGCTCGACTCCCGTCGCGCCGCCGCCCTTCACGGAGCCTCTCCCGTCATCTCCTCCTTCTGCCATCCGGAACGTCCGCCTGCCAAGGAACTGGTCTCCAATGTCCGGATGTTGATGCCTTCTCCTGGCACCGTCAAGTCGATCTTGAAACCCTCCGGAACGTTCGCCCGCAAGGCTGCCGCTCGCGTAGCCCGCGTCGCTGACGCTTCCGCCGTGGACGTCATCACCGACATGATGGAGAAGCTCACCATCCAGGACTCCCCACTGGTTCCTCGCCGCGCGTCCAGGGTCCGCTGGGCCGACCTGGCCTCCAAGGAGAAAAGGTTAGTTCAACAGCGTTTGATCACTAACTGGCAGACGAAGGTCGACGTTGTGCCGTGGGAGGTAAGTCAGTTGGGCTTGATTCGGCAGACCAAGATCGAAGAAGAACGGGGAGCTGAAATTGCTGCGGTGAGTTGTGGATTTGTCGATGGCAAATGTGTCGCTGGCACTCCGGATGTAGACCTTGTTCGAGAGAACAAGCCTCAGGTCAAGTCTTCCAGGGTTCTGCGTCATGTCTTGCTCCGGGAAACCTCTGCACGCCGCTGGCATTCTCACCGGCCACCTACCTTCTTCGAGAAGATCCGTCCTTGGTGCATTGGCGCTGCCGCTGTTGTCGCCGTTGTTTCCGCCTTCACCTTGCTCTAGTGACATTTGTTTGTCCTCTTTCCCCTTTTTCTGGATGTGCTACCCATCTCTCACCATTCTCGCCTCGTGTTGGTTCGTCCCCCCTTCACAATTTTCCCCTTTTTTCTCTGCCCGTTTTCTTTTGTGCGCCATTGATGCGCCTGCCCATGAGCCCACTCCTTTGCACCTACACCGTCCGTCCCCCACAAAGGATAAAAAAAGGATAAAAAAAATCCCCTTCACTTCGGTCATCCACCGCGAGTGGCCGGTCCACCCGGTCTCGTTGTTTTTGGAGTTTTGGCTTTTTTGGTGTTGTGACGGCTAGGCTGGTTTTCTTGGTTCGTCACACACGATATGTCCTCCATCCCCCCGATGCCCAAGCCCAATTCACCACTCCGAGTCAAGCATACCAAAACACCGGCGACGGGCTTACTTCATCAGCAATAGGTTCGACTGGATCCGGGGTTCAACAGCCGATGGAACGTCTGGGGCGGCTGGTGTCGGGACCGATACCCGGTAAGTTTCTTCCCCTTCTTCTTTCACGCTTTCAGTTGCTAACATCTTGCGCCTTCCGTTCGGTGGGGGCATCTATGGCTTCTCACTAGGGATGGAAGAGGTGTCATGGTGGATGACAGGTGTCTGGACGGGCTTTGGAGCTGGTCGACAAGTTGGAGGTCTCTTCCCCATCCGCATGATCACGTCTCCCCTTCGCCATTCAGAGAGCTTTTAGATAGTCTTCACCTGAACAGGCCTAGTCGTCAGGGCTGTTGGCGGCACTTGGACTTGACCTGTGCCTCTACGTGGCGTCCAAGACGAGTAGTCCTTGTGACGAAACCAAACAGATCATCATGTACACAGCGTGCTTCACCAATGAATTGGCTGTCTTCAAAATGTGTGCACTCTCTGTGTGACATCTTGATGTGACGATTTGGTGTTCGTACGCTTGACGTTTCAATTGACCTAGTGAATGGGCCGTTCAGATGCGTTCGACTCAGCACTAAACGGCATGCAACAACAACAGGAACACCACCAATATGGGATGAATTGAAAATAAACAAATGTTGCCAACCTTGGCTCACTCAATTACTCCTGTATAGATCCATAACCCGATCGAACGCGTGTCCCAAGGCCCCTGAAACCGAAACTCCAAGCTATGCACATCATGAAGGTAATCTGAATGCCCAGAAATTAAAAGATACAGCCCAGATTGTAAGTTGTCCACGACACGCCCGCTAAAACTGCAACGTCGACACTAGGATGTCGCCGGGGGACTCGCCAGCCCCGCCTCATACACGGCCGCGAAGTCCAACTGCGCCAGCTGGGAGTTGATCTGGTCGATTTCCCGGCTCAGGTCCTCCAAGTTCAGCGCGAGCGAACTCACCTCGTCGAACTTCCGTCGCCGGTTGGCGTCCGCGACCATCTCGGACACGAAGAACTTCTGCTCCTCGAGCACGATCAGCCGTTCGCGCAGCTCCTTCTCTTCCGCTTCCATCTGGCTCATCGCCGTGCTGCCGGACATCTGGGAGCTGGTCTCGATGTCATTGAACTTGATGGCCGACAGCGCGGATGGAGGACGGCCGCTGTGGCTAGGTTTTTGATGCCCTGCGCCGTGGGGAGAGGCGTGTTTGAGGATTTTGGGGAGGGACTTGAGAGGGAGCATGTGGAGGTGGAGGAAGTTGTACGCCTGCTGGTACACGGCTTTTTGGAGTCGGAGTTGGCCCGGGGAGGTCGAGGGGAGGTCACGAATGCGGCGGGCCGCGGTGTCGTACTGTGAAAATGCGTCCATTAATCGTTTCCGCACTTTGGTCGCATCGGAGATATGGTCATGTGAGGGAGGGTTCTCCGCATCCCTTTTGTAGCGTTAGATGGTCGTTTCATCGTAGATATTTCGAGGGACGTACTGTAAGGCTACGAGCAACCGCTGGAACTTTGGCAGCAAGAGGCGGATGCCCCTTTGAAATTCGATCAAGTTCTCGTAACTTCTCTGATCGGGCGGTTTGTGGGCGAGTTCCCGTGCGAAATCGACTCGACTGAACAGTGTGTGGGAACAGTCTTTGCACATTCGAACATCAACACCCACTTTCCCCAGACGTTTCTCTGAAATGGCGTCAGTGACTAGATTCATTAGTGTCGTAACAGATATGAGATGTCGTGCCACTGAAAAGCTTACCGGTAGCAACGCTCAGCCCAATCTCCTTCGAGCAGCCCGTCCTCAGATCCCCGCATACGACTCGGCCGCAAAGCCGACAGTGGTGGCGTCGAAATGAGTACGTCGAGAAGTCTTGCTGACAAAAGGGGCACTTCATAACTTCGGCATCGTCCTCCCACGCAATCACGGATTGTTCTAGCGCCCTTTGTTGGGTCTTGGCCCCGGACATCGACCACAACCCGGTAGACGTATTGGGGCTTTCCATCGGCGGAGGGTTGGCGAGTAGCTGCGTGAGCTTCGTCAACCGTGCCTCCAGCCTACTAACTTCGAGATACGCCTTGTCAACCGTTTTCCGCCGAAGGGTCATGAACTCTGAGGTATGGTCTCTTGCGAACCCTTCCCGAATGTCAGAGGATCACCCAGTCTCCATGTGGTATGAACTCACCTGTGTAGTCATTATAGCCTTCTCTTGACTTATAACACGTTTCACAAACGCGGCACCAGATGCCTCGTACTGGCTCGTGGGTGGCGGATCGCGATAGTTTCATCTGATACATAGTATATTCCTCGCAGAACAGCTTGCCGCACTTGCGACAGTTGACACTGCCGTTCACACCCCCGAGGCGCTTATTGCACATCGGATCGGAGCATGAATCGTAGGACGTTGGTTTTTGCCAATGCGACCGTGTCACAAGTTCGTCGGGGTCAATAGGGTCTGGTTGAGGGGAAGTATGGCCTGAGGTGGGAGGAAGAGGTTGGGTGAGAGGAGGGGGCGTATTGTTCGACTCGAAGACATCCAGGCCCTTAAGCTTTTGATTGAGAGCGACAAGCGGTTGGAACTTCTTCGCTTTAACCATCTGTGTCCGGAACCATGTCTTCACCTCATCCGACTCCATCACCTCAAGGTTCGCATGGTTATCATCGAGGTGTCTGTATCCGTTAGGCTGCCGTCTGGTTGGATTGCGTGGTTAAACCATACCTATTAAGCTGGAGCAGAGTGACCTTTGGATATATCAGTATCAAACATATCCAACCAAGAGGGTGGGAATCGTACCATTTCATCGTTACATATCGGACATACCATCCGCGAGCTCGCGGTTGCGGCGGCCGCATTGCTCAACGACACTTTCGAGGAGATATCCTGGGTTTCTGCGCTCGAGGCCGGGGACTCGGAGGCCTTCGAGATTACGGAGAGAGAGCTGCCGGACGGACTGATATTCCGTTTGATATGTTCGGCGGCAGCGCTGGCCGGAGTGAGGTTCCTCCCGCTCCCTAGGACTCTGCCTCCGCCTAGGGACCTTCGGGAGGCCATGGCGGTTTATTGGTGGTAATGAGCTCGTTCGAAGGGGAGACCGTTCAGCCGGAGCATGGAAGGTATGGACATGGTGGCTCTGACCTTGGAAATCTGGTTTACGGTGGGTTGGAGTGAAATTCGTAGTATGTGCAAGTATGAAGACTGCCTGACTTCCACCCAGTCGGTTCGTTCAATTCGAGATGTGGGGTGAGTGCCTGAGGCATTATTAAGGATACTCTAGTGATAGAACTCGGTGAACGACAAGAACCACAAGTGCATTTCGTTGGTGTTGCTGCTCGGACTTGGACTGATCAACTTGGGACATATAGAGTAATAATTGATACTGAACAGTGACATCTCATTCGCGGCCTATGAGTAACACCAGCTACTCACATAGCTCTCAGCCCCACTAGCTAATTGTAAGGAGAATGGAGGACATCGAGTTTGCTGCCCTCGCGAAGGACGACCCCGACTTCGCCAAAGTGCTAAAGGAGAATAATAAGATCGATTTCTGGGACCCATTGGCGGTACAGTACGTTGTTGTTTGAACTGTGTCTTTCAAAATATGGTGCTAAACTGCTGCGCTAGGCAGTTGACCAAGAGTGTCCTTAGACGGGACTTTAAGCTGGAAATCAACCTACCCGGGGATCGTCTGTGCCCTCCAGTTGGTTCTAAGCGATCCAATACTTGAAGACTGAGCTGATAGATTCTCTAGGTCCCTAACCGGTAGGTCTGAACTATTGTATATTGATGAATGGACAGGATGCTTACAACATATAGCTTTGCCTATATCAAATGGCTACAGAAACTGATTGACTCGACTGGTGACAGCTATAGGGATGCGTACGAAGAATCACGAGAAGTGATTGGAATCGATATGTAAGAAGACACTCTTGCTATTCGGTATCATGAGCTCATGAAGTATAGCGGAGTTGGAGCCAGTTGCATCTATCCACTACTCGGATGTGCATCGAGACCGAACTGGCGTTTTGGAGGGACTGAGATCGATGCCCGAAACCTTGAGTTCGCACAGAAAAATGTCCGAACAAATGGACTCGAATCACGGATCCGGATTTTGCCCGCAAAAGAAGGCCAGCCCCTGATCTCGCTGGCGCAACTCGGGACCGACCATGCGGACTTTGTCATGTGCAACCCTCCATTCTTCACCTCCCTGGAGGATATGGACGCGACATATGAGACGAAAACTAAGCCACCCTCCGCTGTATGCACTGGAGCCGCGGTCGAGATGATCACCGACGGCGGAGACCTCGGCTTTGCGCTTCAGATATTCGCCCTCAGCCAGTCACTCAAAACGAAGATTCAGTGGTATTCGTGTCTGCTAGGCAAGCTCCAGAGCGCCAAAGATCTCGTCGCTCGTCTCAAGGAGTCGGAGATTACTAATTTCGCCGCACACTGCCTTCAGACCGGCGGTCGCACCAAGCGGTGGCTGGTTGCATGGTCCTATGACGACCTACGCCCTGAGGATAGCATTGCACGAGGCGATGGTTTGAGCAAAGAGCTACTTCCGCCATCCACGTCGGCCCAGATCCTCGTCAGGGACATGCCAGCTTCGAATTTGGGAGACGCCGTAAACCAGATTTTCGCCGACCTCCCGCTTCGCTGGATATGGAAAGCATCCAACCTCAAAGGTCTTGCTCTCGCTACAGAAAACGTCTGGTCACGATCTTACCGCCGGAAAATGAAGTTTCAGGGAGACTCGACGTCGAAGTCTGATGAGGACCGCCCGGTTGCGCTCGCTGTGCTAGTCCTGGTTCATTCCAACCAGGTCACCGTTCGGTGGATGAGAGGCGAAGACCATGTGCTCTACGAAAGCTTCTGCGGCATGCTGAGGCGCAGCCTTTTGGCAAAGTAAAACACGCGATAAAATGCCCAATGCCCTCGATTCTCACGGTCGGATGTTCGACGCCAGCGACGCAGGGAACCCTTTCCTTTGGTGTTCAGCCACGCATCTCTTCTCAGAGTACGCCATGATGTCGCACACCTTGACTGGGGATCCGTCGTGTAAATCAAATGGTAAGAATTCGCCATTGCATCTGGTACCTGTGCTAACAATGTGTTCAAGGGAGCTGGGATTCATAGCCCACTGAATCACACATCTTACGTTGCTTCCCTAGCTGCATACTCCATTCGATCCTATCGCTGTGGACTCTGCTATGGAATATTCCGTCCATTAGAGCAAAGCTGATGGATGTCGCATGAACTTCAGCCTTGGAAGCTTACATCTACAATGACGTATACGAAATGATGAATCTCGTCTTGATTTCAGGCGAGCTTAATTTACCTGAGCGGCAGTCTGCCAGCGAAGTTGAAACCGACCATACTCCATCACACCACATCTCCAAAGCACCCAAAAATGGTAGATTCCTATTCCGAATGAATCCTGACGTCTTGCCCAAGTACTCGTTCCTCCTTTCCACTCGCCAACTTAACCAACGCCTCTCCATCCACTCTCAACCCCACCCACTCCACCATCTTCGTCGCCCCAATCCCCTCATAGAACTTCAACGCATTCTCATTCCATGTCAAACACGCCCACTCCAACCTCCCCCCGTCCATCTCCACCGCCCTCCGCGCCAACTCCTTCAACAGCAACCCCGCATACCCCCGCCGCCGATACGCCGGCCGCACGTACAGGTCTTCCAGGTAAATCCCCGGGCGCGCGCGCCACGTGCTGTAGTTGAAGAAGTACAGAGCCATGCCCGCGACGTCGCCGTCCGGCGATTGAATCAGGAGCGTCTTCGCATACCCCGAGTTGCCGAGGCTCGTGCCGATGGAGTCCGTCTCTTCGAAGGACAGCGTCGTGAGGAGGGTGCCTTCGGTGGCTTCGACTTGGTCCTCACAGTTTTCGAAGGCGGCGAGCTCTTTGATGAGGTTGAGGACCGTAGTGACGTCTGCGGCCGTTAGCGGAGTCCCGGGTGCGAGACGGCATAGGACGGGAGTACCGGCGCGTCGTGCGAGACGGATGGTTGGCTCCGTGGCCATCTTCACATGAGTTCCCGATTTGAAATCTTCGGATAGATTCACTTGTCCTACAATCTACATAATTTCAGAATTCAGAATCACCAATATTTATGATTCGGGAGGGCGTCGAACCTGCTCTGATGGGACGACATTCCAAATAGTGGACCCAGACTCGGCGCTAAATCCCGAACAGGAAGTTATAATTCAAAGTTCGAACCGAAAGGGCAACATTATGACCGCCGTACGCATCTATCAGATTCAACTTGGAAGACTCCGAATCAACTCTCGGTTTGTTCTAATATTATCTATCAGCCAGACTATATCGGCAAAGCGATATGGTGATCAAGCACTATCAAGGCATCTGGAAATGCGCGGAGCAACCTGGATCGATTCGGACTTCATTAGATCGATGACACCATTGACACGTCTGATATCTGGGATAGGATGCCCACACGGTTCTTAATTCCTCTCCAATGATTTCCATACATCCCACCTGTAGGAACTCGGTCCCAATCCGGGGCGCTGAATTGAATTCGATTCCCGGTTCGAAAGCACCGTTCAGCATACCCGTAGGTTGCACCTGTCCTTGCAACGATCGCTCACGCGGATGCGATATCAATGGACCTTTCGTCCTATCCTCCTATCTCTTCGGGAGAAGCGTGAGGTACCGAGACCGTCTGTGCCTGGGAGCCCCACTGCACATCCCAATTTTTCCCCGCCTCGTTCCATTTCATCAGCGGACACAGGGAAAACGTATAGGCCCAGATCCGACGCATGGTCCGAGCATCCAGCCGACTCGGAGGTACCCAAGCCCCCAGGTGGTTCAAGGGCCGAGCCAGCACGATGCGTTCGAGATACCGGCTGACGGTCTTTTCCAGAATTTCCGAGTTGTCCTCGGATGAGTGCTCCTCGCCATCTGCGGTCTCTGCTTTGAGTGCGTTGGCACCCTTCACCATTTCGTAAAGCTTTTGCCGATCGAACACCACGGGAAGTCCTTCAGGAGAAGCACGTCGCGGTCGGGGGCCTTCCCAGGGCACTTTTCCGGATGCAAGATCTCGCAAACGTTCCCACTCCGATTCGGGAAGCGGAGCCTCCAACTTGTGTAGAAACTCGGCATACAACTTGTATATGGCGTTCTGTTCTCGTTTGCGCGGCATCGGCTGGAGCCACATATTCGTGGACGGGATCGCGAGCTTGGTCGAGCGGAGCGTGCGTCGTTGTCGACGGCCGTTGAACGTGTGCTGGGCCTGGGACCGGGCCAGATCCCGGAGTCGCGAATATCGTGGGGAGATGGTATATGTGATGTGCTGTTTGTCGACCGTCCTCGTGCCCCATAGCTGTGCCGGAATGCTTTCGAGGCCGGGAAGCGGCGGTTCGAGAGGAGGCGCATCTCCGTCTCCAGAAGATGCGTCCGACAGATCATGGTCAGGCTGAACCAAAGTGTTTATAAGCTGACGCCTGGGTTTGCCAGTCCGGCCGTACGTCTCGAGGATAATGGTTGTTAATACCGACAGCTTTCCATGGTTGGCATTCTGCAGCCTCTCCAGGGCATGATGACCTGTGTGCAACCTCCTTAAGAGGACAGGATCCACCCACTCTTCCGGAGAGCTTTTCTTCTTCCGGCATATATACACTGCCTCTCGGATGTTTTCTCGCCCATTCCTAAACCGTTCCAGGGCATGCTGACGACAGTAGGCTCGTGCCGACGGATCAGGAAGGTAGGTGGACTCCCGCAGGATGGCACGAAGCAGATGGCGAGTTATTGGGCCATATTTGGAACGGATTCTTTCCATGAAAACCTCTTATCTCAACACCCACGAACCCCGAGTGGTGAGACGCGTGAAAACGCGATGCAGACGCGTCCTGTGGCTGGTTAAGGCTGATCTACTCATCTACAAAGAATCCTCTTGGAATTCTCTTGGAATGATATGAACAGGGAGGCACGGAGGCACGGAGGGAACAGATGAAGCCTGATGGTAATAAAGATTACCTAAACACTGGCGTCGGGCCGAAGCGCTCCGACAGCGCTGATTGGCGGTTGGCACGTCGCACACTTCCACTCCCACTTGCTCCTCCAACGCGTTTCTCCGCTGTGTCGCGCGTGTCCACGTCGGTCTTCATCCTCTACTCCTCCATACCAATCCATATCCATCCATCTGTCTGCGCTCCACGTAACCCACTATCAGTCTATCACCCCTCCTCTTTGGATCTCATCATCGAACACTCTTAGCCTGACATCCCTTTTCTCGTGTGCGCGCTCATTCCCATCCGAGTACGGAGTACGGAATACCTCTCGTCTTTGCGCACGCTCCACACTGCACGCTCCACCACCATCGAACCCGACGTGACATGCCTTGCATTTGGTGATCCGCTTCCTACAGGAATGTCGGCCACGATCGAATCGGTAGTTCCACCACAGCCTCTCCCAATTGCATACTCTCGTGCGGCCAGCTCCGCTTCAAACCTTGAGGGAATGCAATATCAAGCCTCCTACGATGGCCGCCAGCCGTCCTTCTCCAGCTCGACCGGCCCCTCGTCGCAAATGAGCTTTAGCGCCTCACAGTCGGCTTCGCAACCGACGCAGCCAACGTCTCAATCGGCTCCGAATTCCTATCGAAATCACTCGCATGCAAATGGCCATCAGCAGGTCGCTGTCGAAGAGGGGCCAGCGATCTATCGGGTATGTTCCGATGCTTCTCGCGTGCCGGGAATCCCGACTTACATCACCCAGGCGGTCTATTCAGGAGTGTCCGTGTATGAGATGGAGGTGAACGGTATCGCCGTCATGAGGAGACGCCCGGACTCCTGGCTGAATGCGACCCAAGTGCTGAAAGTCGCGGGGGTGGACAAAGGCAAGCGCACCAAGGTTCTTGAGCGCGAGGTGCAAACCGGCGAACACGAGAAGGTTCAGGGAGGATATGGCAAGTATCAAGGGACCTGGATCAATTTCCGACGGGGTCGCGAATTCTGCCGACAGTATGGTGTTGAGGAACTGCTGCGCCCGTTGCTGGACTACGACATCACCATCGACGACAATCTCCCAGAGGGAAGTCAGATGGAGACTCCGACGAAAGAGCAGGCAATGGCGGCGCTTCGAAAACGATTCTATAACACGTCCATGGACGGACGAGTCCCGGTCCAGACCCCGAACGGGACGTTCTTTTCCAACATCTCACCCACCGCTTCCAATGCCCTCGCCGCCATGAACAAGGTTGCTCGGATCAATTCTCCCGCGCCTCGTCCCGGAAGCGCACAGAAACGGCCTGGAACCAATTCGCATCGTTACTCCCAGCAGCACATGCCGGGAAGCCAGGAATCCTTCCGAAATGCGAGCCAACAAAGCATGCAGAGTTTCACATCCGAACGAAGTTTCAATGGACCGGTTCCCAACGAGCCCGTCTATCTCTCGCAAGGGAGCCACTATGGAATCGAGGCGGCCGTCGATCGCCAGAGCGACTTTCAAGAGCCACCAAGGAAACGAATGCGATCCAGTCAGGAAGACCCGTTCTCACAGCTTGACAACGGCGACGCCGACATGCTGGAAGGCACTCCGACGGAGCCGAATGAATCGTTTGTTTACCGCGATCTCGGTCAGCTGCGAGAAGAAGTGGAAGAGGTCGAGCTCCGTACGCCGATGCCGGCGATGCCGCATCCCGGTGACAAGATCGATGAGGATAAGCAGGCACTATTGATGGACCTTTTCGCCGACCTCAACCGGACCGATTATGTTCACCACGAGGCGTTAACGACGCTCTCCGGTACCGACTTCGACATTCCTCTGGACAACTCGGCGAACACCGCGCTACATTGGGCCGCGACCCTTGCGCGGGTTCCTCTTTTACGGCTCCTCATTTCCCAAGGAGCAAATATCTTCCGAGGCAACGTCATTGGCCAAACCCCTTTGATGTCGGCGGTGACGGTGAACAACTGCCTAGAACAGAGCTGTTTCCCCGAACTCCTGGAGACATTGAGCCCCTTGATCGAGTACCGAGATACTCAAGGTCGTACCATCCTCCATCACATCGCCGTCTCTTCAGGCATCAAAGGCCGCGCTACCTCCAGCAAGTACTATCTCGAAGCCCTATTAGAGTACTTGGTGAGGAGTAGCAACACTCCTAACGGGCAGCCTGAGCCACCCCCGAGTTCGAGGAAACCGATTGGGTTGATGCGTTTCATGAGCGAGATGGTCAACGCGCGAGACAAGGGCGGAAACACAGCTCTCAACCTCGTTGCTCGAATCGGTAACCGCAGCATCATCCAGCAGCTTATCGAGGTGCAGGCCGATCCGACCATTCCCAATTTCAAAGGCTTGCGACCCATCGATTTCGGTGTCGGAACCGACTCGGAACGGACAAACTCACAAATCCCGATGAGCCAAACCAGTTCTCCCAGCAAATCCAGACTATCCTCCAGCCGTATCGATGAGAGCAGCCGGGAGATCTTGCCCTGTAGGCGTTCCCGCTCCAACATATATATGCCGTGTAACTAATAAATGTCCCAGCCTTATCCTCTTTCCTTTCGCAGACAGATTCCCAGTTTACGGCCGAGATCCAACTCAAGCAAGAGAAGGTCGACGAGACGAACGGGCAAATCCGCGATGTCTGCGCACGACAGCGCAGCGAAGGCGAGCACCTCGCACACATGCGTCGAAAGCTACGAGACCGGTCGAATCGCGAGCAGCGGATCGCGAACCTCAAACGCGCGCTCGCCGACCAGCGGGTGCGGCTGCAGAGCGGGTCCTTCGATCTCAACATGAACGACCTGGGCCCGGAAACTGTGGCCGCCATGCAGGGGCAACCCATCTCACGCCACGTGCGCATCGGCGACGCGGACGACATGCTCTACTACAACCAGGCGGTCGGCAATCTCCCTATCAACCCAGCCCTCGAGTCGTACGAGGACTTCGCCGCGTACGCCGACCAGCTGGCGCGGAATGGCGTCGCGGAGCACGTAGCCGCCAGCCTGCCCGCGACGACCGCCCTGCGCGCCATCCTCGCGGTGTACCACGCGGACAACCAGGAGCTGGCCGGGCGGGCGGCAGCGCTCAAGGCGCGCGACGGGGATCTGGAGGCGCGGTATCGCCGCGTCGTGTGCCTATGCACGGGCGTCGAGGAGGATCGCGTGGACGACATGCTAGCGAATCTCGTGGCGGCGGTGGAGAGCGAGCGGGACGAGGTGGAGGTGAGCCGCGTGCGGGAGTTTCTAAGGAAAGTCAACGTGACGGTGACCGCATGAGTGGCGATTTACGAGCTGTATGATGATCCCGCGTCAACTCTTGGTTAACGTCGCGTCTACGGCGACTGGATCCTTCGAAGCATCCGTATGAACCTCTGAGCAATGTACTGTTAATGATGGAGCCTAGTGATCGCAGTATCGCGATTCGCCACTGATATCCCCTAACGTAGTGAATGAAATAGGCAATATGAACGGAAATGATCGATATTGAATTGTGATACAGAGCTGATCTACCAGATCATATCGCGTGCTATGCCGATCTCTCGCAGCAATGATCCTATACTTCTAGCGACCGCGATCAAGCCTCCGCATCAGCCCCAGCATCGAAAGACTTCGGCTGCTGCGCTGCTCGCGACGGATTCGTGCTCTCGCTCCCAACCGACACCGCATCACTCCCGTCGGTGCCCATACTCAGAGTGCTCGCTCTCTTGTGCAAACTCTGCGTGCCCACCGGGAACTCGCTCCCTCCCGTCGTCGGCGTCCCCGGCCTTGACCCGGTCGGCGTCAGCCTCGGTGGGATCGGTTGCCCGGACGCATACTCCATCGTCGTCAGGGATATCCCGCCTTTTCGTCGTCGTCGATCGCCGCTAGGTCCGGCCGCGCTACTCGTGCTCCATCGTCGCTCCCGGTCGGCACCTACGCCACGCGGTGCAAGGTGGCCTCCGTTCTCGTCCACTTCGGGGGTCATTGACGTACTACTCCGCGACGACGAGCGAGAATGTGACCCTTCCGGCTCCCGTAACGTGCTCGGTCGTCGGCGGCGCTTCTCCTTCTCCTTATGCGACACCCCATGCGCTTGCGGCTTTTCCACGTCCGCTCCCCCCTTTGCCGCCCCTAGCTTCCGACTCGCCCGCGCCCACCCCCGCCATCCTGTCCACCAGAACCACCCGCCCTCCTGCCGCGCCACCTCCCGCTGCCGCGCGCGCACGCGCCGCCGCAATTCCGCCCGTCGCTCGTTCTCCTTCTCCCAGTACTCCTCGCGGAACTGCTCCCAGTGCTCGCGGAACTCCGGCGTGAACGGCTTCGGGAGGAGCAGCAGCTTCACGTAGTCGCCGCCCTGCGAGATGTCTTCCTCAGCCACCTCGACTCCCGCGGTGCTGCGGTGTCGCGCGTGCAGGTGCGCGGCGGCCTTCTTGTCGCCCGGGACGTATTCGACGCGCTGGTAGTCCGAGCCGGGGGAGGGGTAGAAGAAGTAGTAGGGGAGGAGGAAGGCGAAGTGCGAGAGCGATTCCCGCCACCACGGACCCCGCAGGATCACCAGCTTGCAGTTGAAGCCGCGCAGCCCACGGTTGGTGATGGCGAGCCACCGGCGTGGCCACCGCACGCCGCGCTCCCACTGCCCCGTGACCCAGAACAGCAGCGCCATGACGATGCCGCCGATGAGCGCGACCTTTTCCGCCGTGTCCACCACCCAGTACACCGACCCGCCGACCCCCGTGCCATCTTCCCGCGGCCGCAGCCACTGGCCCCAGAAGCAGTACGCGATCCACAGCGTCAGGACGGTCAGGGTGAAGGTGTTCTGGCGGCGCCGCGCCAGCAGATTGAGGTACTGCGCGCGCAGCGAGCATTCGAGGATCAGCAGGTTCAGGAAGATCTGCGACGGGGCGGACGGAAGGAGGGAGGTCGGGTCTGGTGGGGGTGGGTCGACGTCGACATCGGGAGGGGGAGTGCCTTTGACGAGGGCGTCGAGGTTGGAGGTGGACATGGTTTCGGGGGGATATATGAATGTCCCTTGTGTAAGGATGGACAGGAGCGCGAGGCTAGGACGCCTGTTGGAGGACTAGGCTACTTCATAATGCGAGGTACCGTAGGCAGTAGGCGAGGTCAATAACGTGATAGTACTATAGCGTGGATTGAGCCAGTGACGGGACTTGAAAGGGTTGATACTACAGTTATTACTAGAGGGTATGACGAAGGTTCGGAGTATTCCTGGGAGCTGCACGTGGAAACTGGGAGCGAAAGCGAATAATACAGTAATCGCAAGTTCGTATACCATTGTCAAGGTTGATTGGCTATTTGTGTAATTAATTCCTGGTAATATTTTCTGTATCAGAATAGGGCTGCCTGCTCCAGCTATCTGCGACTCGCTCTTCTCGCTTCATTCTTGACTCTTGACTCACAATTCCGTCGTATCCGCTCGCGCTTCAGCATTTCATTTCCATTGATTATTATTATCATTCATCATTTATTGTATTCCAATCTCAATGCCTTTCTCCTCGAATGCTGCGCGTGTGATCGTCATCATGGCTAGCATTAGCATCCTCCACTCATGCTTCGTCCGTGCCAGCTGTTGATTCCTAACCTCTGGCCCATCGACTAGAACCCTCAGTCATGAAACCAGAAACATGGTCCAGCCAAGTCATTTGACTCATTTCGATTCCTTTGAAGCCTTTGTTAAATCCCAATTTCTTGCTAGACATATCTTCTCTTGAAAGTTTCCTTCACCAGGGGCTGTAGGCCTATAGCCAGCGAATGGGCACTCCTTCGAAGTCAGGCCTTTCCCTTCCTGTCCTAACACGAATGTCTACCTCCATATGTCTTGATGTATCAGGGTTGGCTAACCTATTTGTTTGCATTGCAACACCCCAAGTCCTTGATATGGCAGGGTTTCATATGAGTATTGGACCATGAATGGAAAGGATCTGTTTCATTGTTGCTCCTCGGCATTAGACATTACCTACTTACATTTAAGGGCTTGTTGTAGTACTTCTAGAACAGCCATTCGGACGCTCGGATGGTCGTGCTCCCTTCATCCTAGGGCTCGCTAAATTATTTGATCTCATATATCTTGTTAATTTCGACTTAAGCATGTAATTCAAGCTTGTCCTTTGGCTTCTCATCCATGTGGTTTCATCTATCTAACACTCCTTGCGCCATGGACCCATCGTCATCTTTCAATCTCGGAGGCAGAGGCGAGAAATATTTCTGAGACAAAGTATTTATCGTCAATATACTACCCTCTCGGTTTACAGTAGCCTGCTAGTAAAAACAATCTATCTACTAGGCTAAAGATTTTGATGTGCCCTATCAATCGGCTTTTGAGTCGCCGACCTAAACATGAACTTCGCGATTAGAATGCTTCGCCGGACATTGATACATGGTACAGTCTTCTTTTCTTATTCAATCTACTTGTTTCATCCGCAATAGTGTCCGATCGACAATGCGCAGCGGGTATGCCTTGGCCACTCTCTCGCCAGCGCCCGGGGTCGAGAGGTTTATATGTACCAGCCTCCTGACCCTCGAACGCCGATATCCCGTGTGCACCTGTCTATCCCATCCGGAAATTTCACTCGTTTTTCTGTTTTCTTGAAAGTTCTCGTCCTTCATTCGCCATGTTGCACGCCACCACTCTCTTGTTGCTGCCTTTGGCAGCGATTGCTGCACCACTCGAGTCCAGGCAGCACGATCACGGGGCGGCCACTGGCGGCACTGGTGCCACCGGAGGTGCTGCGGGTGCTGGATCTGCTGGAGCTGCTGGAGGAAGCAGCGGCCTCGCTGGACTACTTGGAGGATCTGGAGGCGAGGGCGGAAGCAGTGGCCTCGCTGGACTTTTTGGAAAAGGCAGCGGCTCAGGTGGCAGCGGTGGTCTCGCCGGACTACTTGGGGGTGGGTCCAATGGATCCAGTCCCTTCGCTGGTTTGTTCGGTGGAGGCGATCCCTTGACGCCATTCAAGACGTACGAATTGGAGCCCAAGATTCGAAAGGACGCCAAGCGTGTCAAGTATGCATGGGGCCCGTATGAGCTGCTCGGTGCTAGTGTATGGTTCCTACGACTTGGACTATGGACAACAACTAACGTACATAACAGGCGGACAAACCCGCTGGAAGCTTCTCCATGGATCCAAATGGTCAATCGTTCATGTCCTCAGTGACTGGAGTTGCCGGTCCAGCTGCAGTATTGGCTGGCAAGGTTGGCTTGATGTATGAAGATGGCTGTGAGGCGAACATTGAGACTGGGATGTGAGATTATCCTGTTTTCCCTATGATATACGTGCAGCTCACACCTTGAAAGTTACACCCATCACATCCTCACCCGGGCAACGGGCAAGAAAGATGTTCCTTTCGTTGGCCGATGCCCGACCGAGGATGGCAAGCCGGCTAACTCAAGCTCTGGCTTATCCAGCCTCCTTGCCGGCCTCAATATCGGGAGCGGCTTCATCGGCGCTGGAGAAGACAATGGCAATGAGCCGAACATGTACACGAATAGTGACGGAACCTATCCGTCCGCGTTCAACATTGCTGCCGGGGAGAAATTCAGTGCCCAGCTTGACCTAGTCAACTACAAGGAGACCACACAAAAGCTTTACATAACCTTCGATATTGAGTATCTTGAGGGTTCGGCCGAAAACGATGCAACCTCGGCCCTACTGAGTGTTACAGGTGCGTACCCATATAGGATTCGCGCAGGTGGCGGCGATAGAAATGGACGCAAAATTTCTGGATTTCGGAACTGACCATGACCTAGGCTGTGGGGCTGACCCGATTGCCACGAGCAAAGACGGCCCGGCGTCCACCAAGAGCAAGAAATGGGGCATTCTTTCCGACGGATACATCGTCTCCGCCAAGGGCCATCTTCACGACGGAGGTGATAAGATGGTGTTATTCCTCAATGATAAGGAAGGTGAGCACTTCTTTCGACAATCCTGTACGAGTCCATGCTCACAGTCGCAGTCTGCACATCCGAAGCCATCTACGGTGGCGCTGGAGGCACCACCACGATCAATGGGAAGGAATGGGAAATGCTCAATGGCATGAGCCAGTGTAGCAACTCCATCGCCGTCAAGGCAGGCGACTATATCTCCATGGAAGCTTTCTACGATCTTGCCAAGCACCCCCTGTAAGTCTCCAACCGTTTCAAGCGGGAGAAGGAAACTAACTCGGAATCAGTCGCGAGGACCAAGGTGGCGCGGGGCATGACGATGGACACAGCTTGGGCATCATGGGAATGTTCTCGCTTTCGTATGCTGCAGGTGGCGCATCGTCCAACTCGACCGCAGCGTGAACGGCTGGCTAGTTGTAGGAGTTGGGAGCGCGTCTTGTGTTCCAGTGTGAAGCAGCAGGCCTTCGAATCTGATAGAATGCTTTTGATCTTAAATATAGGCTCTCGAGGCTGGGTGTGATCAACCACTATTAGTGCAGTACAGAGTGCGCTATATTATTATGTCTGCCTCGATTTTTCCTCTCTCTTGATCTAAGACCAAGGGGCCAAGGCATAAACACTCATGATCTTCGCCCCAGCCTCGCTTTTATCACCATGCCAAACTCTTCTCTTTCATCCGTAGGCCGCTTCAATTTTTCAACCTACCCCAACTTGACGCTGCAGGTGAGAAACTGGAGATCCGGGCGGTTCAACTCCTTTGGTCCCACTGAGACGTACCGCTCGTACTTCCTACCTACGCCTTAAACTAGGGAACCACCTTTGTCACCATATAGCTAGCCAGCATCAGATCTTCAGCTCCGAAGCATCGACATCACTAAAGGTCCGAAACGAATACATTAGATATATGACAAGTCGCTAAAGAAAGAAGGAAAAAGAAAAGGAAAGTAGATATCGTAGTATATCACTATACTCTGTGTTTATCACCAACTCCGTAGTTCTCTATGCATTCCTAACGGCCCATGAAGAGTCCTGAAATAGACTATCAATTAGGAAAGGATTCGTTATCATAGTGTCCCTTCAGGAGTACAAACCATCTCATCGTCTCTGCATTCAGAGAGTGTCTCCTAAGATCTAGCACGTCTCGCGCACCACTAAAAAGACGTTCCACGCCTACCTCAGCAGAGGGAACTGGGAGATAGTCGCGTGCCGCTTGAGCCATGCAAGGAAAGTCAGGTGCATTTGCTTTCCACCATTTCAATACCCAGTCAGGGTCACCGTCCGCAAACGAGGGATGCGACCAGCTAGCCGGAGCAGAATCCAGGTATCGGTCGACGTCCGAGGCCTGCGCACATGGATATGGCTGAACCCGTTTAAGTGTCTTCCACAGTAACTCGGGCATACCTGATGGGCGTTCCGTCTCTAATGGTAGACTAGGGTAAAATGGATATTTTTGCCTGAAGAATTCGCGCACTTCGGAAACGATCAGCTCAGCACCCTCTTTGTTCATCTGTGCTTCGATCAGGGATGTCTTAATACGCGGATCGAGGACAGCCGCCATGTAATAGGATATTATCGTCCATCATCTTCGTAAACTTATCCATCTTCCTCTCGCTCCTCTTACCGCCTCTCTAAGGTTGACACCCACGTCTTCAAACCCGCCTTTCGCCGTGTGAACATCGTCCAGAAGGTTATTAAGGGCCTAATAGATTGGGAGGCAGTCTATAAGGCTCGGACAACTCCTTAAAACGTGGTTGGTATGCTCCCAAAACGGTTTTAGAATCCTCTCAATTTGCTCCAGGGTGGACCATTCTGCATCTATAAGATGTAATGTTCTCACGTCGGGATGAGTGCGTATAAACTGTATAAGCTCTCTTCGGAGGCGGATCGCCTCGGTGATCATGATATATGTTGAGTTCCATCGATTATCGACGTCGTAGTTAATTTGCTTAGTCGGAGAGACGAGCTTCCAATCTTGGCGGCGCTGTGGACTTCGGGCAACCCAGAGGACGAGAAGGCGGATCTTAGCAATAGCACTTTTCTCCTCACTCGTGGTTAGGAGGGGCTTTTCGTGTACTTCGGGAGAAGTCGATGCTAGATTGAGCCATGCTGTGTAGGAAATCAGGATCATGCTCGTTACCACGATCCCAGACTTCATAGATGTTAAGTAAATCGATAGTGTTGTTTATTGAATAGGATTAAACGGCAGCATATGTAGGATCGTTAACGCGATAGGCGTGTCATAACAATCAAGGATTCGCGGCTTGAAGTAAACAAACCGCCATTCTCTAATTATCACTAAAAGTCGAATACGGTACATAATTTGACGCGTCATTAACTTGTCAACTCATGTAACTTATTCCCAGTGCAAACTTAATGGTTATTCATTTCGGAGCTCTAGACATCACTGACAATAGTCTCCTGTTTCCCATGTGGGCCATTTCGCTGCCACTCAACACGTGGATTCTGAACACGCTCATCGATGAAGTACGGGGATTGGAACCCGACTTCAATCCCAGCGTACCCTGTCCCGAAAGTTGGTCCGTTGAAGAGTTGCTGGACCATGATACGGTGGTCAAAAACACTTGGCTCTTCTATTAATGCCATTGGCTGTCCAATAACCCATGCATTTCTGGATCAAGATTTGTTTCTTGTTCTCCTTGGCTGGTCGTGCTAAGGGAGTTTCAGCGCCGCGACAAGGGGTGAGCACTTTATATTTGACTCACCCCCGCCGTAACTTAACGCCTGTTCTGCTGAATCGGTGCGCTAGGAACGCTGGACGGATCATGGCCGGTGATATGCCACAGAATCCCCACGGAATCCCTCCCTCCGGCGTAGCAATATTACATGACCTCGTCTTCTAATAACGAAGGGTCTTGGAAACGAAGCATAAGCCAGAGTGGTGCGCTGTTCTAATATGGTAGTCGGATTACCACCAATGATGTGTCGCGCGTTTGTTTAACCCAGTCTCGCGATATTATATTGTACCCTCCGCTAATGAAACTGGTCATAATGGAAGTATATCCCGGAGTGGTGCTCATCTGGCAATCACTGTTCCTGTTTCTTCAAAAATGTTATATATCGGCTGCCTTATCATTCTTCGAAGCGCAAGGGAAACCTAACCACGGTCCGATTCCCCATCCCAACGAAGAGCAGGGAAACACATCATGGTTCAATTCTTTACTCTCACGGCAGTGCTAACACTTGTCTCCATCGTCCACGCCCAGTGCGGCGCGGGCACGCCGGACGCCAAGGTAACCGGCAGTGGCGGGTCTTTCACGGCCACCAGAGGCGCAAACAGAGTGTACTCCGGCTCAAACTACCATGCTGCAATCCAGGCTGCGCTCGACTCCATTCAGAGCGGTCAGCGCGTTTCCGTCATCGCATCGGGGTCCATCGGTACCAGCACCATCTCCATCGGCAGCGGGAAAATCTTCGAGGGTTGCGGTACCATCAATGCGGCCCTTAAGAACGGAAGGGGTGCCATCGAGTCGCTGAACACCCAAGGAACGCAAATCCCGTACCTCACTATGACCGGCGATCCGTACTTTGGTCTGCGGTTCTACGGCACCCGCGATCTGGTCCTGGGCCAAATCACCATGAACATGGGCGGCAAAACCATCGGTATCCGCTTCGACCGCGACCAAGCCGCGAACTCCAACGTGAAAATGGACGTCATCCGCGTGACCGGTGCGGGTGGTCACGCCGTCGAGACCTGGAACATCGACGGCCTCGAGATCAACCAGGTCATCGCCCGGAACGTCGGCGAGTCCGCCCTGCTGCTCCAGAAGACCACCAATGCGAAGGTAAAGCTCGTCGATGGGGAGAACGTCGGGAAAGGGACCGGGTATGCGACCTTCCGCATGGCGAACAACAACGGCCAGAACAAGAACGGCGACTACAAAACCAACATTTACATCGACAAGGTCGTCTCCCGCGGCGGTGGACGCGGCGTCTTCTGCGTCTCGCAATCCGGAGCGGTCGTCATCGAGAGCGTCGACCTCGCGAACAACGGCAACAACGCCATTCTCATCGAGAACTGCTACAACGTTGCGATCCGCGGTGGGACCGTCAACGGAGGAGGAGAGGTTCGCCTCTCGGCCCGCACCGAGTTCCCCAAGAACCGGGACATCTCGCTCACTTTGACGGTGAACAACAACTCCGTCCGGGAGTCCCCTTGCGGTGACAACACCACCTTCAACATCAAGGGTAATGCGAAAAAGACCGTTTGCTGAGCGTGAAGATCGCCCATGGTCAACGGCATCAGCGAGATCTTGAATGTTTTTGTAAATGACAGGCAAGAATAAGGGATTATGCTCTAAATTCTCAGTACCTTATTCATACGACGAATTGCTCGGAATGGTGAACATGAACTCTACAAATAGAAGCGTATTCATACCGGTCAACGTATATTAGGTGGGGCCTGGCGTACCTGTCCCAGCGCCATGTACGCTTATCCGAGCTTTCCCACCCAGCTATGGCTTCTTCAACCTCTGGAATAGAGCGGCGATAAACGAGCATCGATAGGTCATACTCTAATGTCTCGAAGTTAAGGTATCGGATTGGGGGAGGGATGGAACCAGGGTGTTAAGCAAGGGCGGTTATTGACGGCAAGATTCCGTACAACACCTGGGTGCCATCATTCCCCGCATAGCTCCTCATCTTCGCTCTTCTATCAACAATGTGTGATTAAAGTATTGCTCACCTTTGCAAATAAATTGATCTTGACAAACATTATCGAAAGTCTCAATCACCCGTCGCGGCCACCATCGAGCATCAATCACGACGACCTACCAGAATAATAGACCACATCGCTATAATCAACAGCAAAATGTAATACATCCAAATCTTCCATCATATAAGCCATGGCTGATCACTTTGGATAGGGTTTACACCGCATCCTTCGCGTTTTTCGAGGCGCTGTGGGAGGCTGGGGTATCCCACTGCTTCGGTGCGTACTGTCCTATGTTAATGCTTCTCTGCATCCTCCTAACCGGTCTCATTAGTCAATTTGGGTTCCGACCATCCAAGTATCATCGAAGCGATGGTCAAGGGGCAGAAAGAGAAGAAAGACCGGTTCCCACGGATTATTACGTGCCCCAATGAGGTACGGCTGCATTCCTTGTCCGATTGTAGTTAGCCAAATTAAAACTTGCTAGATGGTGGCATTGTCTATGGCGGACGGTTACGCAAGGCTCACCAACAAACCGCAAGCAGTCATTGTCCATGTTGATGTGGGAACCCAAGGACTCGGCGCTGCCGTCCACAATGCATCGACGGGGCGCTGCCCCGTCCTCATCTTTGCCGGCCTCAGTCCATACACCATCGAGGGAGAGCTACGGGGCAGTAGGACCGAGTACATCCACTGGATTCAAGATGTTCCTGATCAAAAACAAATCCTGGCGCAGTACTGCCGGTACACTGGGGAAATCAAACGCGGGGTCAATGTCAAACAGATGGTCTTTCGTGGTACGTATATGCGTCTGCTATGATTGAGCTTAAATAAAACTAAGGGCACTGAATCAGCGCTTTCATTTGCCATGTCTGAACCCAAAGGACCGGTTTACCTCTATGGCTCCAGAGAAGCGATGGAAGAAGAAATAACTCCATATCAATTGAATCCCGATGTCTGGCGGCCAGTCGAGCCCGCCGCCCTGCCGCCCCATGGGGTCAAGACAATATCTGAAGCACTTGTGAACGCCAAGGAGCCCTTGTTAGTCACTGGATACAGTGGGCGGAACCACTCAACCGTTGAACAATTGGTCAAGCTCGCCGATCTCGTCAAAGGGATCCGTGTTCTTGACACTGGCGGGAGTGACATGTGCTTTCCAGCGGACCATCCTGCGTGGCTAGGACTCCGATATGCGGTTGAGGATGCAATTACAACTGCAGACGTGATCCTCGTGGTCGATTGCGATGTACCATGGTAAGCCTCCTGGTTTTGGTCGTCCTGCTTCGTGAAAAGAACTTGCTAAGTCACGCCTAGGATCAACACGCAATGTCTCCCGTCCAGAGACGCGAAAATCTACCACATCGATGTGGACCCATTGAAACAGCAGATGCCTGTCTTCTATATTGACGCCCTTTTGCGCTTTAGGGCAGATGCTGCTACTTCAATCAGCCAGTTAATCGAATTCATTAGTGCAACATCTGCTCTACAAACGAAGGCCAAGGCACTTGAAAATCGCGCTGAGGCTCTGCAGAAGTCGTATCAACAGCGGCTGCAGACGATCGCAAGCCTTGTGAAAACCGATGAACAAGGCCACTTCGCAACCAGTTACTTGACAAACAAACTCCGACAAGCCTGTCCGGAGGACACAATCTGGATCATCGAGGCGGTGACTCAAACAGTGTTTGTCGCTGATCAAATCCAAGCCAATCTCCCTGGGTCATGGCTCAATTGCGGTGGAGGAGGGTTGGGTTGGAGTGGAGGCGGTGAGTCCGGAGGCATCCGCAATGTAAATGATGTTTCGTGCTGATGGAACCAGCGGCACTAGGAGCCAAGCTCGCGACAGATACCGAAGGATCAAAGCGATTCGTTTGCCAGATCGTAGGGGGTTAGTACATCCTGTTGAATCTTTCATCCACATGCTTACCCAATTCAGACGGAACGTACTTGTTCACGATCCCCGGGAGCGTCTACTGGATCTGCCAGCGATACAACATCCCAATCCTTACAATTGTCCTCAACAACAAGGGATGGAATGCGCCCCGCCGGTCACTCCTCCTGGTTCACCCCGACGGGCTCGGATCTAAAGCGACCAACGAGGAAATGAACATCAGCCTCGCGCCAACTCCCGACTACTCTGGAATCGCAAAGGCCGCATCCGGTGGGGAGATCTGGGCTGCTCACGCTTCCACCGCCAGTGATCTCGAGAGACTGCTCCCGGAAGCAATTGAATCAGTGAAGAACGGACGTGCTGCAGTTCTGGATGCGCATCTAGAGGGACCAGAGGGGAAGTAAGTGCCATCTTCTGACATATATTTCCACTCTTGCTTATATACCGTAGGTTTGGAGGTGGTAAAGCCGCGTTGAGCGGTTGACGGCCATTGGGCCTCACAGGGACCATCACTAGGGCTTATTCCCTGGAAACAAGCATTGAAGAATGTCTCATACTCCCCCATTAGACGGTTTGCTAGGGCAAGTATCGGTACCAGTTACGCCATGCAGCATTTGCTTGTGCAGGGAAACCTAAAAACAATAAATAATAGGTACTATACGACATGCAATTGACCAGGAATTCACCCGGAACTTGTCCTGGAGCATATTTGCTTTATATGCACTCGGTCCTTTCCCGTGCGTTCGTCGTTCCCCACAGATATTGATAGTCCTAGGATTTGCCTTCTTGAGCTCGACAAAGTCGAAATTCGTGGTGTTTTTCTTCTCGTTCAGAATGTAAGCCGCTCGCCTCGAATGTTCTCCTACATCTGTGATTTATTCTTCGACCGGTATCTTATCCGGAGGCACATTTCCTGCAAGGTTATAATCTCATTGCATACGCATCTATGAAGCTGAGAACATATCAAGGCCCGGGACCCGGCTCTCTGCTCTTCGAACCAACTCATACATTCAATTCAGTGTTGCGCAACGCTCGACCACATATCACCAAATCCTCGGGGGAGCGACCAAGGATGTGATTCAGATTTTGAAGATCCAACTGCAATTCGATGAACTCTACGACTATGCCGAATTGCCGATCTTATCTGCTGGATGCCTGGATCGCAATTCGAAGAACATCACAAGAGGGAGACGGAATCATTCCGCACTGACTTCCGGTCAGGCGACAAGGCGACGGGGCGACAACATGACGCCCTTTCAAAGTTCACACACCACGATGACACCGATCTTGGGCTTGAATGATAATCCATAATTATAATGTTTCATTTCGGTACTCGGATACGGAGTACTGGTAGTGTATCTCGAGATCTCCTGCCGAACGCATTCCCAGCCGATTTAAGCGTCGTTGCTCTTGATTGATTCTGCCGCCCTATCTCATATGTCATAACGTCCTGCGTAACTCCACTGATAAGGAAACACAGTGGATAGAAGCTAGTAACGTAACGGCGATCAATTTCATTTCTAAATTCATTGGTTACTTGGTTTGATCTTTGATAGTATATAAATGGTTCGGCACTCTCTTCTATCTCGAGTTACAATGCCCACGGATATACCCTTCCCCTCAAATCCAGCCGAAGATTCAACATGTTGGCTCCCCTACTCCTCCTTGCCGCTTCACTTGCGGCCGGCACTCCCTTCGATCCAAGAGAAGCGACCATAGGCTCAGTCCATCATGCGCTGCATTTCGGCCGTTCGACGTGTCGAGAAGTGGTGTCGTCCTTCATCGTCCGCGTCGAAGCGTTGAACAACAATACCAATGCGGTCCTTACCTTGAACCCGCGTGCGCTTGAAATCGCCGACGAGCTCGACCAGGCCCTGCTCTCCGGGAACGCGACCGGTTCGCTCTTCTGTGTCCCGGTGCTTGTGAAGGATAACTACGATACCTTTGACATGAAGACGACTGGTGGCAGTCTTGCGTTCCGGGACTCCCAGCCCAGCACCGACGCGCCCTCCGTGGCAGCGCTCCGCCGGGAAGGGGCGGTGATTCTGGGCAAAGCGAATCTCCACGAGATTGCTCTCGAGGGGATCTCCGTCTCTTCGTTTGGAGGTCAAACGATCAACCCGTATGACTCGACCCGAACGCCCGGAGGCAGTTCCGGTGGATCCGGGGCGAGCGTCGCCTCCTCGTTCTGCGTGTTCGCCTTGGGATCCGATACGGTGAACTCTTTACGGAGCCCCGCGTCCGCAAACAGTATCTTCAGCGTCAGGCCGACCCGAGGTCTGATATCCAGAAGCGGTGTGATTCCGCTCAGCTATACTCAGGATACGGTTGGCCCGATGGCGAGATCGGTTGAAGACCTTGCCATTGCGTTGTCAGTAATGGCAAGCGTAGGATACGATCCGTCGGACAATACCACCGCCTTAAGTCCACCCGGGTTTCAGGAAACCAACTTTGCGAGCGGCCTATCTCTTGGGACGCTCCAAGGAAAACGTCTGGGGCTTTTGGAGCCATTCTTCAACCGGACAGCCAGTGACGAGACGACTCCGGTCAACGAGGCGATGAACGCTGCCATCGGCCGGCTCGAAGCCGCTGGAGCCACCATCGTCCCGATTCGAGAGAGCGTGTACAATCCGACTACGATTGCGGCAGAGCTGGATACTCAACGGTTTGAGTACCGAGAACTCCTCAACGCCTACCTTTCGCGCCCGGAGTTGGGTGGTCGGCATCCCCGGGACTTTGCCGAGTTCTATACTACCAAAGCGGAGGGTGGAAAGGGAGAGTTCCTCGTCATGCCGTCAGGATACGAGTATGTTCGTAATTCCTCCGTGTCGTCGACCGGCAATGCGACATATGCGTCAGTGCAACAGGGGGTCGCCAACCTGACCCTCACCCTTGCGTCCACCTTCGCCACCCATTCTCTGGACGCCATCATCTACCCCGAACAACGGAACCTCGTAGTGAAGATCGGATCGCCATCCCAGTCCGGCCGCAACGGGATCCTCGCGGCCCTGACCGGGCATCCCGTCGTGACCGTGCCTGCGGGCTTCAGCCCCAGCACAGCGGACGCGCCTCGAGGCGTCCCGATCGGAATGGAGATCTTGGGTCCGAAATGGAGCGAAAAAGAGCTTCTCGCCATCGCGCACGCGTACGACAAGGTCGGCGCAACCCGAAGATCGCCGGAATGGGCGGACCGACACGTCGAAAGTCAGGATCTGACCCAGGTACCAGTGATTGTTCCGGACCGCGCGAACATTCCTGCGGTGTATCCGATCGGTGTTTTGTGAGAGGTTGTTTGGCCATTTTGCCAATGATATGAATTACTATTTAGACGAATACCTAGACCGTGTTTCCTGCGCGAGCATCACTCATCCATGCAGTCAGCTTGTGTCAGATTGCAGCACCCCATTCATCCCAACCTCCAAGCGACATTAATTCCCGAGATTAGATCATTACACAGCACATGTTGCCAACTCGCCATGCTAGTGGCGTTTTCGCTGACCGTTCCCTGGGTCCACGCGGCCTGGATGGTGATTGGTGATGGGTGAGATCTGCGTTGGGGTCTCTTCCGAACGGTAGATTTGGCCCCCATTATTCGGCTCGATCCTCCAATCACCCGCCTGTAAACTCTCAGAGACCCACTCCTCCGCTTCCAACTTTTCCAGTTTCGGAAGTTTCTTCATCGCCTCAATTTCCGGTTTAACTACGCCGACTTTATTACTATTATCATCGCGCGACACTGCCATCTTTTCCAGCACTTGTCCCTAAGCCTTGAATGCTGCGCCACGCCGTCATCATCCGTGTGATGTTTCGTGTCGCTCGGTTGGGTTTGGCTCCGGGCCCGGGGTTGCCCTACGGTGGTGATATGTACCCCTTTCCCGCCCGTCGCTATATAAAGATGCTGTTCTAGACTTTCAAGTTTGAACATCTCTGTTTCGCATTTCAAAAATCTGTCTACTAGCGTCTAATCTGTTCTGCTCTACTTCCAATTCAAAGCCACATACTCAACCTTCCATCACTACTCTAATCACCAAGATGCATATCAAGCACCTCCTCCTCCCCGTCCTCGCCGGCCTCGCCGCCGCCCAACTCGACCTCGGCAACGTCGCCAACTCCATCATCTCCGAAGGCAGCAGCGTCCTCAACGCCGTCACCTCCGACGTTCCGGGCGCCTTCAGCTCCATCACCGATCGCGTGGCCTCCGGCGCCACCGACCTGGCCTCCGCGGCCGAAAGCCTGAACTCGCAAATCACCAGCGGCGCTGCGTCGATCGGCTCCGGTGTGAGCTCAAACATCGCCACCAAGGCCAGCAGCGTCCGCTCGGACATCACGGACGCCGCGTCGAGCGTGCGGTCGCAGGCGGGCGAGGCGAGCAGCTCGCTGAACGCCGCGGCGGGGAGCACGGGTGGCGCGCCAGTCCCGACGGCGGGATTGCATGCCATGGCTGGATTGGTGGGCGCGGGAATTGTCGCGGTGGGATTGTTGTGAGGGGTTCTCGGTGATGGGTGCTGTTGATCGTCCGGAAGTTGACCTCCATATCATCTACCGCTCGGGATATTCGGCGCTGTCAGGCCTTACTTAGAGTTTCAAAGTCGTGAGGCGCTTGCTCGCGTTATGGAGCTTTTGTATGTCTATATTTTTCTTCTGGCTGGGGCTAGAGGCGCGTCAGTTCGACCATCAAAATTGTGTGATATGGATGTGGATATCTACTGGATCGCTGGGGACGAAACGTCAGACTGCACAGCTGGTTACTATACCCATATCGAGGCATATAGCCCAAACGATGTCTTTAGAGACCCGAATTTTAGACGACTAATTACTGCCAATTCTATGACATTTCATATCACCTGGACTCTCGTAGTGTCGTGATGCATTCATGGCTACATGATGCCTTGGAATTTCGTGTCTGAGTATCGACCTGTTTCAAGGTGCGAATTCTCCATCGTAATCCCATCCCATACCAAACGCCTCATCGAGCCAAACTCAATGGCAATATCGTTGAACTTCATCTCCACAGTGAATGTGAATTCACCTTTTGCTCGGCTCGCCCTCATCTACGTCGTCGCCTGCCGTCTCCTGTGCGCTTATTCGCTCCACGGCGACCCACCCCTGATCTATATCCTCGAACCCAGACGTTGACTTCTGACGCTTGGGTTTGGGTTGTCCCTCCAGATCAGGCTCATTCTTGGGTGGATCTGGAAGTTTCGATGCAAGAGATGATGCGGGTTGTTCCTCTTTGGAGTCGGATGGCGCAGTCGGGGCATTCTCCTCGCTTGTTGGGGGAAAAAAGGTGCTAGTAGATGGTGAGCATGCCGCGTCCGATATTGAGAACAGATAGAGTTTGGCCTCGGTCGTACCTTGCGTTTTCATGGTACGCCTTCTCGTCCTTCTCCAAGAAGCTGCAGAAAATAACGTTCAAGATCTTCGAGCCATCCTTCCCCTCCAAGAAGTCTCTCACTTCGCTCAGGGCAGTTCGGCACGCATCAACACTGGGGTATCCATACACACCAGTGCTGATGCACGGGAAGGCGACACTCTTTAAGCCCCTTTCCACCGCCAGCTCCAGACTGCGCCGGTAACATCCGCGGAGGAGCTTCTCATGCAGCCCCTGCCCCTTCGTCAGATAATAGATGGGACCAACGGCGTGGATCACGGCTTTGCACGGCAAGTCGTAGGCCCCGGTAATCTTCGCGCTTCCCGTTTCGCAGCCGTGTAAGGTCCTGCACTCCTCGACAAGCTCGAATCCTGCGGCGCGGTGGATGGCTCCATCAACGCCGCCGCCGCCGAGCAATGAATCGTTCGCGGCATTGACAATGGCATCGACCGAGAGGGCTGTGATGTCGTTTCGAATGAGCCCGATTTTCGCGTTCAGGTCGGCGTTGGGTGGGTAGGCGATGGACGGCTTGGGGTCAATGGGAAGGCGATGGATCTGGTAGAGGAGCGAAAGGTTGGGGATGGTGGAGAGCGAGAGCGGTTTGGGTGGTGCCATGGTTGAGAATAAGATCCGAGGGATTGGAGGAGTAGAATGATTATCTTCTAGAGTGAAAGTACTACACACTCGTGGTTAGCTATATACTTCGGCGAAGCAGAATGATGCTGCCTACACTCCCGAGAGTACCTTGCTGTCCAGTCTCCACTACTGGTATCCCGGCTGGGTAGCTCACCAGTACATGCGGAGGAGATGGTCAGGGATCGGGTTCCCTACAAATCAATTCCGTGCACACACTGGCAATGTGTGTGAATGGATGGAAGGAGGAATTGTACGGAGGATTCTGATTGCTGGGAGCGGAATGTGGAGTTGCTCAGGTCGTTCCTAGTCTCAGGCTCCAACACAACGGAAGTTGGGGAAGTCGTGACCGGAGGTTGGTGTTGCCGCACTGTGACTGGTTCCAGGACAGAGGTGTGTGGCGCAACATGTGGCGCTTGGAACATTATAGTCCCTAGTCAGGTGATATTTGTTGTTTCATTTCAAGCCACATGTTGACGTCAGCAATATTGCCAAGACCCAATCCAAACATTCCGCTTCCGCACTGTGGCGCTCGCATTGATTTCCAATCGCTGATTAACGCCAGACAGGCGTCTGAGTCTCTGAGCAAACATTCCAACAGCACTCGAACGTCCTGTTCCGCGATTTGGAAATGGTATTCAAGTATCTTAGGTAAATAATTACATAATACATTGGTACTGCATGCATAATTAGGTACTGCTTACTGAATCCCCATCTGTCCATCACGAAATGGAACTAAGGGTTCGAGAACCAGCTACTCCTCGCGAGCCCCGTCGAGCAGTTCTATCCATCTAGGGGTATATATATGTCTCTGAATGCCTCCTCCTCTTGAGATCGCCACATCAAATATCAATCCGTAGAAATCACAGTTCAACTGTATTACTACCGTCAAGCTGGCTTCACGACTCCTCCGTTCATCACTGCCTCGAGTCACCCCCCGCCTGTCTCAAACTTCTCGAGCAATGTCTACAGCTACACAGAACTTAACAGTTACTACCCGCCCGTGGAACACGCGAGGACACGCTGACCACGGCTGGCTCCACACCTACCACACCTTCTCCTTCGCATCATACTATGACGCATCCTACACCTCGTATGGACCGTTGCGCGTCATCAACGAGGACCGCGTAGCCCCTTCGAAGGGCTTCGGTGCCCACCCCCATGCCGAACACCTCATCTGGACCTACGTCGTGTCCGGGGAACTGTCCCACAAAGACAGTCTCGGCAACGTCGAGACCCTCACTCGCGGCGACGTCCAGTTCACGAGCGCCGGAACCGGCGTGCGCCACAGCGAATGGAACGGTCATACGGAGCGCGAGGTGCACTTCCTCCAGATCTGGGCCAAGCCGAGCACGAAAGGCCTCGCCCCGGAATATGTCACGCGCCGCTTCGAGGAGGCGGAGAAGCAGGACCGCTTGGCGAGGATCATCGACTCGGTCGACCGAGTGGGGGAGAACGCGGACAATGCGGAGGGTCCGATCGCCTTGCACGCCGACTTGACTATGGATACCACGGTTCTTTCGCCTGGTAAAAAAGTGGTGCACGACCTCGTGGCCAAAGGGCCGAGGAAGGTCTATGTCCACGTGGTTATGAAGGGTCGGCTTCAGCCGAAGCAGGGCGGCTCTCAGATCAAGATCGGAGATAAGGTTTTGGGAGAAGGAGACGGTGCCTTTGTCGAGGGAGCGGAAGGGCCAGGAACGGTTGAAATAGGGAATATCGGGGATTCGGAGGCTGAGGTGTTGGTTTTCGACATGGGACAAAAATAGTGATATTGAAATCGATCCCAGGCAACATCTTGCTTCATCCAAATGAATGTATCTAGCATGGCGTTAAGGGATATGGAAAAGTCACAAATCGAAGAAGTCAAAAAAGCTGTTGGGGAAATATGCTCCGTACTGCAGGTCTCATAGGAAGCCCTAGTACTTCCTGATAATTAATCGCCATACCTATACGGTCCGTCCAAACATGCAATTGTGTAGCAACAATTGTCCGTTCAGTTGCCCTAACGCCTCGCTCTTATGGATATCTCAAAACACAAAAAGAAAAAGGCAAAGTAAATGCATGAGAAGGTTAAGGATGGTAAGAGGCTACCTCTAGCCCGGTTGCCCTGCAATGCGAACATCCTCCACGCCCTGCTGACGTTCAATCTCCATACCGATCGCTAGCACCCATCGATCTCTTTCCGCGCGGCTCCTCGTCCGGAACACCTCGTTTCGCCCCGTCACGCCCAGCTGACTGACCCTCTTCAGCCGTGATCGCATTCGGGTTTCCAGTCCGCTGCGCGAGCCGGATCCGGTTGAGCCGGCCGATTCACGCCTTGCATCGATCTGTGGATCCGCCGGAGTCTTTTTGGATTCCTCCAGCTCCTGACTGCGGAAGAAGCTCTTCCGCTTGCTGTGCCAAATCACGAAGCTCGTCATCAGATCATCGTCTTGGCTGGTCCAGCCGTCTTCCCGATAGAGCCGCGGCAGCGCCGTTCGGCCGGGGCGGTTGCTGTCGAACGTTCGATTCTGATACAGCAGCTCTGGCTCGGTCAAGGGCCCCGAATAGATGTAACACTCGCTCAAATCGATGGCCTGCACTTTTTCGTGGTGAATCTGTGGCACTTGGATGCCGGACTGCGTGCGAAGGCTGGACGAAAAGATGAGGAGCTTGCCTTGGGTTAGGATGACCGAGACGCGGATGAAATTGGTGTGCTTCCGGGGCTTGCGGAACAAGGAGCCGGACAGGTGGATCGCTCGACAACACGACGGGCCGCACATGTTGTATATGTCCGAAGAGGCGAACGAATTCGTGACTTCCCACTTCCGTGCATATTGACCGACGATGGCTTCCGCAGCCTCGTCGATGCGTAGCTGTTCGAGATTTTGTTTCCGAACCAGCTGCAGAAGGGTGACGTCCATCTTCGTGCGGGCCTTCCAATACCGCACAAGATCACGGAGGCAGCGTTTCCACTCGTTTTTCGTGACTTTATCGTACGCCTGCAAGCGGATGATCAAACCGTTTCGGAGGACCAGTTCGAACGTCCGGTCGTCGTCGAAGTTTCCGGACATCCCATCTTCTCTATATGTATCCGGAACTTCTTCATCATAATCCGCATCAGGACCCTCATCGACGTTGTCGTCAGCGACGGTGTCACCGCGCACCACGTTTCGCACCTTGGTCACATTGCAGAGGTTGATGCACCCGTCGCATTCCGCAAGGATATTGACCTTCCTCTGCATCTCAGCATAGGCCCCTCGATCGTGATGAGAGGCTGTGGTTTCCGATGCTCTTGACCCCAGCCACTGTATTCTATCATCCTTGACCGGGAATGGATCGATGTTGTACATGAGCGGCGGTGGTTCCACGATCTCCTCACTCGCTGGGACTTCGGTGCTCCTAGATTCCGCAAGGGTGGGAGGAGGCGGCGGCACTACCTTCGCTGGGCGGTTGAAGACGAGAAATTCATCATGGGTCGAGAAATACAACCGTTTGTGGAACAGTTTGCCCATTCTCTGATGAACACCCCGCTGCGAAGTCAGTCGAACCAAGAAACCTTCGACAGGCAGAGGTTCCGTGATGAATTCGCCGCCGTTCACTCGCACTGTGGTCGCGTAATGTCGTTTTTGTCGGAGTTCCAGGTCATGAGACTTGATCATTGCCAGCGTGCCGTACATCTTGCGTTCATTCGCGCCATGGATCCATTCCAAACGATCATACCGTCTCCACGCTAGACCAAACGACCGGTCTTCTCCTGCAAGCACTTCCATGACGTCGCGAAACTGGGAGGATTCTTTCAGAAGGATAAGACATCGCGAAACGATTTGGCTTGCGACCGCCTGCTCTTGCTCCAACGTCTTAGTGATAGCAGTGTCATCCCCCTCCGCAGCCGGCAGAAGATCCCGAGACTCCTCGAGATCCTGGAAGGGATTGTCAAGCAGCAAGTTGACGTTTAGGTCGGGGACGTTCACCTGGAGTTCTGCCGCTCGCCTCCAGCCTAGGATGTTTCGCAGAAACGTATGCCACTCCACCCCAGCGATTCCCGATCGTGTTCGCAGCAAGAATATCCTCGTGCCTCGTGGAAAAGACTCCCAGAGCACCAAGGTCTTGTCCAAACTGCTGAAGAGGTTGACGCGAACGCGTTTCAGGTCCAGGTTCAACTCAAACTTGAATCGCTTTTTCAGCTCGGGCGTCTCAACCTCCGGGATCACTCGCGTCTCATAGATCTGCAGCACGAACCCAGCGCCGTCCTCCCCGCCTTCTCGACACACCACCATGTACTCCCGCCACTTCTCGAGAGTCCGTGTGATTATCTTCTCGCTGCAGTTCTCATCGTAGTCTGCCGGCAGCTTCGTGTCCGGTGACAAGTCCACGCGGATCAGCATTTTCTCCATCTTTACGATTTGGCCTTCTTGACGTCGACGACGGAATAGCGCCCCTGCACGGGTTTGCATGGAAACCTGTCCCGCCCGAGCTTTGGCTAAAAGATGTGCGCGACGGGAATCTTCCGCTATATCGAAGTGAACTACTCCACGGCTTTTCCTACGAGCTGACCGTTTGGAACCGGTCACTTGTTCGGCATCAGGTTCAATACGCGCTTCCTCGTCATCGCCATGGACTAGATGGAGGCCCGGCCCGTTAGTTGGATCCTGGTCGCGGGTATATGCTCCGTCGAGACCATGTCGTAGAAGAGAGACATTGGACGAAGTGGGCTCGAGAGGACCGGTATCCGACCCAGGAACACCCAATAGGCTTGACACCCTGCGAGTTTCTGTTGCATCTGAATTGGCTTGCTCCTCGTCTCCAGCTGGACCTGGGTCATTGTCAGACTGCGCATTTGTCCTTGGCTCTCCGTTCGGCTGGTCGGTCATGAGCACCTCCTCCTGCGCCGACCTCGTCCTGCTACTGGACTGCGAGGATTGTATTGACTCTGCATCTGAAGACATTTCGGCTTCTCGTAACGGTCTCGATTCCTCTATGATGTCCTCCATTTGCTCCCCAGAAACATCTCGTTCCAGCGATCCGGCTCCATCATCGTCGGGCGATCGTTCTCCTGGCGCGGGCGATGCCGATGGGGCAGCAATCGTGGCATCAGCATCCCCATCGTCATCTTCCGAGTCCGCTTCCGTAAGATCCCCAGGCTGTGGAAAGCTCGCGGCAAACGAAGCCGATGCGCTCGGGCCCACAAGACCAAGCAATCGTCGCTGTCGTGCCGTTTCTGGGTTGGCTGAGAAGGTGACGGCTCGGGAGGAGTAGTTGATGTGTAAACGATGCTGATACCGCTCGCGTCGATGGGTCTTCAGCCAGCCCTCGGGAATGGGTCCGATGAAGTGGCGCCTGGCGGTGATGTGGAGGTGGTTGGGAGTCGCATGTTGCTGCGATCAATGAGTCTGAGTTCACCACTACAATCAGAAAAGCCGACGTACAAGTCGTTGAGCGGTATAGGACTTGGAGTCAAGCTTCGGGGCCGAAGGTTGGGTAGGATCAACGTGTGATGGCTGGGGATTCATCTGCCATGAAACAGCCTTTACGCGGATGGACCACGACGCGGGCGGTTGGAAAGGAACAATAGATTAGAAATTAGTCATTTAGGCGCGATCAAACAATACGAAGCACAATACTAAGAAGAAGTGAATAATGATGCATGGAGAGGAAGTGGTCGACTTCAAGCCTTCGAATGCAGTGGTGTAGATATAGTTCCCATCCCTGCTGCCCTTGCTGATAACTGGGCCGACGTCATCCATCACGACCAAAGCGCGAGCCTCTACTCTCAAGGCACAACTATGATTGACAGATTGAGAGCTCTTTCTTGATCTTGTGGGTGGTGGTGCATGGCCGTTCTTAGTTGGTGGAGTGATTTATTGGCCGTTTAACTGTTCGAACGAACGACAGACCAAGGCCGTAACCGACTGATAAATGGTAACCAGGCTAGCTGTGGGGGCCTCCAGCGTCAGAGAAGCCTCTCCTGATTTATGAACAGGTACTATAAGAGCCGCATTCACCCAAAGAGCTACCTAACGGACGCTGCAATCGCAAAGCAAAGGAACTCGTCATCACTCAACCACCGCCATGACCGTGCCCTGTCCCTTTCTGACTCACCAACTCCCTAAGCTCCTTGATCTCCGCCCTCAACTCCCGAATCTCGAGAATCGCCGCATCCGTCTCGACGTTCGGCCTAGAGTCCTCCACCTTCTTATGCCATCCCTCTCCCTCGAAATCGAGCTCGCCGTCCATCTGCTCCCACTCCTCGATCACGTCGTCGTACTCCTCGCCCCGCTTCCGGTTCTTCCGGACGAGGTGCGCCTGCTGCGTCTCCAAGATCGCCGTGATCAGTAGCAGGGGGGAGTAGATGACCAGCATGATGTAATCGTTCAGCTTCGCGTAGGTCGCGTCCGGCAGCCACCATTCGAATGGGAGGATGAGGCAGACGATCTCGATCACGTTGAGTGCTAGGGTCCTCGGTGAGCTAGTGGCGGCAGTTCTAGGGGGATTACGGAACTTACGAGCGATGAAAACATTCTCATCCGGGGCGCGAACAAATTGCATGGTCTTCTGCGCAAACTGCAATGGTATTAGGGTGCATCTGGGAAATGTGGGAGCTTATTGATGTTTACCAACGCCATATACTCATCCACTGCATTGTCCGTAATATCCTCATATGCGCTGTTGTATAGGGCGATGAGAATATTCAAAAGCACTGTAGACGTCAGTAATCTGCACTCGATGGATGGCTCACAACGGTTGTACTTACCGACCATGATTACGAAGGTATAAATGTAATAGAGAATGATGCCGAACGGAGGCTGGTCCGGTTAGTCTAGTCATGGAGCGACTGGGAGCATCCTTACCGCATAGTTATCGAAGCCACTGAAATCTGGAGACTGCATGATCGCATTCGCCATCGCTTGAAGGATGAAGGTCGTGGCAGTCAATTTGTTATCAACCTGGTCCAGCCCGACGAACGCCTGCAAGAAGCCGACCAGGATGAAAATCAACAGCGCAAAGAAGATAAGAGACTCCTTCATCATGACCTTGAGCACCACAAGCATGGCGCCGAAGAACCGGAACGAATCGAGGTACAGCACGAGTCTTCCCCAGAACATGGGAGCCGTGAAGGCCAAAAAGTTGTAGCTCAATTCGTTAAAGTGGCCTCGTTTGACGTCGCCCATAGGGTGCGCCAGCGCAACCATTCTCAAGACGAAGCTTACCGTGAGCAGGGTGTAGAGGGTACTGTTAAAAGCATTCCAAAACCCAAAGTAATAGCGGCCAATTTTCCAGAATTTCGACACTTCTTCGCAGATGAACCCCAGCGTGGAGAGGTACAGAAGCCCTTCCACGATATCCAGGTCGCCTGACGGATTGATGGTGTTGACGGCAGCTGTGTACAGCGCCAGGTAAATGAACGAGAAGGCAATCTGGACGTTGTTCTGATAGCGCGGCACTCTCAGGCGATCCGGATTGAAGTGTGCCCAGTAGTTGGTGTTCGTTTTCTCATGATAATCGACAAACCGGGACGGATCGTCGTCATCTTGGACCAACCAACCCCTCCAGAGATATGCTATGCACTTTTGGTACCCAGACGAGCCGATCACAGTTAAGGCATGGAGGTCGACGGCTCGCTCCACAGCATTGGCTGGTAGCGTATCTTCTTCGTTGACATATATCGAATATCGTTTGAGGAGGACCTGTTCGAGGAGGTACTGCTGGTCTTCCTCTTCTTCGATTCTGTCGATATATTAGCATGAACGCGTGCCGGAGGATAATCGAATAGGACGACAACCTACATTCGCTTGGCAATGATTTCGCATGCCACACTTCGGACGCGATGCATGTCCGCATCCCAGAGCTCGTGATGCGCCTGGATGGTGAACCATTTCTTCGCCACCAGCAGGCAGTACACCACGCACGCAGCGTATTCCTCGCCCCCCGCCTGCTTCGCGGTGTTCACGACGGCATGTGTAATGATCGAGCTGTGTGGTTTCGTGACCGTGCACTCGTCCAATTCGCAGGGGATGACCTGTTCGATCTGGTGCTTGAGGCGGAGGGCGACTTTGGTTACCTCTTTGGCGGGGAAAGGAGAGGGCACGACATTGTTTCGCCGGGTCGGTAGCACTAACTAGGATCAGTGACCGTCATCTCCAGGCAAGGGGCGTACGGGATCGCACGAGCTTGGAATTCATGGTGAAGATGGCGACGGTCTCGGCCATCCCAATCGAAGAGACGGCCCCAGCGGACCATTGTCGAGGGGGTTGGGAGGACGCGGCGGCGATTGGAGTTGGGGAATGAACCAAACAACAAACACGCTGTAGTAAACCTAAACCGACTTCAATAATTTACAACTGAGCTCATGGAACACGTCGAAAGTAGTGAATGCATGGCAATGTTTTGGGAGGGGAAAGTTGGAATCGGCTGGACTGGAGTTTGGACTGATAGCTCCAAGCTTCGCGCCCAGGGAGAACGTCACTCAGCAACAAGGGGGAACCCCTGTTGGATCTTACTCAGTTCCTAATGCGATCGTCATAATAAATGCGGGGTGGCTCCCTGAACGTGAAGTGTGCCGAATCGTATTGAATAGAATACCATATAGGTACCTAGGAGATGGCGGATGGGAATACTATAGGATTCGGAGAATAGTGAGGTACCGGTATTCATATTTGCATTGCTGAAATACGTTGGTACGACTGGGAGAACAGAGTAGCCATGCAATACATTCATTCATTTAGAGTGCATCCGAATTCGTCACTGTGTCCAGGAGATGGACGCCCTGTTGAGAACACAGCAACTCACGATGCCTTCATCGTCTTCACTCTGCGATCCCGTAGCTACGGCCCGAAGCCTTCCACTAGGGACAATTCCAGGGACTGCCTCTCTGTGACCGGTAGACCCGTGCTCCCCTAAGACCTCTGCGCACGAAAACACATCAAGGAGACTGGGAGTCTCACTCCGGGATGGCTTCGTCTGAATCGCTCTCGTCCTCATCTCCGCTAACCTCCTGGTTTTCTCTCTCCTTCTTCTCCATGAGCGCCTCCAACTCGGCATCGTCGTTCTCCGTAACCGCCTTGGGTGCCATCTTCACGGTACACGACCCTCCCGCCGCCACGATGTTCTTCTCGATCTCCTTGATCGAGCTCTCCAACATCGCGATCCCCACGTTCTTATCCAAGCACGTGCTGGTCAGGACGTAGAGCGGCGGCGACACCAGCTTCACCTTGACCGAATTCTCCTCGGTGTTGTTCGCCTCGGCGCATCGCAACGCCGCCTTGACCGCGTCGATCCCATCATACCCGAAACAGGTGACCTCGACATCGGCGCGGACCTTGGTCGGTTGCGGCGTCAGGCGCTTCGCGATGAACGCGACCAGCTCGCTTCGCACCGTGTCGCTCGGGAATGTGACGTCTTTCCAGACGTCGGGGTTGGTGATGGAGATCTTAAAGGCGTCTAGGGCGTGGCCGTATTTCTTGTTCAAGGGCCACCCGAAACCCTGGTAGAGCTCCTCGATGGGCGTGTTGGTTTTCTCGGCGACGTGGCGCATGATGGAATGAACCATCTTGCTTTTGTTGTATCGTTCCTCGCATTTCACGATGTCTTCGGGCGATACTCGACGCTTCGATAAATCGATATAACCTGCAGTGCGCCGGGGAGATCAGTATTCTGCGGTAACGTCGTCCTTGCGGGTGTCCATACCTTTGTCGGGATCCACACGGAGAACCACGACGACCTCGTTGCGGCCCACGCGGATGAGCTTCTGGATGGATCGGATACGCCGCCGGGACAGCTCGCTGAGCAGGATCATGCCATCGATGTTATCGTATTCGAGGAGCTTGACGTAAGCACCCATCTCGGCGATCTATCGCGCGTCAGTTCGCCGTCGTGCGCGGCATCGGAAGGACACGAACCTGCTTGACATTGACCATGACAAAGCTGTCCACCTCCGGGTACTTCTCCTCGTAGTACCGACAATTGGTGAGCGACATGGTGGCGGACGGTGTGTGATGATGGAAGGAATTTCGGTGTCGTCGTGGATCGAGGGGAATTCTGGTGGGTGGAAGGGCAGTGTGGAGGAAATTGGGGAATTATCGAAGTTGAGTCAACTGTATTGAAATATCGAAAGTTCTCTTTCGCCTCCCCCACTTTCGATCTGATTGGCCCAAGCCCCAAACGCCGATGTGGTGTTGTGTCCACCACGACTTCACCATCAGTGATCAGGCCGAAACCGACATCTTCCACAGTAAGAATGAATGCAAGCTTTTTTTGGAAGAGAGATTCTATTTCATAGCTGAGAGTCTAGATCTGGAAATACCGTACGGGTCCAGTCTTAATCTCGGGAAGATATGCTCCCTTCAAGGAAACTGCTCAGCTGGTAATATCTCCCTACGATCGGAGCCCCATCATACAAATGCGAGTCTAGTCGGAAAGAATGTTCATATATTAACGGTTACGAATGGTCGTTATCCTACCCCTCGATCTCTTCCCCGCCATCCAGAGTTTCCGCCAGCCAGGCCGAATATCGTCCCATCCAAAACTCCTCAACACCAATCTGTCGTCCACACGACGTAGGAATGGAGCCCCCTAGGGTGGCACGCCAAAGCTCAAAAACCTTTCAAAACCCAAAAGTTCGCCTCCAACCAAGGAATCCCATAGCAACATCGCGAAACAAAAGTGAGCTGCAATCTTCTTCAGGCAGCATGCCTCACAGAAAACCCATCAGTACCACCGCCCGTCCACCGTAACACGTTCAGGATCGGCGCCCGACTGAAGAGCTGCCTCGAAGAATCGCATCGTATACGCTCGCGACCATACCGATGGCGGAGCCGAGCAATAGGAACTGGTATCCTCCAAAGAAGGCGGAATTGACTTGACGGATCGTCAAGGAGTTGGCCAGACCAAGGGTGATGCCCTGGCCGAAGACGAGCCACGCAACCATCGCCTTGACCACATGGAAGGTGAAGGGGTCAAACTTCTTCTCGAACGACGCCTTGGCGCCGAGGGTCATGTTGCAGAAATAGGCAGCGAGGAGGGGGAGACCGACACTGGTAGTCAACCACACCGTGATCCACGACCAATATTCCTGCGACGCGAGCATGTACACGTTCGGCCCGTAGATCGGGGTCTGGGGGAATCGCAGAGACGGGTTCGCGGGAATGTCGAACCAATTCACCCACGGCAGCACCAGTGGCTGGATCGCCAGGCCTTCCAGGACGAGGAGGATCAAGCTGATCGAGTGAACGTTGCTCAGTTGATGTCGGAACGCGTCGACGTTCTCGCTGACGCCCGCCTCGTCCATGGCCTTGGATACCTGGCCGGTGAACTCCTGAACCCGCTGCTTGGCCGCGCTGGCCGGTGATCGGGGGAGAGGGACACCGGACGCGACGCGCTGGATGGCGCGTGGAGTCTTCGCAACGACCTTTTTGATGGGCGTATCGGCGCTGTGATTGGGAGCATGTCAGCATTGGCCATATGCGACGCGTCATGGCGGGGTGGATTGCACATACTCGTCCTCTTCGCTTTTGATCGTCTTCCTGCGCTGGCGCGCCGGTTTGGGTTCCCTGTCGCCCTCGGAACCTCCGACGGAGACCAAGACGCGGTCGCGTTTCGTGGGCGACAAGCGACCGTAGAAATCGCTGAAGGCGGACTTGGTTCCCAGCGAGGATTGATGGTCGCGTAGGTGCTTCTCTAACGATTCAATCAAATCGTCTTTCAGCAACCCATCCGTGCTACAGGCGATCGACGCGTCAGCATCTTGCGCGGCAACAGATCTAGGAGGCGCATCTCTTGGATGGATGCGGCGCCACTCACTTTCGGAGCCCAGCTTCTTTGGCAAGGTCAAGGAGCTCGCCCTTCTTTTGTTTCTGTAACCAGGCGGCCATGGTGGCAAGTGGTAGCGATGCGGTGGGACCAAATACGCGAAGCCAATAAACACGCAGTCGGCGTGTGGAAATAGATTATGCAAAAAGCGCAATTGGGAGATCGGAGGTTGAGGACGGTGCAAGGACAAGGCGCGTTGAGAAGTGAACGGGATGATGGGGTTGATGATGCAAGTGCGAAATGGAGACGAGACCAGGAGGGAGAGCGGGAGGGCGGTGGCTGGACGTGTAAACTGTAAACAAAAGCCGGTGGCTGGGAATGGGATGGAGGAGTACTGGTCAGTCACGTGCGAGGGGCATGGTCAATGAATTCCTAGTCGATCAATAGAAAGGACCTGTGTCGAGTTGTCGATGAAGCTATTGTTGATTCCACAATAGGGGATGGATGAGAGGATGAATACAGCTGCCACTGAAGTACTCGGATCATTGCATCTGGTTGTGCAACACCTGACACTGTACTCTGCTGTGCAAAGATACTGCTGCATGTACTGGCGGGGTTACCAGTCAATTCTGAGAAGGAGCTGGAGACATGAGACCGTGAGACGAGACCGTCTAATAGGTCTGATGATGTTGACATCCAATACCATGGACTTGCCACAGTATGCTTACCTTGGTTATGGGCAATCAAGGTGAAGCAGGAGTTAGACAAACCTTGAACCTCATAAATGATGAAGCTGTCGTGGTTTGGAAAAGAAGAATCTCCAGAATCCAGACGACAGGGGGGCGCATCGGTCCACCCCCCACGTGATCTCGATCCACCCCGGCAAGCTGACCGATGCTGGCAGGTGGAGCAGTCACTGCAGCCTGAGGCCATAAGGCACTCAAGAGTTGTGCTCCAGCTCTAATGCCTCAGGTGTAAACATTCTCTTTGCACAGTTGGTCTATCCGACGCGCCGAGCTAACTCCCGAATCCAAAATATCTTCAATGGACAATTGTCGAATTCGACGAAAGACCGAACACTGCACCTGATCTGCGGCTCAGATTCGTTACAACCCCTTCTCTCCCATCGTAGGAAGTGATCTAGGTGGCCAGCCCCTTCCGTTCCATGTTCAATGGTCTTTCTTGGCCAACTGGCCAAGTGCTTCCGCGCTCCGGACAGGACGGCCGCCACTGTCACCGATAATGCTGATTCGAACCACCCGTTCACCGCTGTGGCCGAGCCCGCCGTGGCATCGCATGGCGCGGCGGCAGCTATGGACAATGAGCTAGCCATGGAAACGGCGAGGCCGCAATATCTCCATGTACGACCACCCCATCTGACCTCCACCGCACATCTAATGGATTTCCATGACAGGCTATGCTCGCCGGCGGACTCGGGGGGACCACGGGCGATATGCTGATGCATTCGCTGGACACGGTGAAGACGCGCCAGCAAGGCGACCCGCATATGCCGCCAAAATACACCTCCATGGGTGGCAGTTACTATACCATTTTCCGGCAAGAAGGCTTCCGAGGCCTGTATGGAGGAGTGGCTCCGGCGTTTCTGGGCTCGTTCTCGGGGACCGTCATCTTCTTCGGCACGTACGAATGGAGCAAACGACTCCTGTTAGACAGCGGCATGAATGCATCGTTGGCATACTTGAGCGCAGGTTGGTAGAGGATGAACGCCTTGTCTCAGCTCCCACTGACGGGTGATATCGCAGGCTTCATCGCAGACTTGGCGGCGTCACCCCTCTACGTCCCGTCCGAAGTGCTGAAGACCCGCCTCCAGCTCCAAGGACGACATAACAATCCGTATTTTAAGTCGGGTTATAACTATCGGTCCATGCGGGACGCTGTGCGCACCATTTACAGAGGGGAGGGACTTCCCGCGTTGTTTTACGGCTATAAGGCTACCTTGATCCGAGATCTTCCCTTCTCAGCATTGCAGTTCGCATTCTACGAGCAAGAGCGCGCGTTCGCCCAACGATGGATGGGCTCGAAAAAGATCGGTCTACCCCTGGAGCTCCTGACCGGCGCGTCAGCGGGTGGCATGGCGGGGGTTTTGACATGCCCGTTAGATGTGGTCAAAACCCGAATCCAAACCCAGCATAACCCCTCGTCCAGCGCAACCGCAACTTCGGGGAGCGCCGTTCTCAAATCGACCGCACCATTACCGAATACTCTCCAACACCCGTCGTCAAAACACCCCACCTCCCATGTCTCCCCGCCGACGCAGGAGACCAGCCAGCGATCTAACCGCCCCATATCCACCTCCTCGCCATCGACGACACTACGAAATCCCTCCGCAGTCACTTTGGATACCTCATCGGTCATGACCGGCCTGAGAATCATCTACCGGACCGAAGGATTCGCAGGCTGGTTCCGCGGTGTGGGCCCTCGGTTCGTTTGGACGAGCGTCCAGAGCGGCACGATGCTCGTCATGTACCAAGTGCTTCTCCGATGGTTCGAACAACATCCGCTCATGGATCGATAACCTGGGCTTTTCAGTGGCCTTTGCGCGACTCTGTACTGTTGTCAGGTTCGGGGATCTGCCGCATTTCTTGGAGTTACGGCTACGGAGTATCGCACCGCCCTCGAGATTCGAAGGACGAAGGTGCGTTGGATTTGGTGATGATATGGCTGATCAATAGAGTTGGAAAACGCCCGCGCCTCTCCGTGTATAACAACTGTCGAATAGATATTTGTAATAGGAAGCAATCATGTTCTTCCATCCTTTTCGCTCCACTCGATCCTGTTCTCTCAAATTCGCCTCTCACGTCGTGTTTCACTCCCTAGACTTCGGGAGGCTGATACCTTCAGTTCCAAAGATGGACGGAGCAGCGTCGAGATTTCAAATACTTGCATTCCGATAGGACTAACGGGGATTTCTCCTCCCCCCTTGCTTTCTCCCTGGGTCAGGCGCCAGTTATCGGGCCGTCCCGGTACACGCCGCTCCAAGTCGCGATCACGCTCACGGCTAGGAGGAGTGTGGAGTTAGGCTCGTATTTGTAATTCTTCACCGCATGGCCCGTTTCAGGCCGACCTTCGAGTTTCGTCTGTCACCGCAAGGAAGTCGATGGGTCGTGCAGGCGTGTCTAGCACTCTAGATTGATGGAAGACTACATGCAAGGTGAGCGCACCCCAACTCTTAGAAAGCGCTGATGCAACTCTAGCGTTCCTCGCATTCTCCTGGGAGCTTCAAGAATAGATGTTATATCATGGCTCTTGCAAAATTCTGTCCTGTTGCAAGGTGATGCGCGGCGGTGTAGGCCCCTTGGGTGAAGGTTCCTCTTACTTCGTAGAATGCGTGTGCGACCACGACCATGACTCGAGCGACGGCACGATTGGACGTAACATCGACATCGACACCATTTGAAATGGACAATTGGGCACGTTCACGCCCAGACGATGCAAACGACGCCCAAAGGCGGATCTTGCCGTTGTCGGTCAACAATGCAACTCCTGGTCATGGAGACCGGAGCTGCAGACGCAACGAGGCGAGCGCACGTCGACATCATGAGGCTTCCGGGGTGACGCTACACCTGGAATTTGGATGGATCGAAATCGATGTTGAGGCGACGACTCGCGAGAGGCCTGACATGGCCCACGATTGATCATCGTGTATATTCTCCCGTCGACAATAATTGACAGCTTGACAGCAGAAAGCAAGAATCGCTGGGTATTCCAACATCTGGAAACCTGAGGCGCTTACCCCTTGCAATTGGTCCGTACAGGCAACCAACGGCGGAGGAGGGATGACAGATACGGCACTTCCATCATCAGTGGTTGGAATCAAAGCTCACCTATCCGGAATTACTTGCCAACGGAAAGAATCCCTCCCAGCGAAGCCGTCTCTCAACCCACCTACATTTGAATAGCGGCTGGAAGATGTGTCATCGATCCAGATAACAGTCACAGAAGTATCAACGGTCAGGCCACAGACGGGATGACGGGAGGCTTTAGAGCGGAACTATCCTGGCGCTGTGGCGCGGCCCGAAATGGCCGCCCCTCGGGCTTGATGGGTTAGCGTATCCATCCATACCAAAGATCCATCGGAATTCTGACTATGTTAAATCTTTTACGAACTGAATTCAATATTCATTGATTCCGAAATTCTACGAGCCAATTTCTCGATTTCTACGGGATTAGGACCTGATTCATGGCGATATTACGTAGTAGGTCTACCGGACTGGCCAACTGGTACGATTCGTAAACCTCGAATTCTATGCTCAGGGAGCGACTCAGGGACAGTCGGACGTTGGGCCGAAAGGGGTGAGTTTGTACTCTGTCACTAATTATGCTTCATGAAACTGGGTAATTACACGATATTATATACTTTTTTGTTAACAACGACTTCTCTCCATGTTCTAGACTTCTATCACAGTCCCCTTGGTCCCTCGTCAGCATATATTTTCCGATTCACAACAGTCCAGGGTATCACTCACCACCTTGCCATCAAACATTAATCTTACCAGTGGGATATGATTCGCATGTCTCCTAGATTCCTTTGTCAATTGCGTAGCCTTTGGGATGGATAAATTGAATGCGTCGGTCAATGCCCAGCTACGATGCCGATTTATTGGCAATTTTGCATGGCATCATAGCCGGACCATTTCCCCTTAATCTCGACTCGTTTGAACCAGGTGGCGCTTGGTGGCGCGGATCTAGGGAGCGTGGCATGGGATCGACGCTGGTCCAATTCGTCGGGACCTGGACCCCCGATGGCAATGCCACAAGCCCACAACACTGCGTTGAAGCCTGTCAGCTTGCCCGCTTCCCGCAGTTGGAGACCCATGGGTTCGGGACTTGAGGGAGCATGGATCGATATTATTACTGCTACTGCTACTGATCATCTTGCTTCCGAAACGACTAGCTAAACAAGGTCAGTATTTTGAAGGTAATGCAGCATCAGCCAGGGCACATTCACGAGAGCAGCAAGCCGCGCAACCGCGGCGTCCGCAGTCTCATAGCGTCAACATCCAATTCGAACTTGTGGATACCAACGGATGGGGTTGCGACGGCCTTTCAGAGTGAGTTACGGCCATCTGATCTCACGATTGGAGGATGTATTTAGCTGAATCGTTGTCGGAGCGGAGGAGATGTGGAGTCAATATTTCTCAGCTTGGAGCCTTGGACGCCGGATTTTGCTGCGATAGTACTACTAAGTAATTGCCCCTTAGGAGGCTAGGACCGGCCCATTTTGTTCCAATAGACCCTGCATATCATTCCCTCACTGCTAAACCTGGGCAAGGGCGGAAATGATCGACCCTCAGGTTCATGGTCCACCACGGGATGGGATTGAAGTTGACAAGAGGAAGTACCGGTGGCAACGCAATCACACATCAGACACAGCCCGCCGAAGAGATGTTGGTTGAATTTGTTGCGTTGGCAGACTTGCCGATCAGATCGTGACTTTCGTGAGCCAGTAAGCGATCCAGAAGTCTGAATATTACAGAGGTTTCCATAAATATCCATAAATAGACGTTGTATGGGACTACATGCTGACTGAGATGTATTTGTTGGGCAATTAAGGCGGTATAGTCAGGAGATTCCCATTTTTAACCAGGGCCAGCTTGAGACATTGAACTCCCCACCCTAATGCCATGTTTTCCCAGCCTCCATGACAGCCCCTGGACGACTTGACCTCACCTCATCCTAAGGACCTATAGTCACATCACATCAGACTATCAGAGTGCCGAGAGGCGAGAGGTGACGCGCACCGCTCTTTCTTTGTACGTACCTACTTACTTTAGGAATTGGGAGCCAAGATGAGAATGATGGATGCCCTCCGTCCGCTGTCCAGACTCCGGGCATCCGAGCCCAACTACAATCGTCATAGGGCTGGATAGCTTCCCTTCCTTCCCCGCCTATCAAACGAACCGCCTCACTCATTTCCGCCTCCGTTTCGCGTAACAAGATGGGGGAGTAAGGGAACCAGGGCCCTCCGGTGCGCTGACTTGACCGCCACGCCATGGATTGTTCGTCCTGCTGTGGAGGCGACCGTCAGAGCGAAGGGATGATGATGAAGCCCAGGAGGAGGGTTTTGCTTCTGGTATTCATGTTGGTATGATTCTACTCGAATCACCGCCCCTCCAAAACCCCTAGACGATCCGAGGCTCCCCGTCTCTCTGCCATTGCCCATCGGCATTCTTGCAGATGGAGTCTCCTGGACTACTATCCGTCTTTGTTCTTGCGACTTGCGAGGCGAAGCTTAAAGCTAGAGCATTGGCTTGTCCGCTTGGACCAGTCACATCGCCCATCATCCATCTCTCGCCCGTGAATGGTCAGCGCACTCATCTCATCAACGCCGATGTCACTCCGTGGCATTCCTCAACCTTTGTCATGACGGGAGTTATGGAGAATGCCCTAGACTCTCGTGGGTTGGTTATGATAAAATCTTCTCCCTATCAGCACTGCACGCGGCACCCTTCCTTCGTGAAAGATGCTCCCTTCTCACAGGTCTTCCTGTTCCTCTCCAGTGTCGGATCCTACCCTTTTGAAGCGGTTGTGGAAATCGAATCCGCCTGCATTTCGAGCATCAACATTGCTCACCACTTTGAATCACGACCCCGGTTTCGCCTCTTTCGATTCTAGCCCTTGTGGACTGGCCAACTCCCGGCAACTCCTAACGTGGACCCATTCAACAGCTCTTGATCTGATTGTACAAGCAAGAAACGGAGAGCAGGACGGGCAACCGGTCCAGGCCTCTTGGACTGGATCCTTATGACAAGTGTGAAAACGCATGATCGGTTGCGGTTGTCCTCTTCCCGCCAGTCAAGCTTAGGGAGGCGGCGATACGGCACCCAGTTGGACCATATCACGGGTTGGGATTTCGACGATACGCTCGGTTCGCACTGTAAGTCCTGCAGCAGTGATCCCGTTTCCGCCCTGAAAAGATTCTTTGTCTAGATTCCGGGTTCCTCGGAGCGGGTGGCTTGGTGCTAACGTGATCGGTTGGCGATGCAGATATGCGAGGTTCTTTCAAGCAATCTTAGCCTCAGCCGCCCATCCGAACCTTTGGGATTCAAGGTAAAATATGTCGACACGAGGAATTCTTTGAAAAAGCGCGGAGAGCTGATAAAGAAGGTTGCTGGTGGTCAACCGCAATTTCCGGGCAGATACCATCGGCATCGAGGGATTGACGATTGCTTTCGATCCTTGTCTTATCGATAATTTCATCGTCAAAGAGGAATTCCGGTGGTGTGGAACGAAGAAAGAGTAATATTTGTAAGTCTCCCCACACTCTGGCTCGGCACGGAATTCATTTCGCTGTTGCGTTCTGCCCCATCGCCGTCCCGAAATGCGTAATTCAACTCTCGCCGTCTGGCAAACCAAGAGGCTGGTGAATCATGTCTTCCACTTCTTCATCTCCCTACGTCTCGTCCGGCCTTTCGTGCCGTTCTCTCTTCCTCTATCCCAATAAATCCACTTGCCCGTGCATGATACACGATGACCTGAGCTGCGACAAAGTCCCTGCTAATCACATTCATCCGCATCGCAGATTGGCTCTGTTCGACATCGCATTCACGATTTTCCTTCGCCGCCAAATTTGCTCTCTTCCCCTCATCTGTCAATTGGGAGGGGTTTCTCCGGCTTCACTGGACGGGCATCTAGCCAGCGCCCACTGGCCTTTACCAGCTGCATCTATGCGACACGATTCTCCACAGGACTATGATATCGGATCGGTTGGTGGCGATCATCAACACCTACGACGGTTGTTCGGTGCCTGGACTCGCTTGAGAGCGACGACGGCCTACTTAGTTCATGCCGCTTCTGCGCGATAGCGCATTTTAACGACTGCTTCTAAGACGAGATCAAAGAACGACGCCACAGGCGCATGGGTGGTTTCAGGCCACCAAATCCACTTTCTGGGAAGCGTATATCAATCCGCTACGATCTCTCGCCTTGCAAAATTATCCGCTTCCGTATATATTCAGTGCTGGGCAGACAGGCTGCACTACTGTGATTTCGCCTTTCCATCGGTGTTGAATCAGAGCATTCTTGGCCTTTGCTGATTCTATCAGCCTCACTGCTTTATCACTCGACCAACTCTCAACGCAGTTGGAACAAGACAAGAGCAAAGTGAAATATATCTTGCGAGACTGTTGCGGCATTGGATCCCCAAGTCTATCAACAGAAGAGCCGCGTGGACGAGGACCGAAGTCCCGACTACATTCCAAACAGGACCGCACCTGCGACACGATTCAGTCCGAAGTGGAAAATATATAGTGAGTCGGCAATTTTTCTAATTCGCCCGGAGTGGAAATTCGCCTTGTTTTTGTTTGGACGTATCGACTAAGCGTGGCTGTACCCGCTGCTGCCTGGTCCGGATATCCGCCTTGAATTGTCATATTACCCCTGTCATCCTTCGCGAACAACTATTCATATACATTTATTGCACTGCCCAATAGACGCGCATCAAGTCTAATTTAACATCCAATCAGCTCTAGAAATTTATCGCCGCCTCGCAAAGGGGTGAGGAGGACCGCCTCTCCACAGTGACTGTTGGAAGGCTTCCAATCTCTGGTCCCTTTCCATGTCTGAGTCGCAGGAGTCATATGTGTACGGTAAGTCAGCTCCAAGAATTGTGCGAGCCTCGATCTAGTGCTCTGTCGGATTCTCGGTATCGGGGAGATCGATTTTGGATCGCTCCTGGAACATGCATGAGATGGACGTCCTAACGGGCCGCATAGATTATGGCGCCACGCGATCGACCGCATCTACGGAGAGCAGCTTCACCATCCCGGCACCACATCCAATCCAGCCGTCGCCCTATTTGGCGCATGTGCCCGGGTTGGGCAGTGAGAGCGGGACTAGGGGTGGTGGTGGGAGTGGCAGCGGAGGTGAGGTGGGGCGGGGTCCCCATGCAACGGGAAGAGACACGATTGGCGAAGGGCCCAGTGCCCTACTAGGACGCGAGGTCGACACACCCCATGCTCAGCCGCCCGGGCAGATGCCCGCCCTCCCAAGCTATCATCCTGCGCGTGATGAGGGCCCTGCCTACATCCCTCACGCGTACACTCCGCATACATTTATTCCTCCCAGGCCGCAAGCTCGGGATGTTCTGGAAATCTTGTCCTATGCACCGTCCAAAGCCCTACATGGAGAACGCATCTACATCCGCGTCCGAACCGGTTACGACCTGTACTCTCCCCGCCGCACGGCTCTCACCATCATGTTTGCAACTCGTCGTTGTGACACCGCCATCACAAAGAATGGCTCAGACGGTGTCTACTATGACTACACACTTTCGACGGACATCCCGTCCTTCGACACGACGGGGTGGTATGAAGGCCAGATGCCTCTGTACTTGAGCGTGGAAGACGAAGGCGGCCAGAGCGTGCGGGTCGTCGAGGTGGGCGACTTTACCTACCTCGATGCGTCGGCACTCCCTCACCATTCCTCTCATGAGGCCATCGCACGAAAACGAAAGGTCTCCCCGGAACCGGAAGGGTACAGAAGTTCACCCCATCATTTGAAACGCGTGGCAAGCCAACAACAATTGAGTAGAACTTCTCGCGATCTTGGAGCGGCTTATCGACCGCTGTCTCAATCTCCGTACGCTCGCCCGGCGGTCCCATCTTATAGTATGTCTGCGGCTCACTCCGGGGATCGAGTACCACCTCCCTATTCTCGACGCGCCGTTTCCTACCACTACCCCCCATCAGCAGGCCCCGTTTCGCATGGAGCGCAGGCACCATCCCCATCATACAGTCCATACTCGACGGCCAGTCGTCCAAGTCAAAGCCCTGCCTTGGCCGTGGTACCTCCCGCTCCTTCTGGTCCAGCGTTGACGCCAGCGTCACTCGGGTCGAATCCGCCACTGGTACGGACCACGACTCTACAACCGCCCTCCGCTCCGGTTGGACTGGTGCATCCAGGATTCAACCCCTATGCCATCTACCCGAACGCTCGTGCAATGCTCAAGATCGATGGTGATCTGGACTCCATGACCCAGAACTGGAACCGAGCTGAACTCGACGCCCGGCGACGATTGGTGCAGTTCACCCGTTCTCAGGCCGGGAGCACCATCATAACTTTATTCCGACCGGTCTCACCCGAGGAACGTGCGCCGAATTCCATCTGCATCAGCTGCATTTTGTGGGAAGAGAGACAGGAGTACTTCGTCACCAGCGTGGACACCATCTACTTGTTGGAGTCGCTTGTCGCCGTGCGCTTCACCGTCGAGGAAAAAAACCGCATCCGACGCAACTTGGAGGGCTTCCGACCACTGACAGTTGCCAAATCCAAAGCTGACAGCGAAGACTTTTTCAAGTTGATCATGGGCTTTCCCAATCCCAAACCCCGCAATATTGAGAAGGATGTGAAGGTGTTTCCGTGGAAGATTCTTGAACAGGCACTGAAGAAAATCATCAGCAAATATGTAAGGACCCCAGTTTTCACCATTCCTCACGATTCGGCTGTCCTACCGATTGAAGGGATATTCACTAATGATTCCACCAGTCTGCGAGCTACTCCTCCACGGCGGGTGCGTTGCCATCGGTTGGACCGAACAGTTACGTCGGTCCCTCATACAGCGCCCGGGATTCTTCTCCCGTCTCTGCCCCTCGCATTCCGCCATACCAGATCACTGCGCAGGGTCCCGACTCTGCGCCGCTGATCCGCCATTCTTCGCAACAAATGCATCGATCTCCAGCCATGTATTCTCCGCGCACCACTACCGATTCCGGCCTTGGTCAGTCGTTGACAAGCAGCGGCGGCTTAGCAACATACGGAACCGATATCCGAAGTCAAAGCGGACTTGGACATCAATCCAGTGGGTATGGGGCGAGCTACGGAGCACTCCAAGGATGGCAGGCGACGAGCAATCCGACCCTCTCTCCGGGATTGCCGGCTGGTGGCACATATGGATACGGAGCACGGTCGTCCTGGGATCTTGCTTCATACATCGACACTGGGACCAACACGACGACTGGAGCAGCGTCTAACATCTTCTCGGAAGGCGGTTCGATCAGGACGCCCAGTACGGACCCTGGCGGCCATGGACCAGGGTACGCGCCAGCGCCTTACACGGGTGGAAGCAGTGCGTATGGTCTGGGATATGGTCAGCGGACGCCAAGCTCATCATCGAGACCATGATGAACTTCATCACCGGTTCATTGTCCCTTGACTCATGCGCATGTCTCGATGACGATGGTGATGTCGAAACTGTACCAGAACCCGGACACCAGCAGCGCGTTGGCTGGCAATACCGGACTACATCTGCACTCTCGGCCTTGATATCCGACCGGACACGAGATTTATTGACCAGCTGGACGATAATATTTTGGCGCTAATAGCTGCAGACGAGTAGCGGTGGAGTGTTGAAGTTGTGCTGTGGTGGGGGACGCATCCTGGTCGAACTGTGCGTGTGATCTGCAAGCTGCTTCAGTGGTCGCGGGGGTTCTGCGGTTCACAGCCAAGACTCCGATATCTCATCCACACCCACACCAAACACCGACACTGCAGCTATTTGCAACCCGACACTGGACTTCCAATTCTCGCCGAACTCGATTTCCACCGTCAGGTTCTGTTCGCTTCGATTCCCATCGAGATCAACTTAAGCCATCCACCCTCGAACCAACCACAGAATAAGTCATCGCCGTGTCGGTGAGACGCGTCAGCTGGCCCGCCTGACTGACGGAATGGCTGCCAAATATACCTTCAGAGCCCGCTATTGTCGCGGTCAGATCCATCGGTCATCTGCCCCTACTTACCACCCTCCATTCCACCCTACCCCATCCGTCTACAATTTACTCTTTGGTCACTAGACTCGATCTCCTCTACCGCACGCGCGTTTTCCTATCCCAAGGTCTCAGCGTCACCGGTCGGGTGTTCAATATCCGACATGTCTTCTCGTCCCGCCCCATTGCCGATGTCGGGCATCTCATCTTAAGCCTAACGAGCGGAACTTGCCTCTTTCTCCCTTTCCTCTACGTCAACTGATGGCATAGCGCCTCATTCTCCGTTTCATCATTATAGCCGGTCCGGTCGGTTTATTGTTTGCTCCTCTTTATTATGCATCGAGATACCTGTAGGGCGAGCACAGCCGTGGATTATTCCTTTCTGACTTTCCGACGCATCAACATCAGGCTCTCCGTTTCATGTATTTTCACCCTTCCCAGTCATGCGCTCATGTTATCCTGGAGTCCGGAATAACGATGTGGTTCTGGGCAGGTTATGACCCTCCCATACGGCGCCCTCTCTGAGGCGTTGCCGGCACGTATCTTTTCACGGCGCGCAACACACAGGGTGTATTTTTCTTCACATTGAAGAAGTCATAGAAGCGATCTGCATAGCATGGCCAATGGGTTATCTAGAATGGTTAGTCTCTGGCGGCAGAGCATTTCCGCAATAGCGCGGACATGAGATGGCGTCCTTTTCGGGGGGGTTTTAGCCCACATGGGACATTCGGCGAGGCGTCGTTTGTGTTTTCTATTCTTCTTTCATGCATTCTGGTCGTCGGATCGATCCTTTCAGCTCAGTGTACTTCAGACAAGATATCTGGCAGCCTCACGGCTATTGAGGGCGCTTTAACATTTTCTCTCGCTTCAATATGACTGCAATTGTCAAGGCGAGGACATAATTTAGTAATAACGATATTATCATCATCCACCGTGACCTTTTGTTCAGTGCCAACTCAATCAATAAAGCGGTATTTCGCAAACCTCTTCTCTCACATCTGTGATTACACGCTACCTTCATTACGCAATCGACCCTTACAGCTTGGACGCAAACATTATGTATAATGATGGGAGACTAGAAAGTAAGCGAATGATCATCGAATTGCCGCGAGCAATACAATTACCAACAAGAACGAAAGAGATCAGAGATCTTGGTTCCGAAATTGGCGTACATTGCTGTCAAAGCCTGATTGACCAAAATCACCACCCGCCTCCTCCCCATCGAGCCCGGTTCTCGTAGTTGTAGTTATCCTCATTGTACCCGTCCCACTCGTTTTTCATATCACGAAAGCTTCTTTCGGGCTCGTCCCCTTTCTCTCCTTCGAAGTGAGCATTACCGTAGCAGTTAATCTTCCCCTCAATCCTACCGTCCCTCAGAAACCGGATCCAACCGTGATTCCCTGGCCCAAATGACATCACCCCCTCTCCGTTCTCTCGCCCTCGCCAAGTGAACTCGAATTTCTCATCAGACGCTTCATACGGTCGCCGGGGGATGCACAAGATGCCCGAATATGCACCGAAATCGTACGCGCCCCAGACAAAGGTCCCTGCGAGACAAAGACTTAGCGTAAACTCGTCCGCATTATACTGACTCCACTGATCGAGATCCGGGCAGTGGAGGTAGTATGTTCCATTGATCATGCCGAGCGGCCCATCGACCTCTGGATCGCTGTCCGAATCCTGTGGAATGGAATCGTCGTCGTAGCCGTAGCCGTCGGAATCCCTTTGAGAGCTGTAGTGGTTGTCGCGCCCCTCCTCCACTTCAAGATAACCATAGCCACTCGAGCGGCCTTGCGAACTGTAGTTCTCATCGCTCTCGTCTATTTCCGGGAACGCGAGCTCCTCTCGAGGTGCGACTGTTGCGCGTCCGGTACCACCACGACGCGCGAACGCCCCACGTCTAGCCGTTTGCTTCGGTCGTCCCGCCGTTGTTTCAGACGCGTTTGGCAGACTCGGCGTGGTTGTGGCTCTCTGCGAGGTTCCGCCCCGGGCGACGCGACCTGTGCCTCGTCTCGCGGTCTGGCGCAGACGAGGCGCTGCAGCAGTCGACGCTTCGCCTCGCTTCGCGGTGGGCGTAGGCCGGGCGGAACCAGTGGACTTATCCTTCGCTCCACTCTTCGAACTCAAGGCAGCAGGCTCTAATATCTGAACTGTCGGTTTCTGTTTCTTCTTCGATGATTCTGCAGGGAGCGGAGCGCTGCTGTCATCGCTGCGTCCCCTCTTCTTCGTCGTCGACTTAGATGCAACCTTCTGAGTCGTGGGTGCTTTCTTCACAGCGCGGGTTTGCGATTGCCATTCTTTCTTTAATTCCTTCTCATAACGGGCGATCTCAGCTGGGACTTTCAGCGACGCTGCATTCACCGCATCCAACAATCGAGATTTGGCGACTGCTTTGGTCTTCGAGGCGACAAGGCCGTAGTGCATCAATTGAGCCTCGTACCAGTGAGCAACAGGGTCCTTGTCAATGGTCGCCCCGGCCTTGGAGGTGGGGTCGGCAGGATGGAAAAGTGCCTTGAGTTCCACGATGGCAGCGCGACGATGTCGTTGTCCATTGCTAGCTTCAGCGTAAAACGTGTTGTCATTGTAATGGAAGGCGGACTTTGGATAGCTAACGCATTTTGGAGGCATCGTGTGACTTGAGGTCTAGATACGAGTGGTCCGATGCTTGCGGGACGTGCCGACTGTCGAGATTTGAATAGAACAGTATTCAGTAGCAATAAGATGCCGAATCCTAGGCTTCAGAGTTCGTCGGATCTTCGGAACATCGGGGGTATCCAGGAGTTGCGACGTCAGATCGGGAGATTCCCAGGTTCAGGCTTCCAGGGTTCTTCTCCACCAATTGCACGGTTCGGAATTAGATGATTTGACGCTAATTCTGGATGTGATAGCTCAAGTGCCCGACGTCTTCTCCAGACTCCGATATCTGTAGGTCTGCTCGTATCAAGATCCAGCCTCCGCTGCAAACAGTTTCCGGTCTCAGCCCGTAACACAGCGGCGGCCTTGAAAAACAGGCGTATTCGTATGTGAGCCAATTAGTACCAATGAAAATAAGAATCAGGGAGAGATCCAAGCTGCAAGAAGTGGAGGAAAGCGAGGAGGATTGTCAGGGATCTAACGGCGGAAATGGCGCCAGGCAAACGAAGACAAGACGGCAACGATGCTTTTGTGCGACGGGACAGTTCTCTCCAACCAGGATGTGGGGGAATTGAGATCAAGATCGAAAGATAAAGCGGGAACAGGAATGGGAGATAATGACGGGAATATACAGGAGAAATCCATCATGGAGTTGGCGATGGATGTCATACGTCCTGATGGATTCACCTCCATCGCGTCGTCCTCTACCACGACGCATCAGCTGCTAACACATTCAATGCAACTATTATCGTCTTCTTCATCTATTTAATCCGTCTCTTTCCTCCAACACCGACTTCTAATTCCCCATCCCCAACCCATCTCCGTCCATTTTCCTCAAGTCACAACGGGTTCCTCAATCATGCCAGTAAAGCCACGACCTCTACCCTCTGAGTCTGAATCCGACTCTGATACGGAGATCAACACGGAAGAGGCCTCATCGGATTCCAATCAAGAATCAAACAGCGATGCCGAAGAGTCTGGGTTTGAAAACTCGACTGACTCCTCTGGAGATGAAGCAGATATCAAGCCGCCGCCCAAATCCAAACCAAAAGTGGTCGTGGACCACGCTCAACCATCCACAGGGATGGACCACGTTCCTGAATCCAGAAACTATGGTGCCAACTCGAAAGAGGTATGCCTTCGCACCATCCTACAGATAAGGTCAGTACAAGAACACATGGCGCTAACGTCTCTTGAACCCACAGACATCGAACCCACCAAATGCTAATTATGCGTCTGAGTTTGACCAGAACAAGCGCAAGAGGGCCGAGGAACATGTCATTACCGGTTCTACTAAGAAAGCAAAGCGAGCCGACCCGAGCGGAACCGGTATGGACCTTGTGGGGGGAGCAATCACCACCGGAGATGGCACTGGACCCTCCGTCACTGGGGAATCCATGGCCTTGCCGGAGCTTCGTGCTCAAATGTTGGCATTGTACCCACAACTAAAGTTTCTCGAGGGAGTCTCCGATCATCTCCTTGAACCACGGTCAACACATGCTACGATGGACTTTGCGCACCGTCTCAAAGTTGAGAGCCGTGTCCAGGTGCTGGAAATATTCACGCGTCACATTTTTGCGGAACTCGAACAGTCGCGCGACGTTCAAGAGAAGCTCGCTTCGAGGTTACAGGACGCATCGCAACGAACCGATGCTTTGGAGGCCGAACATGGCAATGTCCTGTCTAGCATCGATAACTTGAAAGAGGACGCCGCCTCTTGGATGCGACACGGACCATAGTCGTAGAATCGCATACCATTGCCAATGGGATCCGAGAGGAGATGGGTCATTTGAAGGGAGGCATTCACGAGTCAATTTCCAACTCGGACAGGAAAAATGGAATGGCCATCCGAAGGCTCAAGGAGATGCAGATCGCTACGGCGGCCCACCTGACCTCCTTGGAGCAGTCAACGACGCAACTGGACCGTGAAGAGGCGTATGAATCCGAGGAGGAAGTCAGGTTCATGGTCGAAGACCTCCAAGACCAGATGGCGGCAGTGGAGGAGACGAATGGGGAGCAGCAAACGAAGATGTCTCGCGTTGTCGAGAGCCTGGACGTACTTGACCGCGAGGACCTTCCCGAGCGGATGATGGCAGTAGAGGAGGTGACTGGGGAGCAGGGAACCAACGTGTCCCACGTTGTTGAGCGCGTGAACCTTCTTGCTCGCGACAAAGATACGTATGAGGCTGCGTTGGCGATGGAAAGCAATTTGGATCACATCAATCGTCGCCTCAACTTTGCTGAAAAGGGGCTGAGGGACGTGCAGAGGTAGGTGCATGGACATCGCGACTATACTAGGGAAGAGGAGGCCACTCCAAAGTCCAAATGGTGAAGAGCAAACTGCTGAGGCTTGAATGGACATGGTGAGATGAGACCAGCTTGGACTGCTGGTCAATTTTCGGTCTGGTTCAATGATTCTTCTCGGTTTCGGTTCTTTCAGCGGCGTCAGGTGGTTTATTGATGTGACGTATTATTGATTGTTACGGCGTGTCAATCAATCACGGAAGCAATAGGTTACCTGTCGCAGGCCGAAACAACTCTGCACGGCCAGGGAACCAGGCATTGAGATAGAACACACAACTTACACACTACAACTCTGCTGCTTGATCATCAGATCACCCTGACTTCCAACCATTTTAGCACTTCCCATGCGACAGTACCTGACGGAGGCAGTCAGATGCTTGTAGTACATTACACCTCGGAGGGTAGATATAATGTACTCATATACCCAGGTTTATGTAAGCTACCAGACAGAATGCGAAGGGCTGATGGCTAAGTAATAACCTCTGATCTCCGACACGCATACACACCACATTCCAACTCGATTTCTCCAGGAGCTTGAGGGTGACAGCCATCATGTTCATGTTATTGCTGATAATAGTTGCCAAGAGCTGCATCGTAGCACTTAAGCATTTACGCCATGGCGCTTGAACAGTAGCAAATAGCAATCCTTCCAGGGGACGCGCGGCGGCAGTTGGATCGGCGCCCAGCGTCCGTCGCGTTGCAAATCCATTAATATTATTGCTTCACCTTCCGTCGTTCCCGGCTCCAATCTTCCAAGTATCCACTGTCCAAGAGTCCGACCACCAGTGCCATCTCTAATCTCTGTTATCCTCTTGTCTAATTCTCATAGGTAAGCACTATGATTCCTCTCCGAGTCAATCCTCGCCTGCAGTCTGGTTCGTGGTTGGAACTCTCTCTTTGCCGAAGTTCATGTTGGCTTTTGACACCTTCGTGCTCTTATATCCCTCCGTTTGCTCTGTGTATGCTTCACGATGCCTTGAATTTCGTTGGTGCCTTTCCGCAAAGTAGCCCGACGTGCGGCCGTTATATATCCTTGTGGTGAGGGCTGTCGTCACGCTGTTACGATGGGGTTTCGCTCCCTGTATCAGATGCAGTCGGTTTCGAATTGGCCCATCCGTGGGGTCGGCCTGCTACTTCCAAGCTTCCTACAGGCACGAAATGCCGACGAGGAATCGGCCTCGAAACGACGACATGCGAATGCCGCCTTGGATGGCCTCCGAGGCATGGCTGCCCTTTTCGTCTTCTTCTTCCACATCCTCTTTTCCTACACCGACCGGGTCGAGTATGGCTACGGCAGAGACGAGCGGAACACCCATCTTATTCAGCTCCCGTTCCTGCGGCTCCTGATCGCTGGTCATGCTATGGTCGGTGTCTTCTTCGTGGTGGGAGGCTATGTCTTCTCCCTCAGGCCATTGCGCTTAATGCGAAGTCGGACCTATGACCGTCTGTACGAGACCGTGGCCTCCTCGTTATTCCGGCGTGGGATCCGCCTCTACCTTCCTGCGATCGCGGCCACGTTCCTTACGATGATGACGATACATTTGGGCCTCTGGGAATACCCCCGCCAATTCGCAGACAGCAAAGATTACGTTTTCTATGCGGACAATCACCACCGGCAGTTCCCCACCCTATTCGAACAGGTCGACGATTGGGCACATGAGACGTGGAAGTTGACCGATATCTGGGACTACTACAACAAGGGGGTTCTGATGCCATACTACAACCCGTACGACCCGCATCTCTGGACCGTTCCCTTCGAATATCGCTCGTCCTTATTCCTTGTCATCGTTCTGTTCGCCTTTTCGAAATGCCACACGCCGTTGCGAATCCTCTTCATGATTTGTGCTATATATTTCTGCGGCATGTGGGATCGCTGGGAGATGGTTTTGTTTCTATCTGGAACCGTACTGGCGGAAATCAAGCTGATCGGGGAGGCAGCTGACTTGGATGGTACATCGGCTCAAACGCCCCAGCCAATGTCTCTTGAATTGGTGTCTTCGCATTATTCTAGCAGCGCACTTGCAGAGCCGCAGCCCCCCCACTTTGGGCCGGTGCCGGACAATGAGCAGTGGACTCGCTCGAGTTGGCTAAGGGGTTTCAGACTAACGACTTCCAGGAGATGGTTTCAGCTGGGGGGATTGGATTTCCGCTTTCCGCAGCTGCCTGGCGGGTTACAGATAAGGCATCTTCTTTCATTTGTCGCATCTCTCTACTTGCTATCGACGCCGAACTTGGATGTCGCGGAGACTCCAGGATATCGGTATCTCTCTTCATACACTCCTACGACGTATACCGACGAGAAGAGATTCCTGCAAGGGCTGGGAGCGACCCTCCTGGTCTACACCATCTCCAACTCCGGCGCACTGCAAATACCCTTTACTTCTCATTTTGCGCTTTACATGGGGCGAATCTCCTACAGTTTCTATATCGTTCATGGTCCCTTGATCCACATTGTCGGCTACAGCGTGACACCCACGATCTGGAACTGGATTGGGATGGAAGGCGCACGATGGTGGATTGGCCTGCTTCTGGGAAGCGTCGTCCTCGCAGGATGCGTATTTTGGGTGGCCGACGTCTTCGAATCGCTGGTCGATCGGTCGGCTGGGAAACTTGCTCGCAAACTAGAGACCTGGGCTACAGGCGCGGATTGAGGCTGAGGAAAAAATGGTTTAGAATAAACAACAGGGAAACCTATGGACTGGGCATGATATCCTGCGGAGTTTGGTGTTTTGCAATATTAGACGGGAGATACTAGAAGGGTCCATGAAGGACCCAAAGATACCCATAGAACTACTTCCTGTCGAGACAAAATACCTGAAATAGGACTACCTATTTACAGATTAGATTTTACCAAGTGCCATTTCCGAATAAATAGCTGAGGTGTACTCCGGGATATCTCCTCTCCGATGAGCACCAGAATGGAACCCTGTATGTAATTCTAACACCAAAGGTGGTCTTTGCAACCGACATCAATCATTGAGGGGATATGCGCAATCGGCAATTCGACACGAACCTCCAACCGTTTCCCCTCCGAATTCGAAGTAGAAGGAATCATGTCGCGTGCCAACCCGAATTCGACGCGTACTCTCACGCTGCCAGAGGAGCTGGAGAAGCTCGAGCAATCTATTACCCTCACTCTCCAAGGTGCCTGGTATCTCCCACTATGACGATAATAGGTCGGCTAACATCACGGGGCTCATAGAGATTGATCGGAACTTCAGCCGTGCACACCGTATTGTCACCACGAGCATTCTACCGGTCGTCGAGCAATATGCGAAGCATTCGGAGGCGGTCTGGGAAGGATCCAAGGTCCGCTGTTGGATCCGACGACCTCGAGCCCAAGCTAACACTCCGCATAGTTTTGGAAGCAATTTTTCGAAGCCAGCGCCAACGTCTCCTTGTCTGGATACGAAGACCCCCATAACGAAGATCATACCGGGCTGGAAGAGGACGCGGCTCTCTCCGAGGGGGACCCCAGCTATGCCACCTCTCAACCGACCCGGCTGGACGACGATACGGAGAACGACACAATCCAAGCTTCGATGCGACGCGCCGAAAGCGAGGGAGCAGACACGGACGAAGATGACTCGACGCTCCTACTCAGCTCTCCTTCGATCGGTAATGCACAGAGTACACCCCGACCCAGGCATCGAGCGGCGGGCAAGGAGAACACGACCATGAGAGACGTACCTTCTCCATTCCGGAAGTCCGCCGCGAAACAGAAGACGAGCGATCTCCCATCGACGCCAGGACGTGACGTCGATATAACCGCCAGTTCATCTCCGTTCCCCATGTCCGCCCTGCAGAGCCGAGTGCTCTTCTCCGCCCGCAAGGGCACCGCACATCAGGATCCCCTTCTGCATCGCATGCTGGACAAAACCTACCGCATCGCCGCGACCCCGCACACAGCGCGCCGCGAACCCAAACCTAGCGCCGTCGTCACCCCGGGGTTGACGACGAAGACGACCCTCCCACATTGGCTGAACGACTCGCCGGACTCGTCCCCCGCCATCGCGGCCCCGCAGCTACGCGCCGAGATCTTCGGTTCGCCATTCAAGTCCAACGCGCAGCGGACCCCGAAACCGACTGTCCGCACCCCCGGCGTGAGCGTCATGACTCCGGGGACCACGCGGAGGCTGTCCGGGAGAGACGAGGGGACCTCCATGAGGATGGATCCGGCGGAGAGGACGGCTACGTCGCGTTTTACGGGGACGGCGAAGGCGTGGGATAGCGACAGCGACGAGGATGAGGATGGGTTGGGTATTAGTCCGCCAAAGACGATGCAGTTCCATGTGCCGCAGAGTCGTCTGCTACAAACACCTGGTGAGCGTCTAGCCTGTTTTACCTATGGCTGGGATGTGCTAACGGCGATCGAACTACAGCACGGGAAGCCAGCAAGCGGATCGTGGAGGATTTATTGTTTACAGCGGGAGGAGACATTACCGACGAGATCGAAGATGACAGTCCGAGCGTGGTGCGAAGAAACCACGAACTCGACGACAGCTTTTGAGGGTTGAACTCGGGGTAGGGTTCGGAACATTGGAGGACGCCTACAGCATGAGACGTTGTTCGGATGTGCGCTCTTGTCAGGCAATAAAGATCCTTGCACTATATATAAACAGAATCCTGCGATTCAGACATGCACGTCGCTATCCTGCTAAGCCAGTGACATATCCCGCCAAACGAACCGAGTCTGGATGAACCAAGGCACACGGAGCACTTCCTCCGCGTCTATTCGTTCCCCATGCTTCCAAATAGTTAAGAAATCGATGCTAAGTCTCGCCCCACCATATTTTTTACACGAGAAAAATCCATTCACGCGCTGAAGTAGACCGCCGATACCACTCGCTATTACCCATGTCCCTATAGCTTCGCCTTGGCCGATTCCAAAGACGGCACCATGAGGTCGCGAATCTCGGAGGCAGCCTCGCTGAGATAGAAGCTCATGCGCTCGGAGCCGAGGTTCTTGCTGACAACGTTGAATTGGATGCTGTTTTCGTTGATCATGTAGGCGATTCTGAAAGACGCGTTAGCAGTGTTGGAAACAAATAACAACCCAGAACCACTCACCCCCATCCATCGTCGACGACTTGGCTCCAGCCATATCCGTTGAAGTACTCGCTGCTCAGCTGGCTGCTCGAGATGCGCCAGGTCGAGCTGTAGGTGAAGGCCGGATCCTTGTAGATTCCCGGCACCTCCTCGCCGTCCTTCAAGCAGTTCCGCAGGCCGAAGAGATGTCGGTCCACGCCGCGGCCGTCGCTGGCGTCGCTGATGTACTTCACGTGGCCGTCGAGGGCGGCACGGAACTTGGTGACGCGCTCCGCGTCCGACGCATCCGCGCTGGCCATGGCATCACAGAAGGCCACGCTCTCCTCGCTGACGGTGCGGCAGGTTTCGGTGCGGCCGAGCTGGAACTTCCGGGTAGCGGCCGACTCGTAGGTCGGGCGGTTCTTGCCGTAGAATTTGTGGTAGGCGAGCTGGATGATCATCTGAACGTAGGCGTCGGGCGAGCACTTGAACTTCTTGATTAGGCCTTTGCCATAGCCCTGGTACGCCTGGACGCGCAGCTCGTGCATGCCGATCTGCCAGTTGAAGTGTTTCTGCGCGTTGACGATGTCCTCGTTCAGCTTCTCGTTGAGCGTGAACTTGAGCGGGGCCGGCTCGGGGAGGGTGGATCGAATGCTGGTGTCGGACAGGTCGAGGGCGTTGGTGAAGAGCAGCATGTTGGCGTAATCGTTGAGTCGGTGGGTCGGCGTTCCATCCATCATGGAATGTTCACCCATGAAGCCAGAGGTACCGTTGTCGTTGATGATGAACTGCAACGGCTTGTCGAACCAGCGGTTGCTGCCATCACCGTGCCAGTACTGGCGGCAGCGCTCCTCGAGCGTCACCGGAGAGGCATCGTCAAGGCAGACAACGAAGGAGCTGGATTCAATGGTTTCGAGGACCGACTGGTTCGTGGGATGGGCCGCGATCAGGCGCTCTCGGACCTAGGACTGGAATCAGCATCGTTGAAAAGAAGGATAGGGGCAAGGTATCTTACGTCGGTCCATGTGTCGCGATTCTCTGAAGTGAACAGACCGACCGGGGCAGCCTTCTCGGCACGCTCGTAGATGCGGCGGAACTGCTGCTCCAGCTCGGCCGCATTCAATTGCTTACCGTCGACCTCATGCAGAACCTTGAAGAACTGATTCTTGCGAATGACAACCAAGTGAGCGTTCTTCTGGTAGTCGTATTTGACCGGGTAATCGTACGGCTTGGCAGGGACTCGGCAGACGTTGAACATCCACTTGTAGCTCGACATGGCCATCGGCAGCTTGCGCATGTACTCCGGCTCCAGCGTCTTGGCATCCACCTGGCTCTTAAAGTCGAGAATGGCGGTCGTCATGGCGGCGGCACGCTTCGCAGGGTCCCGCCGTTTGCGGTCGTCGCGATGCGAGTAAAAGTAGCTCACGTACGGGATGACGGGATCGCGATAGCCCAGGTACGCGGAATTGTCCCACCATTCCGCGATCCAATTCCGCACGTTGGGATCGTCCCGACGCGCCACCAAGCGGCTCTGCAGCGCCTCGCCCTGCCCGCCGGGGCGGACGAACTCCTCGACGGCCTTCTGGGTGCTTTGGAATTCGGACTTGCTGATGAGAGGCCGGACGGACTTCAAATAGCGTTTGGCGGTTTCGTCGAGGGTGGGAACGGGGAGGCGGGGGAGGGAGTCTTCATAGCGGAGCATTTGACCTTGTGATAGGTCTTCCACATAGCCTGCGAAGCGGATGAGTATGCTGAGCGTCCTTATTGTGCTTCATGTGATCACGGCACTTACCCGAAGGCAGACCCGACGATTTTCTCGCTCCTTGAGGGGCCATTGCAGCGAACTGAAGGGGATTATCAGCCAACGTTATCGTGATGGATCGTGAATCTGATGTCACGGAGCCAGGCGAAAGAGCAATCGATCAGGGTCCGACGTACCTTGGAGGCGGTTGCAGGAGTTAGATGGCGGGCAAAGAGGACGGTGGCGGCAGTACGCGGTTTTGCCAGAGCATTGAACATCCCGACCGGCATCTATATGAAGACCTAGCAGATGAAGGAAGAGTGCACAGATGGTCGGCCTCGGACAGGACGTCCAGGCGATAATATGGAATGAAAGGCGGCTTTGGGTGGGTTTGGGGTAAGCTACCGTCGCAAAACCTCGGTCGTTCGGAAGAGCAGAGAACGTGGAGAGCGAAGAAATATTACAGTCCTTGGTACCGTCAGGGGAGGCCGACCGCGGGATCGCTGTGGCTGGTGGAGGGTTAGTCTCGGAGATACAATACACGGGTTGGGGACCTACTTTACTTCTTGGTCGTTCTTCCAACTTTCATCCTTCGGTATGTATAAAATTAAAATGGGGGAAAGCGTGTCTTATAGTCTTGTTTGTCGTCGTACGGTCCGTATATATTGGTGACTTGATGCTGCCTCTGTTCAACCAGAGGAGACCGATCCCGACTACTTGAGGGTTAGTTGGGTGAATTAGACAATTAGTTAGGTGAATCAGTCCACAGCTGAGTAATACCTAGTATTTCTTACCTTCACGTATTGCCCTTATCAGACTAGTCGATCGTCTAGTCTCTAGTCTCCCATCCCAACTCTGAACTTTCAACTCTCAATGGCGGGAGCTCGGCTTCGGCATCAAAATATCCATAACACGTGAGCCAATGGCTATGGCAGCCTTGAGGCCTGAGGCTTAAACTGTGGCTGGTGCTGTCCAATTTCTGTCCCTCTCTTCATCCGATGTTCCTTGCCTGCATTCCACCAAATCATCAGCAATTACGGAATATTCTCAGGAGTTATTCTCCGAATCTACATCGCGATTCCGACCTCGGCACTGCGAAAATCTTGCGGATCCGAACTTTTCTTCCATGTCCTGTGTTGACCATGCAGCCCGCGTTCCATCCGACTTATCTCACCTCACCTCACCTAGGAGGCTACATCCCTAAACGCCTTGCCGACGTGATTCCGAACATGCTCGTCCTGCACACGGCTCTTTTCAGTAATAAGGATCATGTCGTGATGCTCGGTATCTCCAATAATGGGCTTCCATTTGCTCGTGTTCCTTGTCACGCGCCCGTCTAGTGCAGCGGATATTCCATGGTGCCATTTTCGTCCGTCCCGTGATGTGCCGTCCCATCCTCCGACCTCCCATCCGAGCTGGCCCTGCATCCAAACTACATACCGTATCTACTGCTTCTGACCACAGGGCTATATTCAAGGAGAGATGCGCCTGTAGGATATGTAGGGAGTGCTGAGTAGGGACGGTATCGACCATGATCAGCCCTGGATTAGATGGAATATGGATAGAGCGGCACACCTGCCCCCACTCCCGTCAAAGCGACGGAGCACTTCCGTAGTCGATCGCACATCTGAGAGCGTAATCACAATCACTGGTTTCAATAGAATAGAGTAAGCGTGTATAATGACATTCAGCATCGAACTTCTATGATACGCGCTGTCTTTGGACGCCCGGGCTAAGAAAAAATCTCTGTATAGATCTGGGAACCGAATCGTCCCTCTTCCGTCTTGGACCGGTCGCTCCCCTGCGTGCTTCGCCGTCCCATATTGACCATTTACGGGTTCTCCTTGACGAACTGGACGCCCTTCGCGATGTTCTTGGCAAGATCGCCCAGGCACACGTCGAGTAGCTGCTGCTCGTACGGCGTGATGGTGCCGACCTCGTGGATCTTCTCCACACCGTTGGGGCCGAGCTCGACGTTGCTGGCGAAGTAATCGCATCCCTTGCTCTTGTAGAGCGGCGAGTCGACGAATGTTGGCTCCACCACGCCCTTCTCGCCCTGCGCCGCCTTGAGAAGGCTCTCGGCGAACCGAGCTCCGGCCATGGCCATGCTCAGCGTCGCTGACCCGGCGCCATCCTTGGCCTTCACGACCTCATCACCGCCGAATTGCACGCGGTTCACGTAGGCCTCCAGCTGCTCCTTCGTCAGCTCGTATCCGGCCTGCGACAACAATGGCACGATGGTCGCGCCCGAGTGGCCACCGACGACGGTGATGCTCTCGTTCGCTGGGTCGGAGCCCTTGATCTGCGAGAGGAACCGGGAGGCGCGCACGACATCGAGGGTGGTGACACCGAAGAGACGGCGCGGGTTGTAGACGCCTCGGGCCTTGAACACCTCGGCGGTGATCGGGACGGTAGAGTTGACCGGGTTGGCGATGATGAGGACATTGGCGTTGGGAGCCGCTTCGGCGGTCGCCTTGGCGAGGTCGCGGACGATGGAGGCGTTGGTATTGAACAGATCTGTGTATCAAATATCAGCGTCGCTCCGTGGTACAGTAGTGAAAAAACTAACCATCACGGGTCATGCCAGGCTTGCGGGGGACGCCAGCGGGAATGAGAACGACCTCAGCGCCGCTCAGGCAGTCCCTAAGGCCGGACGGGGTAGGATCATAGCCGGTCACCTTTGGAGAGTGTCAGCTATCACGGTTCCTATTCAATTGCTCGAGATATCCGTACCGTGCTCTTGGTGTTGATGTGGCCGACATCGGCAGCGACGCCTAGTGTTACAGTCAGATGATCAATCCCTCATGGTGTCGCGCCAAACTGGCCATGGATGCGCAAACGTACCAGGACCGAGGCGGATGTCGTAGAGGGCAAGCTCGGAGACGCGAGGGTTGAGCTTCAGGAGGAGAGAAAGGGGCTGGCCAATGCCACCGGCAGCACCGAGGACGGCGACTTTAGATGACTATAATCATCGTATTAGCGGATAATTCTCAATTGATAGTCCATTCGGCCGCAGGCATGCGCCAGGAAATAGTGACAGAGCGACAGGAAAAGGATGCGGTACCTGACGGGAAGAAGCCGAGAAGGCTCTCCGCTGAGCGACGTTGAAAGCTTGACGAGCTGCAAACATGGTGATGGAAGCAGGGAAATGTATGATGGAGGGTATAAGGAAGGAAGGAGGATGGTTGATGGAAATCAAGAGAATGTGTGAAGATGGGAGATGTTTCGTCTGAGAAACAGTTCCGTTGATGAGTTGCTGTGATGAAAGACTTCTTCCGGATGAACTGCCTTGTTGCCTTGTTGCCTGGCATTTTTAGTGGGTATCAGTCCATCAGAGAAGCTGGAGATTCAGTGGCAGGAAGGAAATGAAACTCTGCCATATACGGTAACGTTTAGTCGGTATCATTAATCACAGCGTTGCATCTGCATGATAACTGTACGACAGTGATTGGGTGTTGACCATTGTAAAATTATTGCACGGGTTTTGCAAACGTCCAAACTCTCCAGGCCCCTATTCCATGTCATGAGGACTTGATTCCTATATATTTCAAGCTATTGTCGGAACAGCGATCAATGAAGAGCAAATGTATATGGTCTGAATGCCCATAATATTGAGGATGGCATAGAAACATTGATATCAAGGAGCCGAACTATCCATGATAAACTCCATGTTCTAGTTTGTGCCTAGCGAAACTGGGTTTGTCTACTCTCACAACTCCCTAAGGTTGATCTAGGCTCAACGACCAAGTACATGACATTTTAGTCTATTAGTTAATTTGATATTTAAACAGATAACAATTATCACGCTCGAGGCCACAAGCCGAGCTCCGGACCAACCCCTCCCATAGCTGCGTAGGTAATAGAGCAAATGTAGGGTATCCGGCTTTTCGCTTATATCCAAGGGCGCTAACCAGGACTTCCAACCCTAAAGAAATCTGCATTATACGCGTCAAAAATATACATGGTTCTGCCACTCCGACCGGCCGAAACGGCCCTGTAGCTTCCTCAGAAGGCAAGCCCTACAATAGCCCGGTCATGGGCGGTCGGAGAGAGCATGACTTTCTGCCTCTCTTGTTCCTCTGTCTGTTGGAGTTTTGCCAGCCGGACCGCGGATGTGGTGGGAGGGAGTGGGAATACCACGCCGCCCTCACCAATGGCCGGACTGCATGGGCTCGTGACCATGGTCGCGTTCTCGCTCATGCTCGGACTTGACGAGGGCGACAGCGAGGGCAGACTGGAGAGGCTGTCGACGCTGTCGATCGATGACCCCGATGTGCGCCGACGAGGCCGTCCAGGATGCATAGGGCTCACCGGATTTCCTCGGAGGGCCATCCGCGTCGGTTGGTGGTGGGAAGGGGAGTGGAGTGGCTGTAGCGGGATACCGTGTCCCGGCGGGATGCATTGATAGAACGGCTGTGGTGGATCGTGTGCCGACGTTGGACCGAGACTAGGTACGGAAGGGGTTCGTTTTAGCCACTGTGGGAACTTTCGCAACCCGGGTCGGCTGTCCGATGGCGTTGCATCCAACTCGGTTTCGTCGTCGACGGTGCCCACTTCGGAAGGTGTGTCGTCATCTTCGACCGCCTCAGCTGCCGGGTGGAGGCGTTTCGGCCCCAACGGGGTGCTCAAAGCGCTTCCGATGTCCGATAGCGTCTCGCTCCGAGCTCGAACCCGCATGGCCGGAGCGATGGCAGGAATATGTTGCAGAGTGCCCGGCGCATGCGGCGCCGTCGGCATGGCGATCCGCGACCCATTGCCAGACCGGATCGCGTCCAGGCGCCTCTCTTCCACGATGGTGTTCAACTCTCGAATGGCCTCATCAATGTCGCCCTTGCTTGACTTCTGTCCACGAGGGCGAGATGTGGAGGCTGGCGATGTGTTGGATCGGATGCGGAATCTCCCCGCGGACGGTGGCGGACTGGAAAGAGAAGGGAGCGGGCTTGCCAGGGCTGATCCAGCGAGGCTACTCGACCTTCGGGGCCGGTTGACCACGGCGGATCGGGGTGGCTCCGGGAAAATGAACGAAGCAGGGTCAGCGGCCGGGAGGGAAAGGCTGTCGTGAAGAGTCGAGTCGCTACCAATGCTCATACAGCGCAGCTCCCGCAACGACTCCTCAGGAGACGTCTCACCGGTTTCCCCGTCGAAATCGTCGTAGACGTCTTGTCTCGTGGAAGAGATCGAGGGTTCACGGAGGAGGGCTTGCCTAGGTATCGACAGTCCTTCCGGGAGCTCATCCCAGCAGCTGAAATCTGGAAGAGGGGATAATCGACAGCTGGGCATGTAGATGCTGAGCTCCAGCGGGCGGAAGCTCCGCCGGCGTCGGGGGATATGGTTTCCACGTCGAAAGTCGGTGGGGGGGCTAATGATAAGAGGGACTTTTCGATTTCGAGACCGAGAACGGGCGCGGATTTGAGAAAGACCTTGGCGAGATCTCGACGAGGCTCGGGCGGCAAGATCTCGACCGCTGGAAGCCCATTGCGGCATATGTGATTGTCTTGTGCGGGGTCCATAGCAGTAGGCGTCCATGTAAGGACGGTCAACCTGGCGCGGCTGTTCATAGCAGACACTTTCGCTGTAGTCTGTAGTACGGTCTGGAGTCGCACTTGAGTGTTAGCCACGGTCGGAACGATTCCAGTAAGGCAGAACATACCGAAGCTCTTATTTGCACCATGTACCAGCCGGCGTTCGTCTCCACTGGGATGAGGCGCACAGCACCCGAAAGCCAGCCAGGAAGAGTTCGTCTGGGGAGAGGTCCCCGTCGGTTGAATTGAGTTCATGGTCGATTAGACAAATATCATTGCATCGGAACGACGTAAAAGTGGCACGACTTGCGCGCTCGCTGGAAAGAAAGACGAAGAGAAGAACTGCCAGAGCTGTAATGGGACGGGTCGAGAACGATATGGACTCGGTCGCGGCCGAAAGCAACAATCCAAACGAAGGCAATGAGATATATGAGGTGAGGGCATCGTTGGGCGCCAGGGCGCTTCATATCATACTATGTATGCAATCCAGGAAATACATTGCGGGACCAACGACAGGCGAATGCAGACTACGACAGGGAAGGATTGCGACGGGACTTGAAACCGAGGCGGGACGAAACCGATGGCCGTAACTGGACCACGTCAAGGGGGGTGCCATCTTGAACAGAAGCGCGAGGCCAATAGATTGACGATCATGGACGATGGAGGGGACGACATGGGACGAAACGGGACGAATGGGGGACAAGTTGAAAAGCAGCGATATTGATCGGAAGCCAATGAAGAGACGAGACGACAGTGTTGGATGCGCTGGAGGAGTGAGATGAGGGAGATGACAGCGCGAGTTGCGGATGGATGTTCTGAACATCTGATGGATGCATCAATCAGGAATCAATGTGAATGGATGGATGGAGGTCGATGTGAGGCGTTGCGGCTCTAAGGCGGCGTTCGCGGCGTTGATTGGCTCACCCCCCTGCGAATCCGTTGCTCCCCCCTGTTCGCCTGTCCCCTCCCCAGCGCTTATAGCAAGGCCAGGAACACTGCAGTCTGCAACAGACGATACAGACCTCTCCCCCCTGCAATATATTCTCCTCTCTTCCCTGCCCTTTCCTGCCTCCCCCCCTTCCCTGCGCTTGATGTAGATTGCTCTCTGCTTATCCTGAACATCATCGCTCTCTACCCGGTACAGCTGGTATGAACTACCACACCTTACCGTCCCCCGTCCCCTTCCCGTCACCGCAATGGCAGTTTGCACAGACCGAGTTGTTTGAGCAACAGTTTGCTCTGCCCGGTTGCACAGCTTCAGCATGAAACACAGTTCACTCGTTTGAGATCTAGGAGCCGCTGCCGCGAGGAATTTCTGAAACCAGAAGATTCGCTACATATCCAACCTTCAACCTGAGGTTTACAAATGAAGCACAGGGCCCGTTATCATCGTTCAGACCCCCATGCTGCTTGCTCGTCGCTGCCGTAGTGATAACCCGGCTCGTCCAAATTGCGGTCCGCCCGTTTCTGCCATTGCCCCTCCCGCTCCTCCTCATCCCTGTCATCCTCCACCGCGAAGGGCATGTTCGGATTGTGGCGTTGCTCTTCGTCGTGTGGCTGGAGTGGAGCGTCCTTGGACGGCTCATAGCCTTCCCGAACCGCCTCCTCCTGTCCTTCGATCGGGTGCGCACGACTGTATGGTTACTACATCAGCGGGGACTAGTTCTGTCAATCGCAAAGGTGACGGAACTTACACGAAATGCTTCGGCTGCTCCTCGTTCCAGGAAGGACTCCCTTCTTTTCTGTGTCGGACCCGCTCTACGGCCTCCGCCTCGTGATCCTCCACAACGAGATCCACCAATTGGCTCCGCTTTGATGTTGCGGAGCTGGTGGATGAGGATGACTCTTCTCGCAATGGAGACCCAATGGGAGGCTTCTTTTTGGAGCGCGACCCGGTTCCACTACTGCTGCTGCTCCCTCGATGCTTTCCTTTGTCGACGGCAGACTGAACCTCGGAGATTTGATGTTTCCGTCTCCGTCGATTTTCTTTGGTGGGCTGAAGTAAGTGGCGGTTGGTGGAAACAGTGATGATTCGGGGATCACGATATCGCCGCTGCTCAGGATTCGGAGTGTGCGCTGTGATGACGGGATACTGGCAGACGGTTTTAGTTTCATGCTGACCCATCTCGCACCATCCACTTACATTCCAGTCCCCAAACTCCAACGATCGAGCATTGTCAAACAATCGCTCATCTTCAGGGTCGAGGATCAATTCACCCACATCATTGCTGGTGCCGTAGTTCCCTGGGTCCAGGGCACGGCTCGGACCGGGACTCATCGCTCTCGCTCGACTGGATCGGACTTTGGCCAGGAGTGGCGCCCGGCTGCCTTGTCCGGGGGCAGGGATCCAATACTTCCCTTTCCCGCCTCGCTCGTACCGCATGCCATGGTGCATTCGCGCCGTGCGCGAGGTGGAGTCCTCGTGAGCCAGGACGTCATTTTCCGCATCGAAATATCGATACTCGTAGTGACCCCCTTGGAACGTCTCTTTCGTGTCCTGGATGAGGTCCACCGGCCCAAACGCGTCCCGCAACGCGTGCTTGACCGGCAACCGTGCGGCGGAGATGGTGATGTCGGCATAGTCGTGCCATGAAAATGCATACCAGTGCGCCAGCGCGAACGCGGGCATTTCAAAGCAGATCAACGTGTCTTGGATGGAAGCCGCCAAGTTGTCGGGCGTATAGCCTGGAACGTTGTCCGGCAGGGCGCCCAACCAGACGAGGACCGACAAGAAGAACCCCTGCCAATACGACGCGAAGATGATTCCCTTGACGCATAAAAACTTCGGCATGGGCCGAAATGGCGTCAGGTCTTCACTCATACATACCCAGAACATCGCGAGAGCATACAAGCTCACGGTGATACTGAGGTTGTAAACCAGTCCGCTCCAAAAGTATCCGGACGAAACGCCAATGTAGCCCTCTTGATATGTGCCGGTGGCTTTCATGATGATGGCCGCCAATGCCAATATCGGCTTCATCCATGTATATTGGAGGATGCCCCGCTTGATGGCCAGAAAGGTGTAGGGGTCGGAAATATCGACTTTGGGGAGGACGTGGTTCAAGGGCCAGACGTGTGAGACGGGTGGTCGGCCGTACATGGTGATGATCAGGGACCGTTCTCCACCCATAAAGTTGATCAACAGTTGCAAGAAAGTGTAGATGGTGAAAGCCTGGAGTGAAATCAGTCGCCGAACGTGAAGAGGCCGCCCGCCGGGACTCACCTCATAAACGTCCCGAAAGGGGTCAATCCAGAAGGCAACACGTAAGGATATAAGGCTCACCCAGGACGCCGCCGAGTAGATGGGGACCCTGGGACTGGATCAGCAGGTTATCCTCGAGACCGACATGGGATCGCCATACATAAGAAGGATGCGGACGACATAGCGCTGGAGCAGCGGTTTGCGGTAGTTCTTCCTGTGACAATGAGTATCGACATCGTAGACAGTCTCGTGACGGGAAGTGCGTACGCTTGTAGCCACACGGATCTGGATGGTAGAGGTTAGCGAACCGACGCGTTTAACATGGTTGGACTGATGCATACACCACAGTCACCAAGGTTGCAGAGAGGGCCGATACGCCCGCTAGGATTAGGACTAGGCGAGAGAAACGACCCCCCGTGCCGCCTTTGGCTGTTTCCACTCCCCATCCATGGACGAGGCCGTGAGAGGGAGCTTGGGGGGGAAAGGCGTCCATGGTGGTTGGCGGGCAAACCGAACGGAGCTGTCACAAACACCGGTGGATAGGGTCAAGGAGAGCGAGCATGACGAAGGATTCGCTGTCAGAGTTCAGCAGACCTTGTCAGCGGTGGAGGAGTGGACGGGAATAGGGTGTGCGGAGTGATGGAGATATCAGGATGAGGCAACTGAACAATTGTCGGACGGAGCTTCGACTCTCCAGTCCGCAGTTCATGGGGCAGCACAAGGATTGTCCATGTCATGTTGTGATGAGAGAGAATCGTGAATGAGGCGCCAAGGCGCCAAGGCATGAAACGTGACGGAGGCCCCAGAGGGCAAGAGCTGCTGAGCACCTGCCTGTCATTTGTTTGCAGCTCCATGCCCATCTCCGGAATCATCCTCCGTACAGATATATCAATACAAAATCCAAATGATATCTCTCACCAGATTCCCACCCTCCCTTTCTAGAACACCAAATAGCACGACGAAGACGTCTCTTATATCCGCAATCGGTTCCACTCGGTCAGTCTATCTTTCCTCCCATCCTCCGCCTCCCAATTCCGCCCACTGACAACCCAGATTTTGGTAATGCCGCCCATAAATGTCGAGCGGCGGACTCACTCCCCAGCCGCTGCAGCCAGAGCACGGCCTCAACTGGTGAGAACGATGTGCCACCCCGTGTGCAAGGCCCCTCTGACCGTTCCATAGGGTGTTCCTGGTTGAGCTGTTGGTGTGCGGCATTCTGTAACGTCCCTGCTCACGACATAGTCTTGATGAGACCCAGGCTAATCATTGACCAGCTCCATATTCTTTCTCTTCTACTTCAACCGGCTGTTCGCGACCCTAGTCTCTTATGGAATTCGAGCATACACATGGCATCGATTCCGCGCCTACATCGATATCCAATCGCTGCAAATATCTCTGCTGGGAGGCCGCGTGTTCTTCAAAAACATTCGCTACCACGCCCACAACGAAACGATCCTGATCCATTCGGGCTTTATTACGTGGAACTACTGGTATAGGAAAGTCCAAGATGCCGCCGTGTTTGAGGAGCAGTCGTCACCTGGCGGCACCGACGGCCACTCGACTCCAGGTCGACCGTCCAGGAGCCCGGATGTTGACCGTATGGAAACGGGCGGCGTCACATCGAGCAAGAAACCGTCCGTGAGGATCACCATTCAGATATCTGGCCTGGAGGCTTTCATCTACAATCGAAGTCCCGGATACGACGTGGTCGTGGAAAACTACCTGCGCTCCGTCAATCTCAGCAGTCCAACGCGGGAAGGATCCGATGACCAGGCGTATTCCACCGGATTCGCTCATGGAGATCGGATGAGGAACGTGCTGCAAAAAAACCGCCCTCAGCAAGAAGAGGAGGACCCCACGTCGCCTGCCTCCTCCAACGAGAAGCCCAGGCTTCCTCCAGCGGAGAAACCTTCGCTGCCAGCCTTCATTCGGCTTTTCCCCATCTATATCGACTGCAGCAAGGGAGCAGCAGTCCTCGGAAACGAGAACACCCCCCAGGTCGTTACGTTAAAGTTTGACCGTGGCTCGGGAACCATTGACGCCGGTAGTTCAGGCCCCCTGGACATATACCGGCAATTGTTCAAATTCAACGTCGACCGCCCTGTCGTTCAAATGCGACCGAATACCGACTTCAAAAGCCTTCAGCTGGCCATGGCCGCCACAGTAAAACAAGCCGAAGCTGAACCGGCCGTGGTGGCTCAGGACCCCCATCGTCGGACCTGGATACCCGAGTCTCTTCGGAGGATGTCGACGGGTCGCCGGCAGTGGTTGCCCTTCCTGAACCGATCCACCAGTTCCGTGGTGGATACTGACAAGAATCCTTCTTATCCACATCCTTCCAAGCTTTCCGTTCCGGGTCATGATCGATGGCAGGGGCTCACACGGTACCTGGAAGACATCGGAGAAAATGAGCATGACGAGTGGGAAAGCGTAGAGTACGCTAAGGCCAGTACGCTTGCCGACTGCCCTCGCATCACATTCTGCTTCTTTTGGGATGTACCTGGTCCCGTACCCCTGGAGGACATGGTCGAGAGCACAACTATTGCACCTCCGGGATACGGAATGGAAATCGGCATTCACGGCGGAACCCTCAGTTACGGGCCTTGGAGTGACCGACAGCGCGTCATCTTTCAGAACCTCTTTTTTCCCCAGTCGTTTGTCGATGCCCCGCCACCTCCGAATCTAAGGCCCGGAGACACTCGCATCTACCCGGACTTCAGCTTACTGCTCACCATCGATGAAGAGACGACGCTTCGGATTCCCATGCGTGAACCTTCTAAAGATTGGAAATGGAAGGGTCGTTCGACAACATCTTCCCGCCACAAACCGGCTGGGACCAACAAAGAGGGACATTGGAATCGCAAATGGTCAACCAAACGGAAGCCCGAGAAAGGGAGTGGTGGGTCGGGTCCCCGGCCATACGCTTGGCTGGACATAAAGGTATTCAAGGAGACGAGTGTCCGGTACAAGATGGACATGTACCCCGGAGAGTCCGGCTACTCGAATGACCTGCGAGTGGACATCGCTCGATGCGAGGCCTACTCAAGTGTCAACCATGGCCTGCTGTTGCGGACCGGCAAGCTCACCATGGACGCCGACCTCTCAAATCCGGCGGTATGGAATGCCCTCAGAGTATGGAAGTTTCGAATCATCGCCGAACAACTGGACCTTTTCATCTTGCGAGATCATTTTTTCCTCATCATCGACCTCTCCTCGGACTGGTCATCCGGTCCACCTGGCGAATACCACACGTTTGTTCCGTACCAGTATCACATCGCGCTCGACTTCCGGAACCCCAAGCTATATTTGAATTCGAATGAAGCCAACATCATCAATAGCCCCTCCGATTTTGAGGACAATGATTTCGTGATCCTCGGCGGAACCAGCCTAACCGCCGATCTCATGATCCCGTTGGACAGGTTCCTCCCTGTCAACAACGAGATCACCTTCGATGTCATCGGCCAAGGCTTTAGCCTGGAGATGTGTCTTCCGCCTAGGAACACCATCCACAGCTTCTTGAAAGATCCAGTGACCGCGCAACTCGAACACTTTTCTCTCGTAGGAAGCCATTGCTATTGGGCAGCGTCCTCCCCGACCGAGACTGATCGATTGACCATGGATGTCAAGGGTGACAAGTTCGGGCTGTACCTCTACGGTTTCCTTGCACGGCACCTGGTTAAGATCAAAGATAATTATTTCGGCGACTTTCTCCATTTTCGGACCTTGGAAGAATTCCAGTCTCGCCCGGATCGAGAGGCCGTGGCCCACGAGGTGGATCCCGAACTCCAGCCGGTGCGTGGATCTGACTTGGACGTGGTTCTCAGCATCTCGGTGCATGACGCCAGCGTGGTCCTCCCGAAGCATCTATACGATGCCGAGGCAGGGATCGTGATTGACATGGAATTTGCCAATGTCGATTTGAGATTCACAAATTACTACATGGATCTTGCAGCAGATTTCAGTCCCTTGAACTTTGGCTCCGGGTCGTCGATATCCGAACCCGGGGCAGCCGGTCCGACAGAAATCTTCTTGGACTTCACGAGCTTGGCCGGCCATCGCCTCTTTGGACTCCCCAATGCGGAGCCGACGTACGACTGCATTTGGGATCTTCGCATCGGTCAAGTGGTTGGCGAAATCTCTTCCCTTTTCCTGAACAACCTCGTCCATGGGGCGCAAGCGTTCGCCTTTAGCTTCGAGGATGAAGAGAATAGCTCGCCCATGGCAGACCCCTTCCTTGTGAACGACGTCACATTCCTCCGGGTCCGTACGGAGCTTGTTCGACTCTGGCTTCGGCTGGATCCTGATGCAATCATGGTCGAAATCGGACCGGCCAATATTGAACTCAACGATCTTTGTGACTTGCTATTTTCTCAGCGAGTTTCCATCCAAATGCCGTCGTTAACGCTTTCATGTGTCGACACGAGCCATCTGCATCGCCATCGGAGCCAAGTTGACCACGGTGACCAACCAAAGACCTACGCGTATCTTCACACCGGCCTATCCGTGAACGTCATGCAACGCAGTTTGAACTTCCCCGAGAAGCGTGCTGCGCAACAACATCACTTGCGTCAGCACGATTGCCGGACAAATCGGGTACCCTTTTTAATCTCACCGGATCCTCTGCACATTGAGGACTCCGAGGACAACTTAAGGTCGAAGATCGATGACCCAGCAAGCTCCTTCCCACTTGTACCATCGCCAATGCACCATGATCTCGGGGACTTTGACAGCATCATGACCAGCACAATGCCCGGAAATTCGGGCAGCAGGTCACGGCATGAGCAGTGGCAAAGTTCGTCATCATCGGGTGCTTCGATTGCATCCTCCATCAGGCGACACGGCAATCGGGCTACGGGAACCCCGATGAATACTCCCCGATCCAATCACGCTCATGACCATATCACACCGACAGTGGACTCTGTGGGCGCAACCTCTTCGCGGAGAATCAGCGACATGAACGCATCGACGAAAACAGACGGGACGACACCATCACTGGCGTTTTCTACTCCGTTGGCGGCCCCGAGATTTCCACTGGAGAGCTTTGTCGACGAGACTTTTGACATTCCCACCTTCCGGCTGCACCGCGAGCCCCCATCCGCGGACGACGACGATATTGGTGCCGAATTTAATGATGTCATCAACCGGCGACAGGACGATGCCTTGGTCTCAACAACGGTCATGGTGACACTCAATCCCGGAGTGCAGGCTGTTTTCACGACAAGAGGATTCAACGCCATCCTTCGGGTCATAGACATCATCCAGTGTCAAGATGCTGAGACACTCTTGGATTCATGGCAGATTCGGACCATGTCTCGAATCATCACCAAACGCGACCTCCCCTCGCGACCCTCGTCATCGTTAGACATTGGTTTAACTATTCCAGACGGTGCTGTTCGTTTTACCAATAGGAGAACGCTGGAAAACATGTCTGGACTGGAAATCGCGCGGGACGATATTGAACTGCAACTTTCGAATTTATCCGTCCGCGCTCGAACCAAACACGTTTCCGGGTCTTCGAGCTCCCAAGATCATTTCCTCTTGCATGCATCGTTGAAGCGTGCCGATGTTGCGACAACCACTGTATCCGCATCCCGTTCGTCCCAGCTCTGCCTGTTCCAATGCGAGGATATTCTCACCTGGCTTACGTCAACCTCATCATTGAATGCGACTTTATCTGTTCGCAAAGTGGGGTTGGACATGCAGAGCGTCCATTTTACAACCTTCTTCCTTGCCATGGAAGGAATTTTGGAACTCGCAGATGCGTTCAGCAATCAGATCAAGTCCATAACTTTGGAGGAACCTCGCCGTCTGGTGGACCTGGTGCACCATCTCGTCTTAGCTGGAGGAAGTTCCACCGACCCCGTCTTCATGACCAGGCCAAGCTACATGCTACGCGCTATTACCGATCATCTGCGTAATCACGATTCTTGGAAGATAATCTCCCGCTTCCGCCACATGTATAGGACGTCATCCATCGTCTCCTATGATTCGAAGTCATTTGAAGAAACACCAACCAGTTCTCTCCTGAGCGACATCGTAGCATGGGACCAGTGGAGGACTTGGGAGTTGCCTTCAGTGGAAAAGAGCGTCGCAATGGAGCCACTGCATGCTCCGCAGAGTTCCGCCCCCGATACATCCGCTCCCCTGGCGATGACACTCTCTTTCCGTTGCGGGTTGCTCAACGTCTCGGTTGATTCTGGAGTCGATCAAAGCGCTGTTATTCTACATAACTTCAGTCTTGCTTTTAGTCACACACCACAACTATCCCCATCCGGACTCCTTGTCTCAAGCTTGCCGGAACAATCCAGAGTTATTCAGATTGGCGCGGAATTACTTGCCATTCAATTCCAATGGATGCTTCTGGAGGGTGTCCAGTCGCTTCTTGAGAATAGCAAAGGATGGACTCGAATGAATGCCGCGAGCAAACAACCTCAGCCGCGTGGATCTTCACCTGCGAAAGGCTCGCGTCGCCTTCAGCTTGTCGCAGTCATCGATTCCACGGACCTCAGTTTGAAAAGTCGGCATCTGCGTTTGGGGAACGCGATGGATAATCTCTCATGCTCGTTGATCCTGGCACAGGAGTCCGAGGAGAGCAAATCCGATATGAGCAACGTCGTTCTCCACGCTAGCAACGCCCTCTGTGCGGTGGTGTCGTCCCAGCGGAAGTTGATAACCCTTGCTCTATCTCTGCCAACTTTCGCAGCTGCCCTTAGCAAGCCAAATGACAGTGGGAACGCGAAGCAGTGGACCGTTCAGGGACAAAGCGAATTGGTCGACCTGAATATCGAGGAACACGTCCCGGGTTTATTGGAACTGGCCGATGACGTCCTTCGCAACGAGGCGGTTGACATTATGAAGTTCACAAACTCGGCAGCACCGCATGCCGAGCATACGATTGCTTCAGCGGCCCCGAAAGTGAGAAGAGAACTCCCTAGCCTTCAGCTTTCGTTGTCACTGCAATCCTATCGAGTACATATCCGGCTGCTTCCATCAGTGGCTTATAGCTTTTCCGGCTCCACTGCCCAGCTCTGGGTGCAACCGACACTAGACCTAGTTCGAACGCTCAACATCCACATCGATGTCGGTCGGCACTTTCACGAGCTGGACTCCTTTGGCCCCGACAGTTCCCTCGCGATTTCGAAATTCACAATGCCCCAGATTAATGCCCGACTCAGCATTGAACAACTCCACAACCAGATCTTCCTGCGGGCGAACGTGATCAGTGAGAAACTGGTGCTGGATGCCTCGGCGTTGCATGGTGTGCTCCTGACCATCCAAAAGCCCGAAGTCTCGCGCACGATACAGGCAGCGCAAGAAGACGTGCGTGCCATCCAAGGGCACCTTGCAGCGTTGCGCCCTGCCCCTTCCGGTGCTCGGATGCGAACGGTCGACCCGCTTGGGTTTGATTGTCAATTATGGTTGCAAGGTCTACTGATTAAAACAGTGGCCCCGAGCTCAGGCGACCTAGCTCCGGAGGCCCATTTGATGTTCGGTCTTGGTGCAGTGCTCCTCGATATCCGAGATGGGAAGCGTCTCCAAGCGCAGCCAGCCGCCTTTCCCGATCTCCATTTCCAGGTTCATAAAATATTCGCCGACCTCGTATTAAAGAAAGATGAACGGACCACCCCCGTGGGAAACGCGGTCCTGGCATGCGATATCCGCTCGACGCAACGAAACGGGTCTGAACAAGGCCGCATCTACCACCTTCGAAGCGATCGGGTCGATGTTAATATATCCGCAGAAACGGCGTCCACGGTGGCCGATGTCCTGAACCATCTTCAAGAACGTCTGCGAGATATTGACCTTTCTCGTGAAAAAGAGTACCTCCGACGATTCAGGCACCGAAAGATGGCCGATTCGTCGACGGCGCTTGACCAGGGCAACGGAGAAACTCCGGCCGACCCGCTCTCATCTACTGGAATCTTCACGTCACCGTTCAACGTGCTCGTTCGCCACGTCCAAATTGCTTGGATTGTGCAGTCTGAGGCTAAGCGTGCTGCTCCTCAGGATGATGATTTGATATTGTCCATCCAGCTAATCGAGCTTTCGAGTCGCTCCCGTAGCGGGGCGAGGCTTGCAATCAACGACTTGCAGGTCCAGCTTGTCCCCCAATCTCAAGTGGATCGCACTCAGAGATCACGAAACTCGGCTCTTCTACCGGAAATGGTGTTCAACGTCTTCTATTCGTCCTCGGAACAGGACTGGCGGCTGAGTTTTCAAGCAGCCGGCAAGTCCCTCGATTTGCGTCTCGACTCAAAGTTCATACATCCTCTCAATACCGTGCAACAATCTATAAAGCTCGCTATGCAGAGGTTCCGATCTGCCGCCGAGAATTGGACGGACAGTACTCCAACTGGTACTGTCCAAAGAACAAGTATCTTCAAGACAAAGAAACTTTCCAGCCTAGTTGTGGACGCCGACTTTTCCGGAGCGGTCGTGCATTTGACCGGAGGTGCTTCAACCTCCATTAAATCCCATGTCCCCGCGTTTCCTCCATCCACAGGCAACGGTCTCAATACAACCACAGTTTTGCGGTCGCCCGGCATGGCCTTGAAAGTGGAGTTCAAAGACGACAATGCGAGCTCTACTTTGGACGGAGAGTTGAAAATATCCGCGTCTTCCAACATTGTCTATCCAGCCCTAGTTCCGCTTGTGCGAGAAATCTCGGATACCGTCAAAGACATTGTATGGAACAGCGAATCCAAGGATACGAACATGACCGGATCGAGGTTCCTCGAGGACGAAAACTTATTGAAGGCGGATCCGACAACGCTACTTGGGCGGACGAAACTCAATTTTGGCATCCGAATTTGCCAACAGGACTTCGCCTTGAACTGCCACCCGTTCGCCCGAGTGCTGGCGGTTGCTTCGTTCGATCAGATCTACGTTCTAACAAGCAGCATCACATCTCCTGAGTACGGGGACTTCTTTTGCGTGACCGCCAAGGCGGAAAATCTCGAGGTTTCAGTGAGGCACCAGTATTCAAGAGATTCGACGTTCAAGTTCAATATTGAATCCGCGACTCTCTCGCTGATGAATAGTAAATATCTTAGCGGCGTGGCCGGCATTTCCGCCATCCTCAAGGTCAACCCGATTAAAACGCAGGTCAATGCACGACAATTGCAAGACTTTCTGATCTTCCGGGACATCTGGCTTCCCTCCGATTCTGCGAAGGCATCGACACCGAACGTTGACGAGGCGAACGAGCAAGTCGAGTATCTTGTTCAGCGCTATCAACAGGTCACCGCAGCTACAGCGTTTCCTTGGAACGCGACGGTAGCGATCGAAGCGATTGCGGCAGATGTGGATCTCGGCCAGGGGATTGGCAAAAGCACGCTTTCTGTTGCCAACTTGTGGGCATCATCCCGAAAGCGATCCAACTGGCAGCAAGAATTGTGCATCGCCTTCGAAACGGTGGCGGTGACTGGCAGTGGGAGGACGAGCGGGTTCGTGCGTCTCAACGACCTACGGCTTCAAACGTCGATCTCGTGGCCGTTGCAGGAAGGGCGAGTCCGACGGCAAACGCCGCTCATCCATGCCTCCCTCGGCTTTGACCGACTCCAAGCAAAAGCTGCGTTCGATTATCAGGTATTTGCTATTGCAGATATCAGAGCGTTCGAGTTCATTATGTACAATACTCGGGACCCAAAACTCGGGGCGGCCGATCGGCTCATTGCGATTCTGGACGGAGCCGAAGTCTTTGCATTTTGCACATCCACCACCGCAGCGCAAGCCATCGCTTTTAGCCAGGCCGTAGAGCGTCTGGTGCAAGACAATCAGGCAGCATATGCGCAAACCGTCAAGGAGCTGGAGAGAAGCATTCAGCGCAGGAGGTCATCATCGGCACGACAGGCGCAAGCGTCTCTACAAGCGTCGCAAACCCCGAATCCGGAAAAATCACATGCCTTCATATCGCTTCATACGGACGTCGTTGTGACCCTACGGACCCTGTGTCTTGGCGTCTTCCCAGCCAATTTTTCGGACCCGCAATTGTTCTTGCTAGAGGCGTCGGATACACAGGCTCGTTTCGCCGTGCTGCTGGAGGATGACTCTCAAGTGCACAGCGGACTGGGCATGACTTTAGGCCATCTCAATGTCGCCCTAGGCGTGATTCCCCATCCAACCCCGCACACAAGTGCTGCAGAATTGACGGTGGAAGACGTCGTGGCGAGCGCGCGATCCGCTCGTGGCGGCACGATCCTTCGGGTTCCAAAGGTCGTGGCGAGCATGCAAACCTGGCACCAGCCCCAGTCGAACCTCGTTAATTACATCTTCAAAAGCTCTTTCGAAGGCAAAGTGGACGTAGGATGGAACTATTCGCGCATCGGGTTCATCCGGAACATGTGGGACAATCACTCAAAGACGCTTGCGTCCCGACTTGGAAAGCCTCTTCCGGAGGCTGTCGTAAAGATTACCACCGAGCCTGACGAAGGGGATGGCCAACCAACGTCCACTCGTGGTCCACAGGGCAAGATCACTGCGGTTGTAAACGTTCCGCAGTCTCGATTCACCTACACGGCGCTTGAACCCCCGGTAATAGAAACACCACAGCTACGAGATATGGGCGAGGCGACACCGCCTTTGGAATGGATCGGGTTGCATAGGGACCGACTGCCCAACGTCACCCATCAAATCATCCTGGTGCCGCTCCTTGAGGTAGCAAAGGAGGTGGATGCCGCGTATAAGCGGATTTTAGGCTCATCATGAGATGGTTCTCCACAGGCTGGGAAGCAAAGCATGTAACAATTTACATCTGTACGATAATGACCAACGTAATATAGATCAAACGACTTTAGAGGAACACGGCTCATGCGGAAAGCATCACTCCTTTCCTGCTCCCTGTAGTGAGTTTTGGCTTGAGAGGAGAATTTCCATCAAAAGTGAGGAACCAAACATTCCGGAATGCCGAACTCCATGGCAGGTGGCAATTGGTTTGGAGATCGTAGGTCCATTAACTTAACCGTAACTGTAGTATTGCCAGCCATTGGGAGACTTCATCATGAATACGCAAACAGCAGAGTTGTCGTCAGTCATTGGAATTTATGCTGTATCCGAAAGAGTATATAACCAAAAAATTACCCTATGGCATGCTGATTCAATTCTATCATCTCACTCGCGTTCAAAGTGTGAGTGTCAGCCATATCACAAACACATTCAACTTCAAGCTGAGAATATCTCCATCCATCATAGTATCATCCATCTGCTGAAAGGCTCCATAAACGTGTGACCTTCGGATGAATAGAAAAGATCCGCCCCTCGCAAGCATCCGAATAGGCAAGAGGTACCCACCCCAAATATCCCCTCATCTTAAGTGCAGGTGCTATTCGCCGGCGTGCATTTCGTCCAGACTCAAACCTCAGCTTGATACCCGTAGCGAAAGCCAGGAGGACACAGATCTTCGCATTGAAAAGTCGCGATCTGGTTCTGGGTCATGTTGTGGCAGGTGAGCACGTGCCTGCCTTGGTGGAGCACTTTCTGCGGCAGTCCGGGGGTTCCGTAGGGCACGGGGAGCAAGCAGTCGGCAAAGGTGATGCCTGAATAGCCTTCAATGGCGAGGGAGGGGGGAGGGCTGGAGTTGCAGAGGGACGTGTGGTACGACGGTGCGCCCTAGATAGCTCCGGTCTGGCAGACATTGCTGTCAGCGAACCACACGTCGTAGTTGCCACCTTTGGTGCTGGCAGATCCGCATGAGCGAGCGATGTTGCCGATGTAAAGGGATGGGAAAGCAAGGGCTATATCCGCGAGCATGGCGAAGAGGACAGAACAAAGAACAAAGAACAAGAGAACGTATGGTCGGAAGGAGGGCTGTTCTGTGAAATCTCAGGACTGAAGCGTAAGAAGGGTTGAGAACGTTTGCAGAGGAAGAGATAGCCCGCTGAATGGCAGGCGACGGATTATATCTGATCGCCTGGTGTCATGAATGTCCAGGAGACTCCTAGGCCAAGCCTCTGCTGAAAGGATTATATTCTTAGAACTGGTGTCGCACCCAAAATACCATCAAATTCTCGGCATTTGTTAAGGTACATATTCTTCGTTTGAAATTTAGCCAATCATTCATGGATGATGGCGAATTCTTTAGCCGTGGCTGCGAGGCTGTCCACGAGAAACGACTCATGATTTCTGCCGGGCCAATACCGCAACAAGTTAGCCCAAAAGGAGACTTAGGAAATATAGGACTCTTCCGAACTACGGCCCAATATGCGCAACCCGAATAACGACTTTGTTGGGAGACGAAATGATGGCAAATACCTCACGAACGCGGCGGAACCGTGACTCGCGCTGCCATTCCCAGGGTGAACTGGAGATGGCTGGTTTTCTACGTCTTGTAGATGGGCTTTTTTTGACTGTTGATGGTACACGGTAGATGTATCGCAGTTGGGGATTTCATCGTGCATCCGACTCGCTGTGAAGATGTGGGTGTCTCACCTACAAAGCACTATACCGCAATGGCCGTCGCCTTGCTATGTTCAAACTTCAAACCTGCACTCGCCCAGGTTGTTTCCTAGAACGTCTCCTCTTAGAGCGGACCACCTTCCCCTGGTACATCAGCACGACCTCTCCTCCTATATCCGCAGCATCAGGTTTGTAGCGCATGCCCACGTCAAGACCTTCCAGCCCTGCGGTGGATGCTCTCGCGTTCCACACTAGCTGTTGTATCGAACCATCTTCGGTGATCATGGCGAATGCGAGAGGTCGCGAGCTGCGTTGCAGAGCCTCCCGTACCCCCTTCGTCGTCGGACTCGTCGTCGCAAGTATCGCAATGGTATTGTCGCCTCTCCATCCTGCCGGGGCACCGGCGAAAGCCCCTTCTATTTCCCGGATGTGTTCTGGCGATACCCATCGCGCCCGTCCGATCGGCTCGGATCGCGGCACCCCAGTTACGCTTGGGTCTGCGTCCGCAAGTTTCGCCTTTCCCTTCGGAGATTTCCAGCCGACGACCTTGCACTGCACAAGAATTTTGAGCGGTATTTCGGGCGGGAGAGTTGGAACTCGCCAATCTCCAACCAGATCGATTCCAGCGTCGTTGGAGCGACCCGTCCTCGTGAGGTGAAACCCGAGTCGGTTCAAGGCCTCTGAGCAGATATACTCATATCGGGTTCCAACGAACGTAGACGATGTCTGGGAGAGATTCGTCTGCGAGGCGTGTGTGAGGAAGGATTCGAGGGTATCATGGTGTTGGGAGCCAGGCGCAAGCGAGGAGAGACGAGATGCGAACGGCAGAGTTGGGCGAGGGCGTTGTCCGTGGCGCCATGACAGATGCGTCGGAAGACTTGGGTAGATGTTCTTAGCATCATTGTTTAGTAGGTTAACGGTCGATGGCATCCACATACTGTGTTCTGGTTGGCGATCTGGCTAGCCGTGATGTGGACGGTGCGATGGGATTCAATAAGCCAAGCCACCTAGTGGAAGGCTTCATGTTCATCACCACCAAGAGCTTCCTTTTCCAAATTCGTTTCAATCAGCCATCTTATCCACGGTCAGGAATATACCACTAATAATACTAGTCGTGGCAGCTAGGACGGTGATAGAATGAAGATGTGCGGTCTTGGAGAATGCGATGCTCCTGATGCTCCAAGCTGTCATTTCATTGCCATTCAACCCATCACCCAATCCGTCCCTCGACTCCCCAAGTCAGACATTCGGACTTAAGGGATTACCCTCTTCAACTCTCGCCGATGAAGAGCCAAATCTGCAGTTGCAATCATATTATTAATGACTGTGTCACAGCATGTGTGCACGGTGCCGGGAGTCCTGTCACTGCACTAAGAATGTCGGTTCAGTTCTTCCGGTATCCCGTTTGAGACGACCGGTGACGGCAACGAATGCCGAGTTCGGCTTGCGTCATTCCATAAATGGCTCACCGGTACTTGAGCAATGCCTAAGTACTCTCTAATACCATCCCCGTGTCTCGGTATTATTCTAGGATAGCCGTAGACGCAGTGCCTTGGTGAGAGGGAGCTGTTCCTATTCTTTCATCGTAAGATCCGATGTTAAGTACGAATACACTCTTCTTATCCGTCCAAAGGAGCCGATCTGGATTTGGACCATGGCGAGATCTACCATCATATTTCTCTATCATGAACTCGGCCTCGCCTCGCTGAAGCAAACGGGGAGAGATGCCTGGCTCATCATCCTTGCACGGTGCTGCCGAATGTTCGCATATGGCACCAATGCCTTAATTCTCGCGCTTTTCCTGTCGTCCCTGAACTTCTCCGATTCCCGTATCGGTCTCTTCATGACTTTGACCCTCCTAGGCGATGTAGTGCTGGCAACCCTGCTGACGCTCGTGGCCGATGGCCTGGGTCGACGGCGCACCATGCTCGCCGGCTCCGTCATGATGATCCTATCCGGCATCGTCTTCGCCTTGAGCGAGAACTTCTGGTTGCTGCTTCTCGCCGCCGTTTTTGGCGTGATCAGTGTGGCCGGGGGGGATTTTGGGCCCTTTCGATCGATCGAAGAGTCGATTTTATCCCAGCTGACTTCATCCAAAACCCGACCGGAGGTTCTTTCGTGGTACGTGACGATGGCCAGCTTCGGCTCCTCCATCGGGACCGAAGCAGCTGGACGGATTGTGGATGCTCTTCAAAAACAAAAGGACTGGACCATCGTCGACTCCTACCACGGTATCTTCTGGGTCTACTCGGCAATGGGGGCAGTCAACTTGGTTCTGGTCGCTCTCTTAAGTTCGAACTGCGAGCTTATCGCTATAGCCACCCCTACGGAAGAGTCAGAGGTCCTGCTGGAAAGCGGCGAGCAAGACGCTAGGGAGGAACCTACGCCGAAGACTAGGACTCGGTCGGGTTGGTTGAATCTGGCAGCCATAAGCAGTATTTCAAGCCGGACGTTATCCATCATACTCAAACTTTGGTTCTTGTTGGCCATAGACGCACTCGCCGACGGGATGACTCCAATATCGTTAACAACGTATTTTATGGATGCCAAGTTCGACGTGTCTAAGGCCACGTTGGGGGATATCACGTCCATTGGCTATTTCTTAGCCGTTGCCTCAACCATCTTCGCTGGGCCTTTATCTCGTCGTATCGGCCTGATCAACACCATGGTCTTCACTCACCTTCCGTCCTCAGTCGCGGTTCTCCTCTTTCCCGTTCCAACGAACCTCACCATGACCGTCATCCTTCTGTTCGTCCGAATGGGACTGAACAACATGGACCAGGCGCCACGATCGGCATTCATCGCGGCGGTTGTGGCGCCGGAGGAACGAACCGCGGTTATCGGACTGACATCAACCATTCGGACGCTTGCATCTGCGGTCGGCCCAACCCTCACGGGCATTCTAGCTGGACATTCCCGTTTCTGGATTGCTTTTGTCGTCGCTGGAGCTCTTCGTGTCGCCTACGACCTTGGACTCTTTGTGATGTTTGTTAATCTGAAACCAGAAAGGCCCAACACCACAGAGTTGGCGAATACCGAGAGATTCAGCGAGGATCCGTCTTCGGTGTCAGACGATGAGTCTGGAGACTCCTTTGCAGCCAACCGATCGAATGGGTCCACCGAGGAGTCTCGAGCCACAACGGCGGTAAAGTGAACTGATGGAACCTGCCGGCCATGTGGCTTACCTGGTGCGGGTTCAGAAACGTCGTAGCCAGGCGTCACTGACCAACGGAGTTTACACCACTTTTCAGGCACATTTTAATATTCCCGTTCAACTCATCCGAAGACGAGATTATGAAGGGACGTCCGGTCTTGATGAATGCTCCGATGGCAGCATTTTGCTGGAGTCATAAGGCTATATATATACTTCTGGGATGGACCTCAAACCATGTCTATCATGGTCTCGGAAAAGCATAGAGCAGCAAATAAAACTTTAACGAGGTATACATTATTAGTACATGCGGGTCTCCGGAGTAGGCAGCATGTGATCTGCTTCGCTACCTCACGCCCACACCGAGCACCAACTTGCCGCTAAGTAAAACGCTGAGATATTACTTTCGAATAAGGGGACTAGGGATTTTTTACAACACCAGCGGATGAGCCCAGCATTAGGGCTGGACACGAATATTCGATTACGAATATTCGTACGAATATTCGTAGTCGAATACGAATAAAATTTAGAATTTCCGCTTACTAATATTCGTACGAATAATATTCGCATTATTCGTAATTATTCGTAATTATTCGTAAATCTCTGAAGCTATTTCCATGTATCTCGCAGCATCATAAGACGCCTCATAGTCTCTGCACTCATTGAGCTCCTCCGCACTCCTAAGAGATCTCTTCCCCCACTGAACAGTCTTTCGACTGATACCCCAGATGCTGGTATAGCCAA